ACGTAAAAAGCTGATTTTTAGAAAACGGATTGACTTTAGGGTGTAGATGTTCGATAAGAAGGTATTTTTCAAAACTCGAATTCTAAGGGGGTGAAACCACCCCTCAAATATTAGAATATTTTTTATTTAAAAACCGGTGAGTTTTTGGGAAAAACTCTTAAACACGTATATATTATTTTGTTGTTTTATATATTTTAAGATTTTTAAAAAAATTATACAGGGTGTTTCATAAAATATGGCCATTGAGTAATCACGATTCTGCTTAAACTGCTTGACGTTTGAAGCTGATTTTTGGTAAACGGATTGACTGTGGGGTGTAGAGGTTAGATAAGGAGAGGTTTCTCGAATCTCAAATTCCAAGAGGGTGAAAACGCCCCTCAAATATTACAATATTTGTTTTTTAAAAAACGGTTAGTCTTTCGGGAAAACGCTTGGACACGCATAGTTTATTTTGTTTTTTTACATATTTTGAATTTTTTTTAAAAATCATACAGGGTGTTGCAAAAAGTAGGGTAAATTGATTAACCACCTGCTTGATGTAAAAAGCTTATTTTTGGCAAACGGATTTTTCGAAAGTCAAATTCCAACGAGGTGAAACTACCTCTCAAATATTACCAAGTTATACAGGGTGAGTCTTAAATAAGTGCAAATATTTTCAGGGGTTGTATATTTCGACCCCAGGAACACGTCTATGAGTTTTTTTTTCGCAAAAAAAAAGATGTTGAAAATCGTGCATTTTCTTTTAAATTTCTCTGTATATTTTTCGAAAACTTTTTAGAATTGCCTGTTCACCGCAAATTTTCCCACGGTATAAATTCTTAATCTCTGATATTACCATAGTTACACCTTTACTCTATGGTTACGGCACTAAAATGGATGCAAATACAGAAAAAATCCGGTGGCTCTCAAAATTTTTCAAAAAAAAAATCATTTTTTTTTATTTTCAAATTGAAATAACTCGGTTATTTTGGACTTATTTAAAAAATGGTAAAGAGAAAATATGCTTCTTTTATCGAGATCTACCAGCCCTGAAAATATTTGCACTTATTTAAGACTCACCCTGTATAATAATATCGCCATATTGTTTTTTCTCATGATGACATAAATGTGAGAAAATTTTATCCAGTTTGTATGTTAATGGAAATTCTTGCTTTGCTTTATCATCACCATTACAATGATTAATTCGACGCGAACGAAGTCGCGGGTACACCCTAGTATAATATATTTCAGAAATTGCCAAAGGCTTAAGCCGATCCTGTCGTGTTAAGCCACACCCAAAATTTCAAACACACGTACTTTGATTAAAACTTGATTAAGGTTTGCAGAGCCTCAGCTTTTGCCATAAAATAGCGAACAATTTGTCACAAAACCATATAAATTATATATCACTGTAATCACAAAATGTCAATCTATTTCCGTATTGTAACGGAATTTTAAATTATGTCTTTATTTTCCAGAAAATTTAGTCCAAACATTAAGGAATATTTTGTTGATGTTTGACCATCAAAATCTTAAAAATAAAGAAGTTGTCTAAAAATGTGCTACAATACGGATTAGTATAATCCTTTATCTTTAATTTCCTTCTTCATTTGTGGTAAAAATACCTAGTCACTTTTACATAAAACGTTAAATGCCGAACGCTTATTTTGCTACTTTTTTGGACTAGCGAAATGGACTCTTAAAGATCACATTAATTCTCGACTCATGAAAGATGAACAGTGGAGCAAAATATTTTTATTCACAGAAAATTGTGAAGATTTATTAAACTGCTTAAAGCCCTCTCTCTCTCTCTCTCTCTCTCTCTCTCTCTCTCTCTCTCTCATCTCGAGCATATCTGTCATTTTCCGGTGTATCAGTGCCGTTCTAATTTTATTCAAAACGTGTAAAAATATGATGTAGGGTAGACGTGGGGTAGACTCAATAATTTGTTGTTTTATTTTACGTTGTGAATAAATGTTGGTAGTTATTAAAATTGTTATAAAATATATAATTCTAATAAAAATAGATAAGTTATAGTAATTATTTATTAACACAAACATCCGATACGCTACTGAAGCAGGTAAGTCAAACTGACGTATCTAAATTCTTTGACATTTAATCTTTGACGAGTAGTAAATAAAAGCAAAAATGCAAGAAAACATATATAATTAGTTAATTTTAAGTGAATTTCATAAATCGGTTTACTAAATGTATGTAGATTATATACCTAGTCACTTACTAGCGAAAAGTTATTCCATTATTATTCCCCTCGATTTTTGACAGATCTACCACACGCTACACAACCAACTATTTTACAGTCTTTTTCGATAAATCGCGATAGTATCACTGTTAATTTAAGATCTGCCACAATTTCCTTCTACATTTACCACCTTTAAACAACTATCAGTAGTATAATAAAAAATAAATAACATAAAATAAGGTCAGTAAAGACTGACAAATCCACAAAATTTCAAATCAAATTCAAATGTGTCAAATGAATCGTCAAATAGAACTGTCAAGGATCCCCAACCTAGGGCCCTTTATCCATGGTACAAAGAATACAAGGTATGATCGATAGCGGCTCCAATTTCGTTCAGTTCACGCATACCACCTGTGACGTCACTAGGAAAATAATGAATAAATAAAAAATAAAGAAAGTTGACAGGAGATCTGCATTTTTTGGGGTTATGGTTAAGAATTGTTTATTTTTAAGACTTTTTAGTTCGTTTAATTTAATAGTTACTAAAACCAGCAGTTCCAAAAATATATTTAAAAATAATAATTATCTATTAACATGGATTTGGACGATAGGTAAGAATACTAAATTTATTTCTATATTCGGTATAAAATTGTTTATTAGGTTTTTAGTTTGCGATGTTTATGGTAAATAATTTTCATTTTCATTGCCTCTGAATTCACATGAGGACAGAGTTGAGGATATCTATGGAAAAGTAACCACAAGAGGAATTGTTACATCATTTAAAAAATATTGGGAAGTTTATTGTTTCCCATCGAAAAGTAGAAAATGCCAATGCAGATGAACGTATTGTAATTGTGATAGAAGTAATTCTAAGGGTGAAGTTTATTATAATTAGTGGAAGTAATACCAAGGGTGAAGTTTATTATAATTAGTGACCTCTGCTTCTTTTTATATGTAGAAGTTTCTGGTTTTGAGAATAAATCGGTTGAACGACACCCAAAATTTAAAGGAAGTATTTGCATACCCAGAATATGCCCATCAAGGATTATATAGCTCAAATTTCCTTTAATGGTAGGCAATTATTCAATGCAAATTAACTTTTTAAGTGACTAAAATATTAAATAGTTTACAATATGGTATATCACTAAAAATATATTACTTTTAGGTACAATTAGGGCCCGATACATTTCAAAAAGTAGAATATTATTTTATATTAAATGAGGTATTGTACTAACAATCAATTTATAATAATAACGGAGATTAAAAAATAACAGAATAAATAGTTCTTTTTTTTATACTACAAAAATAGACTATAGAATACAACAGTATTTAAAAAATAAATAAAAAGTTATGTCCCGGCCGAGATTCGAACTCCGGTCTCTCGCTTCCTAGCCCAACTCCTTACGCACTGCTCCACAGTAACTTGCTTAGCGATAATTCAATGACGGTATATAAACAAAAAAAAACAGGTTTATAACAATACCTTGACGATTTGAACTGGCGCGCGGAGCGTGCTGACCAATAGCGCCTGTTATCACCTGTGACGTAGCGACCAACCTGCGCAATATCATACCTTGTATTCTTTGTACCATGCCTTTATCCGTCTACTATGCAAGACTACATGGATAACATTATACTATATGTTAAATAACTTCAATAAACAACTTTAAATACGTTTTTCTCAAAACTGTGTTTTGTGACTTAACATTGTTTGTTTCTGTGGTACAGAAATGTTTTCAGATTTTTCCCTATACTTGTTGTATAAGACAGTATTACTGTTTTTAATATGTAATAAACTATTGAATACAGTAATTATATGCTATCCTTTTAATTAACACCTTAGATAAATATTTTTATCAAAAAACTACTTTGATAAGTATAACATTATTTGCCAACATCTATATCCTTTTAACAATGTATTAGGTAACCTGGCTTATCTAAAATCTGTTTACGTTTCTGTTTTTCTCTTGTTTACATACAAATGTATCATAACAAACTAAATTAGATAACCCAAAATCTATCAATACAGATTTGATAAGAGAAATAAGGAACCATTCACAATTTACTACTACAATAGTATATTTAATTATCAATGTTTATATTATAAGTAGGGTATGATCGAAAAAAAAACCTTTAAAATGAAAATCGCTGTCATTTTATATGTAAATTTAAATGAGAAATGTCATTGATTGTCATTTTCCAGCCAACTGGGCGCCGTTTTTTTTTCGATCATACGGTATTTTGATGATTCTATTACAGTTGAGGGTTGGAACCTTTGGTGTTACACAGCAAAATAAAATTACACTAAATCACCACAATACACCAAAACATTTTTACTTTTACACTGGACGCGCGTTTCGCTAACCATGTTAGCATCATCAGCAAATGTAGTGTAAAAGTAAAAGTGTTTTGGTGTATTGTGGTGATTTAGTGTAATTTTATTTTGATGATTCTATTATTTGTTTTAATAAAATAGTGAAATTTGTTAATTTCAATTTTTTGTTGGCTATTCTTTCTTCCTTTCTATTTGTTTTTTTTTTCTATATGTTAAATTCTTTCAAAATTCTATTATAGGTACCCAGTATAAAAGAAATATATGCAGTGATGATTAGATTATAGTCCAGATTTAGATTCTTTTAATTTTTTTTAATTTGCCTGTTGTCATACACATGCAGATAGTCAGAACACCAGTCTCAATAATTTTTAAAAACGGAGCCTCAATAGAGGCTCATAAATATGTCTATGGCTTTGGTATAACAATCATTTCCAGTCCGTTTAAGAGATATTTGAATATAACTTTTTTGATTAATCCTATTCTTACCTTGTAAGTTGTCCAGCATGAAGGTAAGCAGCTTCTGCGTTCCATTCGGTTCACTGTAGATCGTTAGGATGTCCTTACTGAGTGGGTTTCCCATCAATCCCAAAATCATCAAGTTGAATAACTTGCCCAGCTCATAGGGTAATATTCTCAGAAGATTGTGACTAAGATGCAATTCCCTAATAAAAATATCTCATCAAGAAAATATACCAAATGTTAGAACTATGGAAATAATAAAATAATCGCAGTTTTTCAATCATATTGGACAAGAGAAATATTTTACATATCTCACACTATAGCTAATTGAGTAAAACAATAATTACAATAGAGAATATAGACTTGTGAGTTTTGGGGACAAACTGAAGATATATAAATAATATGCCCAGCTGCCCCAAATCCAGTATTTTAGCATATTTTTAGTATTATTATGAATAGTGAATCTTCTAATACCATTCATTAATATTGACAAATGTATATGTGGTGTGTACATTTACTACAAGAAAAGACTTGCTATCTTAAAGCCTTACAATTATTATCTATTTAATAATAAACTAATATTACAATAACTTGAAATAGTTATATCCATACCGTAACTGGATTAAGTCCCCTAACTCAGCTGGCAGTGACCGTAACTTATTATAACTTAAGTCCAAGTTACGAAGATTAACCAAATGACATATATCTGGAGGAATCCGATGTAAACTATTGTTTTTTAAAATTAATCCTAAAAAATAAACATTAAAATTAATAAATTAATATTTCTTTAATTTCTTTATATGTATAACTGAAACTAAATTAAAAGACAACACAGAGTGAATCTAGATTATTTAGAAAATATCTGGATGTAAAAGACAATTCTGGTCAAAAAGTAGGTAAAAATAAATACCTGTTAAATGTGTCATGTGAAACAAATTACAGCTAAGATTGCGAATAGTCCCTGTTATCTCCAACTCAGTCCATGGTTTTTTGGTATGAGATTGTTCTTCAGACAATAGATAGGTCTGGGCTTTTCGAGCAACACCTCCTGCACTAAAGGATGACGATGGCTGTTCATATTTATCCTTTGAATTTCGAGGCATAATATATCCTACAAAAAAAAGCAGTAACTGTTAATTATTGTTTTAATTATACCCTCACATTCAGTTTTTTTCTTATTGTTGGTAAAACGATTTCAAAAATACTAGAAATAACACATAAAATGTAAAACTACAAAGGGTTCAAGTTCCTTTGAAGTTCTTTGAACTTCAAAGAACTTACTGTGACCCTATAAATGCTAAAACCTTCCCAAGGAAGAATTAAAATTAACCTTTGAATAAAACGTATCGAATTTAAAAAATTCTTCAGATTCTACCAATTATAGAATTGGTGCTTTTGTTTACTATTAACATGACGCAGACTATTTAAGACACGTAAAGACAACAACAACCTAACACCTTCAGAAAAAGTCCAGTTACGAAACGGTAAATGTACTTTTTTGCTACATCTTTTAACTAACCTTCATCTACTCTCTAAATTTGAAAAATTAAAAACGATATATACAAATAAAAGTCTTTCCAAATTTTTGCAAACACAACACACTAGACCGACGAATATCGAGATGCCAAGTGACAGCGTGACAGGTTCGCCATTTTATCATCTTTGACATATGCCATAAAAAAAACCCTAGAAATTTTAGGTGACAAAAGTGACAAAGAAAAAATCCTCATAGAAAATCTATAAAAAAAATTGTTTTATATAATTAGGGTAAGTACCCCCAAATGGTACCCCACCCCATGGTATCCCTATTCTCTATAGTTTTATTCAACGGGCTTGGCATTCTAATCATTTGTTCAAATCAAAGCTTATAGCAAATGTGGTAATCAGGGATAGGATAGCTTGGGACACTTGGGAATAGGCATATCTGGCATTTCCGAGCCTCTTTTTGTTTTTTACGTTTAAGGTGTAAATATACGTAAAAAATATAAAATATTGAAAAAATGTAGTAAAAATAATACGTAAAAAACTAGTTTTTAGGAAAATATTTTTACTTACCCATCCCTGGTGGCTTGTAAGCATTCGAACCTTGACTGTCGTCTAAATTTGGTCTAAATTTACGTTTGACCACAGACTAAAGTCTGTGGTCACTACATTGAATTGGCCGATGAAGATTTAAGAAGAATTTGTTTTAACCTTAACGCAGATTTAGCGGAACGTCTATTTATTTATCTTGTGTGTTGTTGAAATGCATTTTTAGTTGTATAATTTTCTTCCTCTAAATATCTACAGTTTCTTCTAGATTTGGCCGATCTAAAATCCTTTTTATAGATTTATTAAGTAAAGTATAATTATGTCGAATTCCCTCTGCAAAACATCAGTTTTGCGAATATACCAAGAAGTCATTGACGATGTAGTATCTGGTGTTAGAGATTTGTTTGTCGAAGAAGGAATAGACGAACAAGTCCTACAGGAACTGAAGCAAACTTGGGAATCCAAATTATTGGCGAGTAAAGCAGTACAGGTTGAAGAAGAGAAACCAAAAAAACAGGGAAATGTTATACCATCAAATGGTTTTCCAAAACCAGTTCAGCATATCCAGCCGGCCCAACAAATTCCACCTGTAGTCCCTGCTCAGGTTCAATCAGTAGTTGAAACAAGAATGGTACCGATTCAAATTACGTTACCACCACAACCTGGAAACGATGGCGGAAGGGTTTTAACAATACAAGTAAGATTTTTGATAAAACTGTAATTTATGATTATTGTGTTATTATTTTAAAATAGGTGCCTGCAACTGCACTTCAGGGTAATCAGTTACAAAAAGTACTGACTGGCCCTGTTATCACTGCAACTATGGGCCTTCCACCATCAATTGCCTCATCATTATTGCAACAGCACGTAAATGCTGCCTTTAGTAGTCAACAACAAGCAGTAGCAGTTATCAATCGTAATGTAGCTCAGACTGATGGGACACACGATGATGAACAAATTGAAATTGAATTTATTTTACCAAATAAATGTAGTTCCAGCAAAAGTAAATTACGACATCAAAGAAAAGTACCAAAACTCAAACAAGTAGATGGATCCATGGATACTTCCGATGATGATGAAGATGGATCCGATGATGATAATGAAGATGACGATTTAGATGATGACAAGGATGAAGATGACCAAGAAATTGAAGATGAGGGAGGCGAAGAAGAACCACTTAATTCAGAGGACGATGTATCAGACGATGATCCAACTGATCTCTTTGACACTGATAATATTGTGGTGTGTCAATATGACAAAATAATACGGAACAGAAATAAATGGAAATTTTATCTTAAAGATGGTATAATGAATTTAAATGGTTTGGACTATGTCTTTCAAAAAGCTAATGGCGATGCAGAGTGGTAATATAATGTTTATATGGTATATTTTTTGAGTTTAAACAGTTTTCCTGTATGTAGAGTTTAGTGAAAATTTGAATCATCTAGCCTACAATTAAGTGCCAAAAAAAACTTAATGTGCTGCTTTTCACATATGCTCTGTCACTATAAAAAGTAATGTAACATATGCTGTATGATTGAAAAAAAAAACGGTGTCCAGAGGCCCGATTCTCTAAACATATTTCCTGTCTAGTGATTCATCAATCGTATATAAATAGCATAGGCTAGATCGGAAATTTCTTGCTACGGAGCTTACAAAATCCCACTGCAGTTGGCATGGAAATGACATTGCCCACCATAATTTTTTCATACAAAATGACAGCATTCTTCATGTCATAGCTGTCGCTGACGCCGCTTTTTTCGAGTGTCTTGTACTATATGATGAACTGGACGCCGTTTTTTTTTCGATCATATGGTACTTCTGTATATTTAAAAGGAATATCTGCTTTTAAAATGTGACTATGCTTAAAATATCAAACTAAGTAATTATAAGAGATTTAATATTTTTCAGTAAGCAGTAAGATTCAATCCAAATTTAAAGGTTAAGTATGTTACTGTGATACAATTCATGAGTTTTTTGTGAGTTTCGCTATAATCATCGAATAGGGACAATAGATTTTTCAGTCGATGTATCAGATGATGATTCAAAATTAAAAATAAAAGATAATATAAATGGTTCAATATTTTAACACTTATGAATATAAAAAAAATCAAGTACCTATTACAATCCAGATGTTTTCACTTCATTCTTACTTATAAAATTGCTGAAAAACTACATAAATTCTATATTAATAGTGACAGAAACTGTTCAAATTCAAAAAATATTTTATTATGTCAGGTCATATATGTTAAGTATATAATTTGTTTTTTTCTTGTTGTTTGCCAGATTTTTTGTTATTTACCTCTTTAATTATAGAAGAAACAGCTAAGTAGTTTTAATTGAAATACTGTTTTGTTCACTGTAAAATATGGTTATTATATGATTTATAAAATAAGTAGATTTTTTTATATGTAGTTTAAAATATACCTCTTGCGAACTTATACTAAAGGCTGGCAAAGGTTAGTCTTGTGTCGAGATTTCCGTATGTAAGAAGAGTACAATGCGTTTATAATGTACTGAACAAAGAGAGAACAGTAAACACGTTGCCAAACGTATAAAAAAAATCGAATTTTTCTTATTAAACACCTTGTAAAAGATCCGATCTTCAAAATAAAAAAAGTTTCAATACTAAAGTGGTTCTTAAGTCATGGCGTGTTATGTGTTAATTGTCGCGATTACTGACGTTTCCTCATTATAAAAAAATGAACACCCTAACGATATCCTTATAATTCCATTTCAGATGCTCAGAAACATATCTAATGATTTTATCTAGTTATCTTTTCGAAAAGTGTTTTAAAAATAATTAAGCAATCTATTTTTTTTTTATAATTTAATAAATAGATTGCTTAATTAAGGAAAAGAAAAACGCGTACAAAAATGGCTAAGTAGTAAACAACAACAAGATAGAGTCGCATATCTAGAAGTTAAAAGAACAACAAGACAAAAAATAAGAACTGCGAAACGAGAAATATGGGATACGAAATGTCAAGAAATAAATACCTATTTGGGAGGAAGGAAGTGTGCCGAGTCATGGAAGTTCATAAACCAAGTCAAAACCTCAGAAAAACAGAGGGCCAAGCTACAATTAATACCAATGAATAAATGGAAGGAATACTACGAAAAACTCTTAACGGAAAATAGGCAGGAATACTCCACAATATCACCCACAGAGATAAATATTTCCGGAGAAGTTATTAACATACCGCAAACGAAAAAGGCAGTGGCAGCACTGAAAAATAACAGAGCCCCGGGACCGCAGAATATTCCAGGTGAATTGGTAAAATGTGGAACAGAAAAACTATTTAAAGCCTTAACCTGGTGTATAAATAGATTCTTGAACGGCGCCCCAATACCAAAAGAGTGGAAAATCGCCTATATATCCTCAATCCACAAAAAGGGAAATAAACAAGTGTGCTCCAACTATAGAGGTATATCAGTAACAAGTACCCTAAGTCGATTATACGGACGGATCCTTAGAGATTTAATAGAACAGGAATACCAACAACAAGAAGAGGAGGAACAATCTGGTTTTCGGACTGGGAGAACCTGTACCGATAATATTTTCTGTCTGAAACAACTAATAGAGAAAAAAGTAGTATTTATCAGGAGACACACCTCATGTTTATTGACCTTCACAAAGCATATGATACCGTTCCAGTTAACAGACTATTCAAGGTACTACAGGACACCAACATTAACTACACCTTAATTAGAGCTCTGAAAAACTTGTACGAAGAATCGAAATCACAAATTAAAATAGGCAACACATTACCTGGAAGATTCTTTGTCAATAAATATCTACGACAAGGATGTTGTGTTTCTCCCACATTATTTAAAATATATGTAGCAAAGGCCTTGAGACAATGAAAGAGAAAATGTAATGGAATGGGCATTAATTTGGGACATACCTGTCTATATACCCTGCAGTTCGCAGATGATCAAGTTCTTATGGCCAACGATAAAGATGATTTGGAGTACATGACAAGGAAACTACAAGAGGAATATCAACGATGGAGTTTGGAAATAAATACAGGAAAAACTAAATATCTACCTATTGGTGCAGAACTATCTAGCGTACATCTAGAAAATGAAGAGATAGAAAGAAGCCTGCAATGACTACACCTATCTAGGAGTGATATTTGATAGAACAGCTAAAGATGACAAAGACATTAAAAAACGAATATCACAAGCTAGAAGAACAATTGGCTGTCTGAATGGAGTATTTTGGAGTAATGAAGCAGGGAAGAAACGGAAGATCAATATATACCAGACCCTGGTAAAGAGCAGTCTACTTTATGGTGCAGAGACTTGGCGAATAACGGAAGCCAACCGAAAAAAACTGGAAGCGGTAGAAATGGATGCCTATAGAAGAACCTTAGGAATTTCCCGAAGAGATAGAGTCCGAAACGAAGAAATCCAACAGAGGATAGGAATAGAGGGATCTTTGGCAACCGACATCGAACGCCAACAACTTATGTGGTACGGACATGTAGGATGACACACGACTTCCAAAACAAATTATGCAATGGATATCCCAATATCGAAGAAAACGTGGAAGACCTAAGAAGACTTGGAAGGAGGGTGTCACAAGAGCAATGAGTGCCAGAAATCTAAGCGAGGGAGAATGGAACGATCGGAAGACGTGGAAGTTAGGCATCGGACAACGTCGCAAGACGTTCTAAACCGATATACAGGCCCGGCAATGGATCTCTAGGCATAGGAATTACATGCATTGGAATGAAACGCCTATAAAAAGTCTATGCTTAAACAGAGATGGACAACGACTTCCCCGTTTCCACTTCCACTACGACTGTCTACTTAGACAAACTCCAATAAGATAACAAATTTTGGAAATTCCGCCACCTCCCATCCACTCATGATACCAATCTCCCTGCCCTTTATTTATCGCCATTATTTTATTTCCCTTCCCGCGCCTCCGCACCTCGCTATTCCGACTACCGTCAGTTCAATATCAGTTGCCAGGTCTACCGGTTTCGTCTGTAAGCTACCGATCTACCGATTTAAAGAAAAACCCAACGATATATTCAACTGCGTCTTTAGTTTTTACAATAGAAGCACTTTTAAAAAGCTGACTTATTTGACTAAAAATTAAGCGACTGCCGCGTTGGAATCTATATAATCTGACTTTATTATTGTTTCATTAAATTTTATTTAGTAATAACAGACATACAGGTCATCGTTCTGTCTAGTTGCAGAGTTACAGAGATATTCCTAAAAATCCTTATTACTCCTTATTAGGCGCGGGATTGGCGGCATGCCCGAAGAAGTTGATATCTTTTGAAAAGATTTTATTTCATTCATCTACTAAAGTTGAACCCATATTTTCCCCCAAAAAATGTAAACAAAAACAAAATTTAAGTTAAGAAACAACCTAAATTCGGACAATATTTAGTGATTTTCCCGTCAAAAAAATTTATTAATATGAAAAAAGAGTTGAGAGTTGCTACAGCTTTACCATTGAAATGAAATTAATTTTAGATATCACTGATCAAAATTTGTACAAAGGTAAAAAGTGACTGTTACACTAATTTGTGACTGCTATCCCTACTTGTTATAGTTTTATATGTTTTTATTAATATATTAATATTATTTAATTCAATATTTTTTTTTAATATCAAATAATATACCTAGCTATTTCTAATTCTTGTTATATTTATTATATTTGTATTTTATTTGATGATCTATTATTACGACACATAGGAATGCTAATTTTGGACTTAAATATTATATTTTATTTCGTTTCTGTACTTTTAATTTTTGTTGAAGATCTACCGAGAATTTTGTTCTCGTATGGAATTATAATCTAACCAACCCGGCAACCCTGTTCGGCTACTCCTTATAAAGTTTTTTTCGGCCTAATTCCTTTGTCACAGCCGCGGCTTTGTCAAGCGCCGCCGCCGACCGACTGTGTCGGGGCGACTGCTAGGAAGATCGTACAGTATTGCCATTTCATAGAATTGCACTTGCTATTTTAGAAATGATTTCAAAGTTTTGCATGTTACTTTTCGTTTTAGAAAGAAGTTATGTGCCTAGAGAAAACATTCTTAAAATTGTTTCGTACTTTATTTAATATTTCATTAAGTAGGCAAGATAATGGGATTAGAAGATTTAGGATTTTGACAAGCCAACATAATTTCGATTTAATTGAATGGCAACACTGTCCGTCCTGTTTCTATTTTTTCGATTCTGTTCTATTAGTAGGCGGTAGCCCCCACACAAGCGTCTTAAAGACCGCCCGGCGCCCCCTCTCGCAGGGGCTCTCTCGTCGTATCACTTCTATGATCACTTCCCTATACGATGGTAGGGAAAAGACACTTTATCCGTCTCTGTTGCACTGCAGTGTATTTTGCAGCCTTACCATCTTTTTTATCGCATTGAAAACCTCCTATTGCTAATATTCCTTTGCCAGCAGTATATATATATATATATATATATATATATATATATATATATATATATATATATATATATATATATATATATATATATATATATATATATATATATATATTTTACTTTACTTGACAGGGAAAGGCGTACCGGCAACGCCGCAATAGCACGCCATCGCACATCTCTCACTCCGACTTAATAAGATCCCTATGCGATTTACGTCCACGCATGTAAATACCGACCCAAGAGTAACAGTTGCCAGCACGGTATTTGATCTCATCCAAGTTCAATATATTCTCTTGAGGGAAGGCACTAGAAATAGCTTGTATTATATAAATTTTATTCGAAATATGTTTCTATTACTTGTTCTTTAAATAACAGATTTTAGGTATAATTTTTCTACAGCAAAACTAACATTTTTAGTGTACAAAACACAATCGTTCCCGGAATTCAGCTAATTAGTGGAATAATCAAAAACAACTTATTTGTTTTTATTCTTAAACATCTGTAATTATTATCACATTTGTTTAAAACAAGCTTGCATCTTTGTCACATAAAAAATGCACTCGCGCGTTAAGAATCCTTAAGGCGACATTAAGATTTAGTTTACTTAAATGTGTTCTGTCAATTTATGTGAGAAAGTTGCAGACTTCATTTGAATTTGTACAATATAGCTAAAAAAATATACCTTAAGTTTAACAAAGTCCAAGGAAAAGGAAATGGAAATATAACTTAAAATTATATAATACAATGTTAAGATATTTTGTTGTGGCAGCGTACATATTTATTTTGTATGATATGATAAAGTCTGCAAAACATTTCAAAATAAAACAGATCGGAACTGAGCTATACAGGGTGTACCAAAAAATTACAATTACAATTATGAGAAAAAAAATTATATAACCAATTTCGAGCCAAGAACCGTTGCTTATGGTTGACAGATAAACAATGCTTTAAACGTCAGTTGTCTACCGATTGGTTGACAACTGACGTTTTAAGCATTGTTAATCTGTCAGCCCACTGCCGTTCTTTAAAAGATCAGCCTGGGGGCGGACTTTTGTTTACTAATCAGCTGTACATACTTAGATATTGGGTTAGATTCCGTTTCATATTTTGTCGGTTGATTTTTGGTATTATTTATTATTGTAGTGGAAAAAACTAATTATTTTGGTGTTTAAGTGACATAAACTACTACCAGATATATGGTCACTCTCGGTTTCGCATAATAAATAGAAAAATTGAAAAATTACACGTTGTGTAAATGATTTAACCTAAAAATGCCCATACATTTTTTACTCATCGTGATTTTTGTGTGTGTTTTTTAAGACTCTAACAATTCATCAATAAAGCTTAAGTGGAGTGTGTTTTTGGTGCTATGCCTCATCTTTGTTGTGTTCATGGTGGAAAGGATAGTTATACTAGGCAGCCTAAAGTGTCCGGAAGAGCAAGAAAAGTGGGTACGAGTTATAAATCAAGAGAATTCTATTGAAAATATCTTTAATAAATTTAAAAATATTCTCCCATGATGGTATTAATGAAAACTGGACAATTATGTTTATTTTATTCATATTGTGGAATCTCCAGTCCAAGTGTTGTTGGTTCAGCTTCGATAGATTCAAACACGTAAGTAGGTATTATGATCTAGGGAAAAATAAAGAATATGTGTATTAAAGATCATGAAAAAGATTATTATTTTGAGTTCAAATTTTAAAAAGATTTTTGTAAAGACAAGACTGATACAGTTTAAAAAAGAAGAATGTGTTTTTGTTTGATAATATATAATAATGTGTCAAGTTGTCAAGCATAACATATATTTTTGTTCAGTAATTTTTAATGAATAGTGTTGATTATTTATAATACCAAATTAATATCAAATATTTAAGTGATGGCTGAATACAATATGAATAAAATAACAATAAAATTGGTATATTTGCATAATACAAAATTAAGTTTTAAGAATAAAGGTGTTACTAAAAATACTAATAAATTCATATTTCTTTGTTTTAATTGGTCTAATGTTATTTACATTTTACGTAAGAATTATACCGTATCATCGAAAAAAATCGGCGTCTAGCTGGCTTGGAAATGAACATCGATGACATTCCCTAAATATAACTGTACACATAAAATAATTAACTAGAATTTTACAATCTTGGAAAATTTGATATTCTTGAACCTTGTTTCTAAATATTCTAAATTTTTTGATTTTCTTGGGATTTAGGTTCGGGAAAAACGCTGATTAAGTTTTCATTTGGTTTTTCATTATTTTTATTTGGTTAAAAAAAAACGTTTCGGCTAACATTATAGCCTTCATCAGTGTTGTGTCATATGAAAAAAATAGTGTCGAATATAATCCAAAAAATTACATATAAAATATTCACACCACACACATGTTTATTGCGTACTCCATAGTCAATGTAGATAATTTTAGTGTTAAGAATAATAATTTTAAAAAATATGTGGTCATCTTTTGATAAGTTTATATTAGTTTATTAATTGCAGTAAACATTATGAGGTGTGAATTATATTGTATATGTAATTTTTTGGATTATATTCGACACTATCTTTCTCATATGACACAACACTGATGAAGACTATAGTTAGCCGAAACGTTTTAAGCCAAATAAAAATAATGAAACCCAAATGAAAAACTTAAATCAGCATTTTCCCGAACCTAAAATCCCAAGAAAATCAAAATTTTAGAATAATTTTACTTATAAAATGCCAGCGATCTTCATTTCATACCCATCGCTGACGATTTTTTTTTGATAAAATTGTATTATTTGTAAATATAATTTTTCAAACATTGATACTTGCAAAATATACATATAAATTTTGTGAATGCAAATAATAATACATCACTATTAGTAGATATTGAATGTTTTTTGTTAAATTAGATCGATTTTCAAACCCCAAAATTTAAAATATATTTACATTTTACCCGTTATCTTATGTACCTATACATTATTTGTACATTGTAAAACATTTGCTGCATTTGTATGGTTCATAGTTTATTTGCCAAAGTATTTATTACTATAAATAGGTATATATGTTGTAGTTATTAACTGTATATTATGTATATTTCATGTAAACTACATCATTTTTAAAATACAAACCAAAAATCTGAGGAATAATTATGTTTTCCATGTCTTCTACAACAAATTTCCGTTATATCTAACTCGCGTGACGTCATAACTCTCGCCCGCAGGCTGGTCTTTTAATAGAAGGCACTGGTCAGCCATAACCAACGGTTGTTCGCTCGAAATTAGCCTATGTAATGCGACAAGTAAATCAGGTAGCGAATTATAAAAATCCACATCGGGTATACCAAATGTGAGGTTAGGTTACAACGTATCGGAAAAAAGAATCAGAATTTGATTTTATCTCCATTATACTGAGTTTAATAGATGTACAGGAACTTTAAGAAAAACATTTTTTGAATGCTTTTTAAACCCGAAAAATCAAATAAGCTTCACTGAAGTACCTAAAATCCAACAAGAATAATCCCTAATAAATGTTTTCACATGTTCAAAAATAGTTAAATGTGAATTGATACCAAACTTATTTCAATGGCTTATAGAAAAGCAGAATAATTTAACAATAAATAAATAAATTTTAATTTGTTGTATTGGACATGGTCAAGAAGTTCTTAATAACTACCTTCTTCGACACACCCTGTATAATCTTCAACTTTAGCCCACAAAAAATCACAAATGAAATTAAATTTTTCGAAATATCCATAAAAGAAATAATGTAAAATAACCAATTCCGTATAGATGGGCATGTTTAATTATAATAATAATAATAAAAGGTATACAGATACAATCGATGTTCTAATAAGAAAATCACGATTTAATTTGAATAACTTCACCAATACCGGCTTAATAAAGTTATATAATTAATCAAAACTCGCTGTATAAATATAATCTACAAAAAAATGAAATTAACACATTGTAAAAAGAAACAAATATATATAAAATAACCGTCAGTACTTGATAGATATGTTTCAGTTACCAGTTTTATGAAGAAACGTGATGCCAAAATTATTGTGTATAAATAAAAAAGCAAAATAAAATTGCACTAATTAATAAAATAACTTTGATCTATATGGCACTTTTTCGGAGTTTCTCAATCAATACACTGCCACCGATAGATTTTTACAAGTCCAGAAAAAAACAGACTTAAAAAAGTTAATAACTAGAACAGATAAAAACTAAAATTTGTCTTGGAACAGAAATAAATTATTGGTTGCTGCCACAGCTATTATATTCTCTAGAGGATGCCACGCGGTATGTAAAATTTTCTTATTAAAATCTAAACAGTCCACACTGATTTCGTCTTTTTTCCTTTTGCCCTGCGAACAGACCTTGCGCGGTCTCAGCAACGTTTTCGGTTTGGCAATGTCTCGCGACGCCTCCAGCGTCACGTCCCGCTTCATTGTCCTATCGAAGATCCGGAAGAAGTTATTGTACGAGCCCGTCATTATTGCCGTGTCGTTGCCGTTCCAACAGCACTCGAATTTGTCGAATATACAGTCGTTCTCGTACAAGGAACACAGTTTAGCTCTCAAATATTCATGAACCTAAACACAAAAATTGCATGAAAATACCACACTATGATTATAGTCTTCGAATAAAAAGATTAAGGAAGGAGCATATAGTAAACGCCACGAATGTTTGGGAGTGATTCATCGGTCGCTACCATGTGAACTAATCTGCTCATCAGTGCCGTTCTAATGTTACTTAAAATTGTAAAAATATAATATAGGGTTCAATCATTTGTTGGTTTACTTGTATGATAGTCTGTGAAACGAATAACTTTGAATTTGACAGATTCCGCGGGCTTTTCTAGTGTTAATTTTATTAGGTTAGCAACTTGCGGCCATGCTGACGCAATGCCGTCTCTAATAGAACAGCCTCGGAGCGAGATTTATGACGTCACGCTAGTTAGATACTACGGATTAATAAATATGTATTAATTAATAAATATATATGTCACTGTAAACGTCCGAAATGCGGCAAAAAACCTAGGATAAGCGCGCTAAACCTAGGATTTACCAAAAACATTAACTAATTAGGTTAGCCTGGTTATTTGGAGGGTGTTAATGCATTGGTTAGCCTGGTTATTTGGAGGGTCTTAATGCATTGGTTAGCCTGGTTATTTGGGGGGTGTTAATGCATTGGTTAGGTGGTTATTTGGTGGGGTTGGTTGGTTTTTACTACCACTTGCTTTTTTGGTAAATCCTAGGTTTTAAATCCCAAGAAAATCAAAAATTTTAGAATAATTTTACATATAAAATGACAGCGATCTTTATTTCATAAAAAAATATTTTTTTTGGAGGGTCTTAATGCATTGGTTAGCCTGGTTATTTGGGGGGTGTTAATGCATTGGTTAGGTGGTTATTTGGTGGGGTTGGTTGGTTTTTACTACCACTTGCTTTTTTGGTAAATCCTAGGTTTTAAATCCCAAGAAAATCAAAAACTTTAGAATAATTTTACATATAAAATGACAGCGATCTTTATTTCATAGCCATCGCTGACGCCTTTTTTTCTATGATATTGTATTATTTGCAAATATAATTTTTTGAACATTGATACTTGCAAAATATGCATATAAATTTTGTGAATGTAAATAATAATATATCACTATTAGTAGATATTGAATGTTTTTTGTTAAATTAGATCGATTTTCAAACCCCCTATTCATTATTTGTATATTGTAAAACATTTGCTGCATTTGTATGGTTCATAGTTTTATTTGCCAAAGTATTTATTACTATAAATAGGTATATATGGGGAAATTAAAATAACTTTGGTTGCACATCATATTACGACCACCAGCAAACTCCATAAGACGACGCATGGTGGCATAGATGACGTGCAACGAAAGTTGTTTTAATTTCCCGTTATATTGTATTTATTAACTGTATATTATGTATATTTCATGTAAACTATATCGTTTTTAAAATACAAACCAAAAATACGAGGAATAATTATGTTTTCCATGTATTCTACAACATATTTATTAATCCGTAGTATCTAACTAGCGTGACGTCATAAATCTCGCTCCGAGGCTGTTCTATTAGAGACGGCATTGGCCTGATATTTAGAAATGTCAAAAGCTGATGACATTTTACTTTTGACAATTATGTCATTTCGAGTTGATTTTTGTAAGAAGAGGAAGAACTGTCACTTGTTTTATTATTTTCCTTTTCTATTTCACAAAAGTAAAAAGAGTTACCTATCTGATTCGTTCAGGCACTCAATTTAAAGAATATCAGTAACTGACAGAGGGATTTTATATTTGCCATGTTGGTAAAAAATTAAAAGTTATTCATTTTATAGACTATACCAATGATTTTTTTTAATTACTAAGATCTTCCTTAGTATCCTTATGACCTTCCTTATATTCCTTATTATCTCTAAAAAAATCTCTAAAAAAAATGTGATACTTACAGGATAAGTTTCAATAGGTTTTGACTCCATATGCAAATCCCATACCTTAACGGAAAGGTAGTCCCGCGAGATCATATACCTGCCGTTATTTGACAATTTGACGTCACTAATACTGGATATTATTTCTGAGAAGAAGCTCCTATTTGTCGGATCTTCCGGTTCCTCGAAGAGCTTCGCGTGCTTGTCGCACAGAGCTGCCGCTCTCATATCACATAACCTAAAAAAAGTAATGACATCAATTAGAATGAAAATAGTTGCCTTAGCCACAGACTATAAACTTTGTTTTTTCTTTATTGTTTTTTGTGGTTCCAATTTTCGGAATCAGGCACTAGTTAGGTTATTAGTTTGCGCACATAGCACGCCCACTTATGGCCTCTAAAATTGTGCACAGCGCCTGACCGGCACAGTTATTAAAGAGATATCGGAAAACCAAATAGCGTCATGCAGTATTTACGCGTACCTTATCATGGTTACGATATGCGCGAGTCAATTTTTAACGCAACACCCGCTAATAACGTTACCGCCTGACGTAATTTGCGGATCAATTACACCCAAGAACGGTAAGGTTAACTGTTCTTGAATTACACCAAGCGCTATTTCTAAATAACGTTTAAAAATTGCTTAAATGGGCTAGTGGTCGAGATCTATCGATAGTCCCTACCATCGATAATTATCGATAGTCGGTCCTTTGACCATCGATTATTATCGATAGTGTTCGATAGTCATAATAATTAGTGAGTTTACCAGTTTTTAGGTTATTTTTTAAATAAATTATGTTTTGTGGGAGATCATTGGCGTAAAAAACTACCCCAGACTCTTTAAATAACATTTTTATATTAAACCACCGCCTGCAAATGGAATGAACGCATCACACATCACATACGTTTTTTTATATTTTGATTTATGTTTATTATTGTTTATCACATATAAATTAAATTGCAAAATGCAAAGCAAAAATGCCAGATTAGATCCAAAAATCCGTTGGCCGTAAGCTTGAAGTTGACGTTTGACGTTAAAGTTGACACTGTTGACAGTTAACGTTGACAGCGTTGACACGACATTTGATAATTTTGACAATAATGACATATTTCGGGTTGACTAACTTCTCCGAAAACTCGTTTAAAAGAAGATTCTTATTTATTTTCAGCCTATGTTAAAGAACCGATTGGTTGTGATTAAAAAAATTAAACCTGAATGTCTTTTCTTTATTGAAACTGGTAAATAGTAATAAAGACATAATTATCGAAAACTATCGATGGTCAGAAATATAATATCGATAGTTTTCGATAGTATAAACTATCGATAAATATCGATAGGCTGTCGATAGTTCTCGACCACTAAAATGGGCATGTGCGGGTATTTGACAACCGGGGCCGGCCGGCGAGATCTTTTATTTTAGGTTATGTTTGAATTGTTTTGAATTATTACTTTAGTTTTATTAGATAATTTGATATTTAAGTAGCTGGGATTAGTTTTAATTAAATAAATATAGCCTAAAATATGGATTCCACCTATTCCAATATTAAAGAACCTATAAAGAGGCTTAGGTTTACAGCAGATGACGACTTAGCCCTTCTAAGAGAATTTGTTGCTTGTTGCCCTAAACCCACTGGCAGACGTTGAACAATAAAGCACTGGAAATAAGCACCTTAGCCCTTTAGTTTTAAAATACCTAGTAAACAAAACAATTTCAAAGTTAGGTTAAGTTTAAATAGAGGACGTAACGCGAACAGAATTCTTTCCGATCCGATAACTATAAATGAAGAGAGTTAATACCACCTCACGTAAAGGAAATAACACCTGGCCTTATTAACGTCCATGCACGCTATTCGATTTAGCGATATCTCTCTATTACGCTGTCTATTGTTATTTTACGCGAGTTTATTTTTGCGCACACGAAATTTTACTCGTTTGTTCGTCATACAAAAAACAATTTAGGGATAAGATTTTTATCTGTATACATATAGAATACCCTCTCTGTGGTATTATCGACTTACCTAATTGTTCCTTTACTACTACTATAAACAAACAGATTGCATTCGACAGGATGAAACTCGGCGGCCGTGATGACCTCTGTCAGCTCCTCCATGTTTGTCGGTTTAATATCGACGATATTGAAACTCTGGTCGGTGATTTCGAGGTGCCACAGATTAATTCGCAAGTCATCGGCCGACAAATAAGTCTCCTGATCCGAGTTAACCGATATAGAGTTTATATGGTAGGTGTGAGCATTGGCAAATATTCTTCGTGGGGAGGCTTCCACCATCAGTTCCATAGGCTTTATGACGGGGACGCGTAACGCGCTAACAGCACCAGGTTCTACAAGTGAGCCTGTATAAAATATTTCATTAGGGTATAAATGTACAGGGTGTCCCATTTTCGTGTGTTTTATGGGATTTCTCGTTTGAGAAAAGTAAAGAATGCGGTTTTCACATCACTGTACAACTTTTTTTTATAAAACTGAACATGCAACATACAGAGTTGTCCTAGACCATTTAGTTCCTGAAATACAGGGCGAACTTGGAAATTTTCTATTTTTCTGACACCTTTCTTATCTTCGTTATTTTATAAAATTATCAAAAGATGAAAACTTTGTTCCGCAGAGTTTTTCACTTAGAATCCAGTGGCGTAGGCGTAATCAGTTTTTTGCTGGGAACTTATTTTTTTTTAAATGGAACACCCTATACCGGGTGCGTCTCAAAAGTGGCTCACATATGATATGTCATGCTATTCAGAGTTTTATTTTCTATCAAATAAAGTAAAAAAATACCGAGGGTGTCATTTAAAAATCAAATGTTGAAGTCATTTCCGGTGAAACAAGAAGTGACCAAAAACAATTGAATACGTCAATCAATCCTAATTTATGTCATATACTAACATACCAAATCTCGTTTTGTTATATGAAAAAATATAAAAGTTATAGGGGTGAGCCACTTTTGAGACGCACCCGGTATATTATTTTATTTGCCTCGTTATGAGCTGTCTAAAAATGTAATATACTTATTTTCATTAATCAAAATTCGCCCTGTTTTTCAGGACCTATTAGGGCTAGGACAAATCTGTCTGTAGCCTTTTTAGTTTCATAAAAAAAGTAGCATATAAAAGTAGTAACAAACACACGAAAATGGGACACTCTGTACAAAATGCAGATACCCAAAATATACAAACAAAAATATGCTAGGTTGTTCGATATTTATTAAAAAAGGGTTATTAACAAAGGTTATAGTATTTCAGTAAATTAAAAAAGAATCGAAAGCATTTATTTTAAGCTTTGTAGACTCTATACAGGGTTGACCCTGGGTTCAAAAAACTCCATATCAATTTTTTTTTCATTCTGTGCAAAATATAGTGGGACTAGTAGCACATATTTGAAAAATACCTTTGTAGATATTCAAATACATATATTTATTACAGATGTAGTTTTTTTAAATACTGTAAATTTTTGCACTCTATGGATTTCCTATTCTAAAAACATCATGTTATTGAAGCCTGTTACTCAGTAATTCTTTTAAAATTAAAATTAAGTATACTATAAATATACGGCATGATCGAATAAAAACGGCGTCAGCGATGGCTATGAAATGAAAATCGCTGTCATTTTATATGTAAAATTCTTTGAATAAGAAGACTAAGGAAGGAGCATATCAAAAACCTTAGGTACACCGCGATGGGCCTCAAATATGGCCGACTTAAATTCCGGTTTATCAGTGTCGTTCTAATTTTATTTAAAAAATGTAAAACTATGATGTAGGGTAGACGTGGGGTAGACTCAATAATTTGTTGTTTTATTTTACGTTGTGAATAAATGTTGGTAGTTATTAAAATTGTTATAAAAATATATAATTCTAATAAAAATAAGTTATAATAAGTATTTATACTACAAACATCCGATACGCTACTGAAGCAGGTAAGTCAAATTAACGTATCTAAATTCTTTGAAATCTAATCTTTGACAAGTAATAAATAAAAGCTAAAATGCAAGAAAAATATATAATTTAGTTAATTTAAGTGAATTTCATAAATGATCGGTTTACTACACGTATGTATATTATATAGTCACTTACTAGCGAAAAGTTGTTCCATTATTTCACTCGATTTTTGCCGAGATCTACCGCACGCTACACAACCAACTATTTTAGAGTCTTTTTCGATAAATCGCGATAGTGTCACTGTTAATTTAAGTTCTGCCACAATTTCCATCTAGATTTACTACCTTTACTACCTACTATCAGTAGTAGAATAAATAATAAATAACATAAAATCAGCTCCGTAAAGACTGACAAATCCACAAAATTTCAAATCAAATTCAAATGTGTCAAATGAATCGTCAAACAGAACTGTCAAGGATCCCCACCCTAGAGTGCTTTTATGGTGCTTTTTCCGCCCACCATGCATGAATACATGGATAGCATTATGCTCCTTCCTTAGTCTTCTTATTCAAAGGTAAAATTATATGGGAAATGTCATCGATCGTCATTTCCAAGCCAACTGGACGCCGTTTTTTTTTCGATTATACGGAATTATATTGCATGCACATACAGGTATAGGACGAATCAGAACTGGATGTGTATTTTTCTCTATTTTTATAATATGGTATTTTATAACACGAACAAATAAAAATTTTATCAAATTTCTTGTTTTGATCAATAATATTTAAATCTAAAATTGATGTTTATACACAAATTTTCTGTTTTTAATGATAATATTTTAACTGCATCACCACAATAAATTGTGTTTATAAAGAGTTTTCAACTATAGTCAATTTTATTGGCTCTGATAGCACATAGGGGAGGTTAGAGTCGTAAAACAATCATAAACCATGCCATGCCATGTACCTGCCAATAGCAAATATAAAATATATTTCAATTTCGCCCTTTACGACCTCATTTGCATTTTAGGACAGTATTGTTCTTTTCTCATTTATAGAGTGGACTGACCTAGAATTTCTATTTCCCTTATAAATGTATGCAAAAAGATGATGATAGACAGGTAAAATTCGTTTACACACCCTGTTGTTCTTTTGAATTTATAATGAGGGCGCTTTGCTATTAGGGCCTAAAGAGCATGGTATAATTCTTAATTTTTGATACAGACAGGTAGGTATATAATAATAAAAATTGTAGTATTCCAAAAACCATTCGGTATAGATTATGACATGGCCTTATTGATGGAATGAGAATGTAATAACATATCCAATGAGCAACAAATATACAGCATTCCATTTAAAAAAACTAAAACTTTTGTGTAAAATATTTTGAATCATCCTATGTACAGGGTGTGTCAAATTCGACGCTTTTAAATGGAAACACCCTTTTCTGTAGGAGATAGACAAAAACTAATATCGGTATCTGGAGCTCAATTTTTGTCAAAAACATGATGGTGAAAACCGCATATCGATATCTGTTACCGTTTCGGAGTTGCGAGGTGTTTTTCAAAAATATGCATTTTTAACAAATCGCTGTAACTTTTTTGCTGTGGAAAATTTTGTATTCTTATGAAAACATTTCCAAAACACCTTTTTACGTAGAATTTAATTGTATTGTATTGTATTTGACTAAGAGTGGGTCCCATAGGGGACCCTCCACTGAGGCCGCGACGGCCTATTGTGGCTCAGTTTCTACAAGCTCTAATTTACAAGAGCGTCAAAGTTCATCCTCAAGACCCAGCCTCTTAATATAAGCCGTTATGTCTGAGGGCGATATGTCTCCTAGGTCTGCTAGGTCTAGCATGGGTTTGCCAAACATTTCAAACCTGGTCCTGCTCCCACTCCATAGCCACTAAGTCAGGCGGCCTCGACGGCCAACGGCTGGGATCAATTATTCTTGAAATTGGCTGCAAAAATTTACTGATGAACTTCAGCTTTCAGAGACGGTGCGTCGTCTTGCTGGAAAAATGTGTTTTCGAGGTCCATTAAGGGCATATCAATAAGGAATCCAAAGCATACTAGTTAAAAGTGGCGATCTTTTAAAAATTCTGTATTTCGAAGGGGATTGTAACAAAATATCAAGTGTGCTATATTTTTGGAAAGGTAATTTTATATTCTTTTCAGTTAATTAAAAATACAGAGGGTGTACCAAATAAAAAATCAATTTTTCTGTTGATAACCCTTAAATCATTAATTTAAAAAAAATTATACTTAAACCATTAAATTCTACGTAAAAAGGTGCTTTGGAAATGTTTTGATAGAAATACAAAATTTTCCATAGCAAAAAAGTTACAGCGATTTGTTAAAAATGCACATTTTTGAAAAACACCCCGTAACTCCGAAACGGTAACAGATATTAATGTGCGGTTTTCACCATCATGTTTTTGATGAAAATTGAGCTCCAGACACCGATATCAGTTTTCGTCTATCTACTATAGTAAAGGGTGTTTCCATTTAAAAGCGTCGAATTTGACCCACCCTGTACACGTGAGTCTTAAATAAGTGCAAATATCGAAAAAAGAAACATACTTTCTCTTTATCGTTTTTCAAATAAGTCCAAAATAACCGAGTTGTTTAACTTTGAAAATTTCGGAATAAAAATGATTTTTTGCTAAAATTTTGGGAACCACTGGACCTTTTCTGGGTTTTCTTTCTTGTAAATTTCATCTACTACCTATGTTGCCATATTCTTAAGAAATTAGTTAGGTTTGGTTTTTTAAAACAAGCAAAATTTTTTATGAAGAATGCATTTTTCTCAAAATGTCAATAATAAAAAAAGTTTTTCCTCTAAAGATAATTTGGGAATATACTGTATAAAAAATATAACTGAGATTACAAATATTAAAAACTATGATAAAGCAAGTATTTTTTTCAGTGTCTCAGAACCACCATAATTTGTTTTTATTTTAATTTAAGATTATTGAGATACCAGTGTTGTCAGATGTCTCATGAAGAACTTAATTGAAAAAAAAAATTGTAAAATAAAAATATGGAACGTGACAATCTTGATTTTCATTTTAACAAAGTAGTATTATTTATCATTACATACAGTGGTGGCCAAAAGTATGGAAACTTTTTACTTTTTAAAATATCACAGAAAATATTGCTATGCTTAAACTCTCAGGAATATAAATGAACAGCTTATCAGCAAATAAAAGTATTCCAAAAATTACACAGCGAAAAAGATCTGTTTAGCAGTTTTTGTAGGGGAACAATAGATTTCTTGTGGCCAAAAGTATGGAAACCATAAATAAATACATTAAAATTATTTAGTTTAAGCTGATAAACGGTACGACTTACTTCAGATAAATATAAACATCATGCCCAAGTCTAAATATTTCTCTACGGATTTAAAAAATAAAATAGTTGAATTATACAAGAGCGGTTATAAACAAATTCAAATAAGTAAAAATTTAAACATTTTAAGAAGCACCGTTTCGAAAATAATTCGTAAATTTAATAAAACAGGGAACGTTTCAACAGCTTTTAAGTCAGGAAGACCAAGAAAGTTGTGCAACAGGACAATGAAAGTAATGAAGAGAATATCAATGGGAGATCCAAGAAAAACATCCACAGACATTTCTCGAGAAATGGGTGAAAGGGGAATATCGGTATCTGCACGCACGGTGAGAAGAAGGTTGGATGACATGGGACTTTTTGGAAGAGTTGCGGTGAAGAAACCACTAATATCAAAGAATAATAGGATGGCCCGCTTTAAATTTGCTCAAGATCATCTCACCTGGTCTTATTAGAAATGGAATACTGTACTGTTTAGCGACGAAAGCAAGTTTCAACTGTTTGGTAGTGACGGGAGACGTTATGTTCGAAGACCAAAAGGTACACGGTACAGCCAGATGCCCACAGTAAAACATGGGGGTGGGAGTATAATGGTATGGGGGTGTTTTTCTCGCTCAGGTGTTGGTTCTCTTGTTAAAATTGATGGGATAATGGACCGTTTTTTTGTACAAAGACATATTGGAGAATAATATACTGCCTCATGCTGATGAAGAAATGCCACTCAGATGGTTGTTCGAGCAAGACAATGATCCCAAGCACAAATCTCGGTTTGTTCAAAATTGGTTAAATGAACATAATGTTCCACTAATGGATTGGCCCTCACAGTCTCCGGATCTTAACCCCATAGAAAATTTATGGGATCATTTGGATAGCAAAATTCGAAGCCATTCTATTTCAAATAAAAATGAATTATGGGAAGTGCTAACAACTGAATGGGCGGGCATTTCCAGTAAAGATTGTACGAGATTGATCGATTCGATGCCACGAAGATGTAGAGAAGTAATTAATTCAAAAGGGATATATAAAAAAAGGGATATTCCACTAAATATTAGTAATTTTTACATTACCTTGAATTTTAATAAACATTCTTCTTAAGTTTCCATACTTTTGACCAAGAAAATATTCATAATTTTTTATATATTTTTTGATAGCTGTAATTTTTTATTTAAATGTATTAGGTTTTGTAGGAAATTATTTGTAGGTCACGATTATATAAGTCGCTTTATTTCATATTTTAATTTCTCAACATAAATGACTACTTTTGGCCACCACTGTATATAAAAACTTACCATTTTCACCTCTAGTATTATACCCTTCAACTTTCTTGTCCCTTTCCGATACCTTCCACAATTTAATAGTTTTATCGTTTGTAGATAGAAGAAAATGAGCAGGGTTCCTCCTTTTCAGCCATCTGATCTTATTAATTTTTTCCTCAATCTCCAAACTTTTGAGGTAGTCAAACTCGGGCTCGTGGCTTTGAAACGTTGAGTATACATTGTACTCCCCCCTCCTGGGAAGGCTAGTTTTTGATATGGGGTCACGCTGAAAGATTACTACTCTCCCACCTTTATCACCGGTGGCAAGTAGTTCCCCATCGTGATTGAATTCCACACAAGAGATTATATCGGCTTCAGTAACATCATCATCTAGAGTACCTTTAACTTGAGAAAAGCACCACTGGGTCTCTCCATTGCCTGTAAAATCAGTATAATTTTAAAATTAATTACTTTAATTTATCTACGTATAAGGTACCCATAAATAAATCCAAATTTACATTAAGAAAAAAAATTAAAATGGGCAAAGGTTACAGTCATTACCTACATGTACGAGAGTGTTAAGTATTTAAAAAAACAAAAATGTACATGCAAGCAATCTATAACATTTTTTTTTTTGATAATTTGTTAATAATATACAAGGTGGTATGCTATGTGTTTCAGTAATTCTGCTATTAATAATTGTACTGTTTTTTTTATAGTAAAGAACATCCTCTTAATAGTACAATTAGTCAATATTATCTAATTCTAATCTCTAGTAGTGGCGAGAAGAGACAATAGATATGTGTCATAATAAAATTAACATAAAAATAATCTAAAATTTTTGATAATGATTAAAAAAATACAATTTACATTTAGCTGCATATAGGTTATGTTAAATGATAATACAATTTGTTTATATTCGCATAAAATAGCTAATAAAGCTACTGGCAAAGTAAAGAAACCAAACTGCAAAATTAGAAAATTCACTTCTTATTTACAGCTAATGGTTTAGAAGGATACTGTGAGTGGCTGGACCATAAAACGAAATATCAATAGGCCTTGTTAAAACTACTAGGTGCTACATTACTTTTTTCGTGTTTACAATTGAAATCATTCAATGCCTTCGCAAATAAAAACAACAAGTACAATGGGAAACGAAATAAACTTGTGCCAGTCCTGAGTAAAAGTAAAATATTGTATGTGGCGTATTTGATATGGAATGGATGAAAGCGGAAATGTTGGTAAAACATTACATGATGCCTATCCATGAAATGTAGGTAATTTACCTTCCATCATGCATTTATTTTTCAGATAGCACAATTTTTTTTTCACATATCCCCGTATCGGGGTCACAGTTGGCGAAAAACGACGGTGTTGCAACACAACTTACCGGCCATAACACGATTCGCGGGCGGGCTTTTCGAAATTCGCGAACGTTTCGGATGTCCTTGTCCTGATACCCCGTTGGATTGATCCTGACGATACTTCATCAGCAAACTAATCTATATCTGTATGTTCCTTTATAATCCCGTAATAAGAAAAAGTAATCACTCTCCCAATAAATAACTGCGAAAGCTACTTAAAACCACCATGCACAATTATACAATGGTCGACGCATGACGCATTTATCACACAACGCTATGCGGAAAACAAGTGAAGTACATTTATCACAATTGTCACATGTCAAATGTGACAGATGATAGATGTCATATATGAAAAATATTTTTCATATATGGATTTAAATTTATTAAGTAAGTTTGAAACATACAAAATAAAACACATCTATCGTTAACTATTCTTTAATTGAAATTCATATTAAAATATTCTAATTAATATCTAAAAAAATAATTGTGGATTAAAAATTGAAATAGAGTCTTCTCTGAGTTAATCTATGGTAATGGTTGCCAAAGTCCCAGAAAATAGTTAAGAAGAAAATACGTTGTCCATCTCTTTCTATCTTATGACATTTTTTATTTCTTTAATATATTGCATCCTTTTCCGATGAATTGACAGTATTGACCACAGATAACAGATTTTGAACTTGACATTTGACATTTCACGATTGTTTTGCAATTCCCAATTTTTGTGAATTGTTCGTTTACAGTTGCCTGTGATTATTATAAATTTTTATAAATAAATCTGGTGTTTATAGGGAGATATTAGTATTGTTAGCAATCTAAAATAGGTTTTAATTATTTGACTATACTTCTTTACAAATCGTTTAAGGCAGCTTTGCTGCTTTTATTGTGAAATGTATGATCAAGAATACAGTAAGCTTTCGTTTGATATATAATTTAAGTTTTTAATTTAATCCATATCTTCATCTGTTATAGACCAATACGACGATGAGGAAACGGAAGAAATCAGCTCTGAACTGTGGCAAGAAGCATGTTGGATTGTTATTAATGCTTACTTTGATGAAAAGGGTCTTGTAAGACAACAACTTGATAGCTTTGATGAATTTATTCAAATGTCTGTTCAGAGAATAGTTGAAGACTCACCAGCTATAGAACTCCAAGCTGAAGCTCAACATACCTCTGGAGAAGTTGAAGTACCACCTAGGTATCTTCTTAAGTTTGAGCAAATTTATTTATCAAAACCTACACATTGGGAGAAAGATGGTGCTCCGTCACCTATGATGCCAAATGAAGCTAGATTGCGAAACTTGACTTACTCAGCTCCATTATATGTAGATATTACTAAAACTATTATAAAAGAAGGAGAAGATCCTATAGAAACACAGCATCAGAAAACATTTATAGGAAAAATTCCTATTATGTTAAGATCAACATATTGCCTTCTTAGTGGTTTAACAGATCGTGATTTGACTGAATTAAATGAGTGCCCTTTGGATCCTGGTGGATACTTTATAATTAACGGGTCTGAAAAAGTATTGATTGCCCAAGAGAAAATGGCTACAAACACAGTATATGTATTTTCAATGAAAGATGGCAAATATGCTTATAAGTCTGAAATTAGATCATGTTTGGAGCACAGTTCACGTCCCACCTCAACACTCTGGGTAAATATGATGGCTAGAGGAGGCCAAGCTATTAAAAAAGCAGCTATTGGACAGAGAATCATAGCAATATTGCCATATATTAAACAAGAAATACCCATCATGATTGTATTTAGAGCATTAGGTTTTGTAGCTGATAGAGATATTCTAGAGCATATTATTTATGATTTTGAAGATCCTGAAATGATGGAAATGGTGAAACCTTCTTTAGATGAAGCTTTTGTGATACAAGAACAAAATGTTGCACTAAATTTTATTGGTGCTAGAGGGGCTAGACCAGGTGTTACAAAAGAAAGAAGAATAAAATATGCTAGGGAAATTTTACAGAAAGAAATGTTGCCACATGTCGGTGTGTCCGATTTTTGTGAAACCAAGAAAGCTTACTTCTTGGGATATATGGTACACAGGCTTCTTTTAGCTGCATTGGGTAGACGGGAGTTAGATGACAGAGATCATTATGGAAATAAACGACTGGATTTAGCTGGGCCCTTATTGGCTTTCTTATTCAGAGGGTATGTTAAATTTGTTAATCAAATTTTAAATTAGTTATGAATGATCCTTTTTATAGGTTGTTTAAAAATTTAATGAAGGAGGTCAGAATGTATGCTCAGAAATTTATCGATAGGGGCAAAGACTTCAATCTAGATTTAGCCATCAAAACTAAACTTATTACGGATGGTTTGAGATACTCCCTTGCAACTGGTAATTGGGGTGATCAGAAAAAGGCTCATCAGGCCCGAGCTGGAGTGTCGCAGGTTAACTTATACATTTTTAAAACATACATTAATTTTGAGTTAATTATGTTCTCTAGGTATTAAATCGTCTTACATTTGCATCAACATTATCCCATTTGAGACGTGTCAACTCTCCTATTGGTAGAGATGGTAAATTGGCAAAACCTCGTCAATTACACAACACCCTGTGGGGAATGATTTGTCCCGCAGAAACGCCAGAGGGAGCTGCCGTAGGTTTAGTAAAGAATCTTGCCTTAATGGCGTACATCTCGGTAGGATCCCAACCATCGCCAATTTTGGAGTTCTTGGAGGAGTGGTCTATGGAAAATTTGGAAGAAATAGCACCTTCGGCTATTGCAAATGCAACAAAAATATTTGTCAATGGATGCTGGGTAAGTTATAATATAATACATTAAAAAATGGCTGTACTTAAACTGCCGTTAAACGGTAGCTTACTAAAATGCCGTTAATAGGTATGACGTCGTTGATGTGACGCACTTGTCGGCTTTATGAAATATAGGAATTTTATAAGGACTAACCAACGCTATCCACCTCACCAAATAACCAACTTAACCAACGCAACTAACCTCGACACTGATAAAAATATAAAAAACAAATATAAATTAGTAAAAATCAACCAACCCCACCAAATAACCAACTAACCAATGAATTAACACCCTCCAAATAACCACGCTAACCATCCCGCCAAATAACTAAACCAATCCAACCAAAAAAAGTGAAACCAATGCAATAAGATCACGCTATAAACAAAAAAAAAATAAAAAAGTCTTTCAAATCTCACGCTGACCAAGACTTTTTTATATTTTTTGTGATCTTATTGCATTGGTTTCACTCTTTTTGGTTGGATTGGTTTAGTTATTTGGCGGGTTGGTTAGCATGATTATTTGGAGGGTGTTAATTCATTGGTTAGTTGGTTATTTGGTGGGGTTGGTTGGTTTTTACTAATTTATATTTGTTTTTTAATTTTTTTTATCAGTGTCGAGGTTAGTTGCGTTGGTTAAGTTGGTTATTTGGTGGGGTGGATAGCGTTGGTTAGTCCTTATAAAATTCCTATATTTCATAAAGCCGTCAAGTGCGTCACATCAACGACGTCATACCTATTAACGGCATTTTAGTAAGCTACCGTTTAACAGCAGTTTAAGTACAGCCTAAAAAATATCTATACCTCTGTGGCGGATTCATATCTTCAAAAAAGTCTATTCCAGTTAAAATCTATACTGTGCCCTGTGTTCCACGAATGCTGACAAATCTTAGATTTGTGAAAATCTCCCTTTCTTAAATAATCTTTATGTTCTTCAATTTGAACATTGAAGGGCTCGAACACACTGACGACCAGGTCGCACCGGCCAGGCCGCTGCTATCTCTAAAACCATTAAATCAAATGATACCGCGCACACTAACGTCCTGGCCATCCGTTGGTCGTTGCGACCAGTAATCTGCACTAAAATATTATAATTTTCTGTCGCTTGTGGCCGGTTTTCTTCCAAATTAATAATTTTTCAGATGAAATCCCTCAAAATCAACGCACAATATTTTATTTTCTATAAGATATAGTGTTTTAGTGTAGTTTTTGCACACGTGCAGAAAATCCAAAGAAATAGTATGCAGACTGGATCAAAGGGAAACTTAAATCTAGTCCCTTACTCTATTTATGGTCGACATACTCTATTTATGGTTGGTATGATACTTTGAATAAGAAGACTAAGGAAGGAGCATATCAAAAATCTTAGGTACACCGCGATGGGCCTCAAATATGGCCGACTTAAATTCCGGTTTATCAGTGCCGTTCTAATTTTATTTAAAAAATGTAAAACTATGATGTAGGGTAGACGTGGGGTAGACTCAATACTTTGTTGTTTTATTTTACGTTGTGATTAAATGTTGGTAGTTATTAAAATTGTTATAAAAATATATAATTCTAATAAAAATAGATAAGTTATAATAAGTATTTATTAACACAAACATCCGATACGCTACTGAAGCAGGTAAGTCAAATTAACGTATCAAAATTCTTTGAGATCTGATCTTTGACAAGTAATAAATAAAAGCTAAAATGCAAGAAAAATATATAATTTAGTTAATTTAAGTGAATTTCATAAATGATCGGTTTACTACACGTATGTATATTATATAGTCACTTACTAGCGAAAAGTTGTTCCATTATTTCACTCAATTTTTGCCGAGATCTACCGCACGCTACACAACCAACTTATTTTAGAGTCTTTTTCGATAAATCGCGATAATGTCACTGTTAATTTAAGTTCTGCCACAATTTCCATCTAGATTTACTACCTTTATACAACTATCAGTAGTAGAATAAATAATAAATAACATAAAATAAGCTCCGTACAGACTGACAAATCCACAAAATTTCAAATCAAATTCAAATGTGTCAAATGAATCGTCAAACAGAACTGTCAAGGATCCCCACCCTAGAGAGTTTTTTCCGCCCACCATGCATGAATACATGGATAGCATTATGTTCCTTCCTTAGTCTTCTTATTCAAAGATATGATACATGTTATTATACCTTCGAGTTTCGATGTTAACAAATAAAAAAATCACATTTAAAGTTTTTCTACAACCACTTGTTTTTTTTATTAAATTATTTTTTTTTAGTTGTATTGTAGTCATGTACAAGGAGGACAACTGTATTTTAAATAATATATTTAATTTAACGTTTTTCAAAGTTCATTAGACTATATTTCTACTAGGTACATTATTTTTTAAAAAAATTAAGAGTAAAAGTAACTTAAACATTCATAAAAATAGAAATAATTACTGTTGAAGATTCTCGGCCTATTTGTTCTCCTTGTTCGTGCGCGCTCGGTTCGTTCAGGCTAAAATGCTCAAGTCTGCACGCACCTTTAAGAACAATACTTTTTTGTCCTTTATTGATATAATGCTGAAAATCTCACGAGTTACATGTCTCACTCTACACATATTAAATTTCATAGACCTAGGATGTAGAATATTCTGTTATGAAACGACTGATGGAATCAGGCATCGCGGATTTGAAAAACATGGAAATAACGACGTTATCGTATAGTCGGGGTTGGAGATTTTACTTACTCCATTTATCACACCAGTATTTATTAACGAAAAATCCAAGAATATTTTAAATGCATTATTTAATAATAGAACATTTAATAAGCTCATGAATAGCAACTTCGCTTTTTAGTTAACTCGGATATTTTAACATTTCTGAAACTTAATTCCTGCTGAAACAATATTGTCTAATTGGTAATACGTAAAAAATCGTTAGATCTGACAACTCTGTTGAAACTGGTCGTTCATCTGGCCGCAGCTATAAACGCAATACATCCGGCCAGCCGACGCGACGGCCAGGTCGTTGCGACCTGGTCGTCAGTGAGTTCGAGCCCTAAGGGTCTAGATGTTTAATAATAATACATTTATTATAAGAATGTTTTCTGTTACCTATCACATATCTTTCATAAATTTTAATATTTATGTAGGTTGGCATTCATCGCGATCCTGAACAATTAATGGCTACTCTTAGAAAATTGCGTCGTCAAATGGACATTATTGTGTCTGAAGTATCAATGATTAGAGATATCAGAGACAGAGAAATAAGAATTTATACAGATGCTGGAAGAATTTGCAGACCATTGCTCATAGTAGAAAACGGTCAACTCTTATTAAAAAAGAAACATATCGATAATCTCAAAGAAAGAGAGTATAACAATTACGGTTGGCAAATGCTGGTAGCTTCTGGTGTAGTAGAATATATAGATACGTTAGAAGAAGAGACTGTCATGATTGCTATGTCTCCTGACGATTTGCGTCAAGAAAAAGAATATGCTTACTGTACAACCTACACACATTGCGAAATCCATCCAGCTATGATTTTGGGTGTTTGTGCCTCTATTATTCCATTTCCTGATCACAATCAGAGTCCGAGAAACACATATCAAAGCGCTATGGGTAAACAGGCTATGGGTTAGTTAATAATATGATTTTAGCACACATGATTGTCAGTTGTATGAGTTTCTTTTAGGTGTCTATATTACTAATTTCCATGTCCGGATGGACACGCTTGCCCACGTCCTTTACTACCCTCACAAACCACTGGTTACAACCAGGTCTATGGAATATCTTCGTTTCAGAGAACTACCAGCAGGAATTAATAGTATTGTAGCGATCGCATGTTATACAGGTTACAATCAGGAAGATTCTGTTATTTTAAACGCATCAGCTGTAGAAAGAGGATTCTTCAGGTAAATTATGATCTGTTTTAGGTAAATTATTACTATTTATAAAATTTCTTCACCAAATTCAAAATTCACAATTTCTAGACGCGGTATATTCAAACTTCAAACTGTCCCACCTCCGAACGCGCTCCTTTTTATATAGCTGTAGATATTCCGGAAAATTCTATTCTAGAATTCTGTAGTATTTCTTTTACTTTCTGGCGAATTCGCCATTTTTCTTGACACGTTGCTGTTTAGTTCCTCGCTTCTCCGACTGATGGCCGTATACACCTTGACAATACATTTTATTCTCCTTTAGGTCAGTTTTCTACCGTTCTTATAAAGATTCTGAATCAAAACGCATTGGTGATCAAGAGGAACAATTTGAAAAACCAACCAGACAAACGTGTCAAGGAATGAGAAATGCTCTGTATGACAAGCTGGATGATGATGGAATTATAGCTCCGGGAATTCGTGTCTCAGGTGATGATGTAGTCATTGGCAAAACCATGACTCTTCCTGAAAATGACGATGAGGTAAATGTTTTTGCAAAAATTGTATTTAAATTTCCCAAAAAAATTATTTGTATCAAAATCAAAAGCTTTGTTATTTATAAACGTTTTTGATTTTTTTCAGCTTGAAGGTACTACAAAAAGGTACTCTAAGCGAGACGCGTCTACTTTTCTTCGTAACAGTGAAACCGGCGTTGTGGATCAAGTTATGTTGACGCTTAACTCGGAAGGCTACAAGTTCTGTAAAATCAGGGTGCGGTCCGTCAGAATACCGCAGATTGGAGACAAATTCGCTTCTAGACACGGACAGAAAGGAACGTGTGGTATTCAGTACCGACAAGAAGTAAGTTTTTAAAATTTTACAATATTATTTTACTTCAAGATAAAGGTGCGTTCACACCGGTCGCGCCGCGCAAGTAATTTTTTTAGCATATACTTTTGTGCGCGCTAAAAAGATACACTTCAAAAATACATGTTAAAAAAAGTTTTGCGCGGCGCGCTGGTGTGAACGCGCCTTAGAAATAGATATTTTTAATATTCATAATTTTATAGATATTTTAAAGGTAACATGATATTGAATAACAACATTTGTATATACTTCTGAAATGAAGATAATATATCTAAGCTAAATATAATCAATTACAGAGCTATAGTAAAATGAGTAACTAATTGTGAAAAATAAAGTTCCAAACCTAGATGCAACATTTTTCGCAAAGGCACATAAATTGTGCGGTTTGAAAGTTTAATGCAAAATCCGGCAATACCGCATAGAAGAAATGTGTCAACCCATCTTTTGTTTCTTTTTGATTTCACATTTGATTTTATATCAAGATTAAGCTGTCTACATCACTGTCTTATAGATTAAAATCCAGACCACACAATCTCAATTACCAGATCAGTATAAAAGTACAATATAATCAAAACATTATGATATTCCTGGTTTGATGACAGATAAACAATTCTTATATGGGAAATTACATTTAATTAAAAAAATGAAAATTTGTCATAAATGTGTTTGTATTTAAGTACCTACTTATATTTTTTTTAAAAATTGGGATAGCTATATAGTTCTAAATAAATTTTTTCATGTTTAGTTTTAAACATAAATATGGTTATAAAGTGTTTTATTTATGTGGATTGTGTGTATTATGACTTCGATTATGGTTACATGAACTAACCTTCAAAAATTGACAAATTAGATATCTAAATCAGAGTAAGGGTGTCGACGAGTAGCGACAGAAACCGTCGCCTCTTTTGATGTGGTGGGACCAAATTTTCTTTCTCTCTCTTTTGAAGTGTTTGACAGATAGACTACCTATATAACTGGTCAACTTATGAAGTGGTCCAATAAACATGGTATACACTGCTCATAATTTGAAGTGGAATTAATTATAGTTTTATGTATATTTTTTTTGTTTTGTTTTATCCCTATTTCTAAATTTGAATGTATAAAATATTTTACAGCTAATAAATAATTAAAAAAATGATTCGATGCCTGAGGAATACTTGAAATACAGTATATAGAGATATTTGATAAATGGCAACAGTAGCGTCTTTTCTTCTTCATATGACAGACAAACCGGACTGTCGCTACTCTTCGGTTTACTTACTCTGCCTAAATTTAGATCTGTAACAATGTAGAACTGAGGGTGATTAGGAAACTAACCAACAATGCAAGACGAGTTGGATACATAAATACTTTATCAATCCAGAACTAGCTTTAAATATGGCTGCAGTATTGTGTAGAAATAATCAAGAGCCTAGCGTTTTACTTTACAATTTACGAATTAACTGCCAAATTGATTTAAGCTCATTTAACAACAGTTGAAGTAACAGTTAAAGAGTGTCACTATTTTAACTTTATTGTGTTTAATAATTTGGAAGATTCGCAGAGTGTGGAGATAGCGGCAGTGTTGCCACAGCTACCCCATTCGGCTTAGAGCCTGGTAGGTCTACCTCTTTGTAAAACAATTTAACTCCGTTATCTCGTGATAATGTACCCTGATGATAAATAAGCTTGTTGCAACACTGGTTAACGATCTGTTGCCATATGCGGCTAAGAAAATTACTATAAAAACTTGATATTGTACCAACCTGGATACGTAGTAAATTTTCATGCATATTTTCATCAATAGCTTCTTACTAACGGTCTAGGTAAAGCATCTGGCTCATTTGCCAGCTCAGAATTAGAATTTAGAGTTAGCAATTCGGATTTTCATTAGATCAATATTATTTCAAACCAATAATCAACGAGAATATTCGTATAATTTAATAAAATGACTGTAAATCACTATAAATAATGAATTATGTGTAATGGAGCTGTAATTTCTGTATTATTAATCCGGTAAATGATGGAGATAAACAATTGTGATTGATTAAAGTTTTATTTTAAAATGAAATTTTTGTTAACAACATTCTGAGAATTCGAGTAATGAATTGAATAATGACAAGACAAGTGACATCTGTCTAAAGAAGACAGCGATTTAGAGAGACAATTTGGTTATGTAAAATTTAGAGTGACACTTTTGATTATGCAAAAGAAATTCATATTCTATGAGTTTACTGGTTGCCTAACGATTAACATTAATTTAAAAATAAATCAACATATAAACAAAAACAAACCACAAACCACACAAAACAAATTGTTGGTTAGTAGCAGTTATTAGTAGTTTTTTTAATAAAAATTAAAAAAAACTTTATAAAATTATAAAGCTAGAATAGTATACAGTTTTGTATTAACTCTAATTTTTTTTGGAGTTTATAAAAAGCATTCATAAAAAAATATATATCCTTCAAATCCTTCAATTAAATTGCCTAAGAAGTTTCACTTCAAAGATGCGCACATAGTACACACACAATTTTTATTTTTTTTTTAATATCTAAATATAAAAATCTCTTATTTACAGGACATGATCTTTACATGTGAAGGAATCACGCCGGATATTATCATTAACCCGCACGCTATCCCATCTCGTATGACCATTGGTCACTTGATCGAATGTATCCAGGGCAAAGTGTCCTCGAACAAAGGCGAAATCGGCGACGCCACGCCTTTCAATGACGCGGTAAACGTACAAAAAATATCCACCCTCCTCCAAGAGTATGGTTATCAATTGAGAGGAAACGAGGTTATGTACAACGGACACACCGGTCGAAAAATCAACGCCCAAATTTTCTTGGGACCCACCTATTATCAGAGACTTAAGCACATGGTGGATGACAAGATCCACTCCAGAGCCAGGGGACCGGTACAAATTCTCGTCCGTCAACCTATGGAGGGAAGGGCTAGGGATGGAGGTTTACGTTTCGGGGAGATGGAGCGTGACTGTCAGATATCCCACGGAGCCGCTCAGTTTTTGAGGGAGAGATTGTTCGAAGTGTCCGATCCGTACCGCGTGCACATTTGTAATTTTTGCGGTCTGATTGCTATAGCGAATATGAGGAATAACACGTTCGAGTGTAAGGGTTGCAAGAACAAGACCCAAATCTCTCAGGTCAGGCTTCCCTACGCGGCAAAATTGCTGTTCCAGGAACTGATGTCGATGAATATTGCTCCTAGACTTATGGTTTTGTAATTGTAATGGACTAGTAATTTTAATATTAATAATGTAAAAGTGCTTTTAAAGCATGAAATATATTAACTTGAACTTTTATAGTTATTTTATTTAAAAACTGACCTACCGCCCTTTCCTGTTTCCTTTAGCAAGTTTTCAATGTGGGATATGTACGGCATTACAGTTGAGGGTTGAAACTTCTGGTTAGTAAACACAGCAAAATAAAACACTAAATCACCACAATACACCAAAACACTTTTGCTTTTACACTGGACACGCGTTTATAATCATCTGCTGATGATGCTAACATGGTTAGCGAAACGCGCGTCCAGTGTAAAAGTAAAAGTGTTTTGTTGTAATCTGGTGATTTTGTGTTTTATTTATGACATGTAGGGCAGCTAAGCTGTTCTGTCATTAGTTATTCTGTTTCTGTTTTTTTTTATTAAAAGGACGTCTAATGTTTTTCGTGTCGGTTCCCCCCTGCTCGGTTAAAAGATGCACATATCGTATTTTTAATCATATCTTAATGGAGTCAAAACTTGTCCTGTAAAGTCCAAGTATCAAATTTTTTAGAGATAATAAGGAAGGTCATAAGGATACTAAGCTTTGAATAAGAAGACTAAGGAAGGGGCATATCAAAAATCTTAGGTACACCGCGATGGGCCTCAAATATGGCCGACTTAAATTCCGGTTTATCAGTGTCGTTCTAATTTTATTTAAAAAATGTAAAACTATGATGTAGGGTAGACGTGGGGTAGACTCAATAATTTGTTGTTTTATTTTACGTTGTGAATAAATGTTGGTAGTTATTAAAATTGTTATAAAAATATATAATTCTAATAAAAATAGATAAGTTATAATAAGTATTTATTACCACAAACATCCGATACGCTACTGAAGCAGGTAAGTAAAATTAACTTATATTATATAATTTAGTTAATAATATATAATTTAGTTAATTTAAGTGAATTTCATAAATGATCGGTTTACTACACGTATGTATATTATATAGTCACTTACTAGCGAAAAGTTGTTCCATTATTTCACTCAATTTTTGCCGAGATCTACCGCACGCTACACAACCAACTATTTTAGAGTCTTTTTCGATAAATCGCGATAGTGTCACTGTTAATTTAAGTTCTGCCACAATTTCCATCTAGATTTACTACCTTTATACAACTATCAGTAGTAGAATAAATAATAAATAACATAAAATAAGCTCCATAAAGACTGACAAATCCACAAAATTTCAAATCAAATTCAAATATGTCAAATGAATCGTCAAACAGAACTGTCAAGGATCCCCACCCTAGAGAGCTTTTATGGTGCCTTTTCCGCCCACCATGCATGAATACATGGATAGCATTATGCTCCTTCCTTAGTCTTCTTATTCAAAGATACTAAGGAAGATTATTCAGTTATTTTGGTCACTTCCTGTTTCACCGGAAATGACTACAACTTTTGATTTTTAAATGTAAACCTCGATATATATCTACTTCGTTCGGTAGAAAATGATACTCTGACTAGAATGACATATTATATGTCAACTATTGACATTTTCACTTAAAAAATCGTATTTTAAATTTTAATCTAGAGTGCCATGGCTGTGTTAAAAACACTAATTTTTAATCAAGAAGCCTTGGAAAATTAGTTTTGATCGTCTAATATTTTTCGTGTCTTGTCCTGGCCGGTTAAAAGATGCACAAATCGTATTTTTAATCATACCTCAATTTTTTCAAATGGAACAATGATGGCTCATTAGCATATTTGGAAAAAGCTTTTTTTTACGAATAATTTGGTACCATACACTTACACTTGGTATTGTCGTTATTGGTCAAATTGTCGTTATGAACCGCATGTTACAATTTTAAATAAACCATGTGGGAAAACGTCAAAAGTTGACATATGATATGTTATTGTATTCAAACTGTCATTTTCTATCAAATGAAGTAAAAAAATACCGAGGGTGTCATTTAAAAATCGTTGAAAAAGAAAATTTGTAGTTATTTCCGGTGAAACAGCAAGTGACCAAAAAACAATTGAGTTCGTCAATCAATCTTAATTTATGTCATACTAGCATACCAAATCCCGTTTTTTTATCTGAAAAATAAAAAAAAACTTATAGATATAAAATCGCTATTTTTGGGGCTTACTCGACCGGGTCTCACAATGCAAATTCACCTCAAATATCCATTTAGTTGGTCATTGGCAAGCACTCTCTCATTGTACATGAAAATAACAAAACACACATTTACTGATCTGGATAAAATTGATAGTTAAATAGTAAGACTCACCCGGAGGTACTTCGCCCCCTAACCACTGACATCACTGACATTCTGTTCAATATATCACATTCCATATCTTCCATCTAATTCAAATATTCGGATGTATTGGTTAATAATCTTCAACAACTAGCTAGTGTCACCTGAAATAGTATAGGGGCTTCCCCGGACGCAAATCTGCCGCTAAACAGATTCGCATCCCAATCGAATAGGCTAATTGGGGTACCTCACTAGTCTCACTACCCCAACGCCGCATCGTGTCAATCGAGAAGACAAGGGAGACCTCAAACTCTCAAGACCAACCTCGAAGGCAAGACGTCACAAGAGGTTTTCTTCTGGTCAAACGACCCGTTGCCTTACAGTACATGCAACGTTTATAGTCAAAAGACTTTCAACCCCCAAATATCAGCTCTATGACAAAACACAACACAACAGCCGGCCGGCCGTTGTGTTGCTAAGTTGTTAAAAGCTAAGCCTCCTCTTACATCAAAATTTTACCGGATCGGAAATATTTACATTACTTGCCAATGAATCATACTATTTTCTCTAATCGACTTTCAAATAGAGTGTTTTAGCATTACTAGATAAATAAATAGAGAGTTTCCGAATTATAAAACCATTATTATAACCAACTTATTTTTCAAGTTTTACGTAGAGGTGAGCCACTTTTGAGACGCACCCGGTATTTCCACTATTTTTCATTCTTATTTGGAAATTTATATTTCCATTTCTACGAACTAATGGAAATATTTCTATTTACAACACTATCTGTAACTAATTTAACTGTTAACTAATTTTGCTATTTCTTTCACAACAGAATCTAAAACAACTTTCACTACTTTTTTGAAAATCCATCCAATAATCATTTTGACATGAGTCACAATATATGTCAAGTAATAGAAATAAATTTAAAGTTATTTATTGTTTTCATTTTTCATACGAAGATCATGCTGAAATTTTGGTAGTTTATTCGTTAGAACCATGAGATATAGGTCATACAGATCGCATCATCGAAAATAATAATGGAAAACACAATCAAATCTTGGGTGAACAAAGGCGAATGTACTATTTGCGGCATCGTTTCCAATCATCTGCCTCTATATAACTGTCCAGAAAATCACAAGATTTGCGGTTACTGCTATAATGAACTGAAATACGTACTAAAAGGTATCCAGGTATTATATACCCAATATTTTTCCTTGTTTTAAAGTATTTATTTCAGAACATGAAGCTCAAGTTATGTGTAAAGAGTGCGAAAATAATGGTAAAATGACTCACTATGAGCTCGATCTCAGCACTTTTAACAAAATGAAAAACCTGCCTAACTACCAAAATTTACCACCAGACGAGGAAGATCATATGTTTAAGCTTTTAATTGGAATGACTAAAGAAGCGTTTTACAGTACTCAGGAAGCGTTGAACAAAGAACAAGACAAACAAAGAAACGATTTTGTTAAGTCAAGAACCTGTTTCTCCATCTCAAAGCGCCCTCTTAAGTGTCTTCACCGGCGATGCCACCAGGCAGTAGCACTAGCGCAATTCGTCAATCATTTTAAACTAGAACACAAAGACGTCGAAATATGTTCAGCTCAAAAAAGTAAAGAAATCTTATTTCCTTTTAATGTCTCCAAGATAGAAAACGGTCGACACGTCTGTATATCCATGCTGACCGTCTACGAAGTAAATCAAATTGATTTGCGCACCGCCAGTTCCGAAAGTATCGCCAAGACTTGCCACAGATTTTGCCAGAAGATACCTGTCGATACGTTCTGGCTTATGGTGACTGGTTCCATAGAAACAAAGACCAGCGCGGCGTACTGCGTCTTTTGGTTGTTTACCAACTCGGATAACAGCCACAGATGTACTTTGGAACTGGGATCTGCGCGCGATTCCATTTCTTTATCGACGTACTGCGCGGTGTCCTCTGCCTGGGACACGTACGACTTTTCGACAGTTCTCAAAGAACTGCGCTGTCTCATCGTTACCAAACAAGCGATAAAGTCCATGTTGAAAGAGGGAGTCGTTTTAAATTTAAGAGTAAATGTGCATTGATACTTGGTATAATAAATACGTTAAACGTAAATTCATTTGTCTTTATTTATCTACTATACAGGGAGGTCCGAACTGTATTCCGGAAAATGAGAAATTTGATTTTGATGTCAATATGACTCCTATTTGTAGGGGAGCGCCACCTACATGTCTTTTAACAATTTTGAAGAGTAATAACTTTTCGTCCTACCTGTATAAAACTACCGAGTAAAAAAATATACATTTCCGTGATTTTTTACATAAAAAACGTCACAAGATTTACGGTTACCGTTATAATGAACTAAAAGGTACTATATATCCAGGTATTATATACCCAATGTTTTTCCTTGTTTTAAAGTATTTATTTCAGAACATGAAGCTCAAGTTATGTGTAAAGAGTGCGAAAATAATGGTAAAATGACTCACTATGAGCTCGATCTCAGCACTTTTAACAAAATGAAAAACCTGCCTAACTACCAAAATTTACCACCAGACGAGGAAGATCATATGTTTAAGCTTTTAATTGGAATGACTAAAGAAGCGTTTTACAGTACTCAGGAAGCGTTGAACAAAGAACAAGACAAACAAAGAAACGATTTTGTTAAGTCAAGAACCTGTTTCTCCATCTCAAAGCGCCCTCTTAAGTGTCTTCACCGGCGATGCCACCAGGCAGTAGCACAAGCGCAATTCGTCAATCATTTTAAACTAGAACACAAAGACGTCGAAATATGTTCAGCTCAAAAAAGTAAAGAAATCTTATTTCCTTTTAATGTCTCCAAGATAGAAAACGGTCGACACGTCTGTATATCCATGCTGACCGTCTACGAAGTAAATCAAATTGATTTGCGCACCGCCAGTTCCGAAAGTATCGCCAAGACTTGCCACAGATTTTGCCAGAAGATACCTGTCGATACGTTCTGGCTTATGGTGACTGGTTCAATAGAAACAAAGACCAGCGCGGCGTTCTGCGTCTTTTGGTTGTTTACCAACTCGGATAACAGCCACAGATGTACCTTGGAACTGGGATCTGCGCGCGATTCCATTTCTTTATCGACGTACTGCGCGGTGTCTTCTGCCTGGGACACGTACGACTTTTCGACAGTTCTCAAAGAGCTGCGCTGTCTCATCGTTACCAAACAAGCGATAAAGGCCATGTTGAAAGAGGGAGTCGTTTTAAATTTAAGAGTAAATGTGCATTGATACTTGGTATAATAAATACGTTGAACGTAAATTCATTTGTCTTTATTTAACTACTATACAGGGTGGTTCGAACTGTATTCCGAAAAATGAGAAATTTGATTTTGATATCGATATGACTCCAATTTGTAGGAGGACGCCGCCTACATGTCTTTTTAACTATTTTGAAGAGTAATAACTTTTCGTCCGTACCTGTATAAAACTACCGAGTAAAAAAATATACATTTCCGTTATTTTTTACGTAAAAAAAGTCACAAGATTTACGGTTACCGTTATAATGAACTAAAAGGTACTATATATCCAGGTATTATATACCCAATGTTTTCCTTGTTTTAAAGTATTTATTTCAGAACATGAAGCTCAAGTTATGTGTAAAGAGTGCGAAAATAATGGTAAAATGACTCACTATGAGCTCGATCTCAGCACTTTTAACAAAATGAAAAACCTGCCTAACTACCAAAATTTACCACCAGACGAGGAAGATCATATGTTTAAGCTTTTAATTGGAATGACTAAAGAAGCGTTTTACAGTACTCAGGAAGCGTTGAACAAAGAACAAGACAGACAAAGAAACGATTTTGTTAAGTCAAGAACCTGTTTCTCCATCTCAAAGCGCCCTCTTAAGTGTCTTCACCGGCGATGCCACCAGGCAGTAGCACTAGCGCAATTCGTCAATCATTTTAAACTAGAACACAAAGACGTCGAAATATGTTTAGCCCAAAAAAGTAAAGAAATCTTATTTCCTTTTAATGTCTCCAAGATAGAAAACGGTCGACACGTCTGTATATCCATGCTGACCGTCTACGAAGTAAATCAAATTGATTTGCGTACCGCCAGTTCCGAAAGCATCGCCAAGACTTGCAACAGATTTTGCCAAAAGATACCTGTCGATACGTTCTGGCTTATGGTGACTGGTTCAATAGAAACAAAGACCAGCGCGGCGTTCTGCGTCTTTTGGTTGTTTACCAACTCGGATAACAGCCACAGATGTACTTTGGAACTGGGATCTGCGCGCGATTCCATTTCTTTATCGACGTACTGCGCGGTGTCTTCTGCCTGGGACACGTACGACTTTTCGACAGTTCTCAAAGAGCTGCGCTGTCTCATCGTCACCAAACAAGCGATAAAGGCCATGTTGAAAGAGGGAGTCGTTTTAAATTTAAGAGTAAATGTGCATTGATACTTGGTATAATAAATACCTTAAACGTAAATTCATTTGTCTTCATTTAACTACTGTAATCACAGCTGCTGTATGAGTTTAAAATAAGTAAGGTACTGTAATAGCTTTTGAATTGGAGCCCTTTGACTTTTCAACAGAAATAAACTCACAGATGCAAAGAAAAACGCAACGCAGAAATTTGTAGTCAAATTTTAAAGTGTGATATTTTTGTTATTTTTAGCCCTAATTTCATCAATTTTTCAGCAAGCTGTATATAATTATTCAACATGTATTCAACTCTAATTCGTAAACTCAGTTGTTTATAAACTTTAGTATTTGGCATTTTATAGAGGGTTAATCGAGGGATTGTTTTTTTACTTTAACTTTAAAACACCCTGTGCAATAATTCCGTCTATAAATTTTCCTAAAATATAATTTTACGGTCAGAACCAACCTGAGTATTTTTTTTGGATCATGTCAATACATACCTTGGTTAATTTTTAACAGCAAAATGAACTTACTAACAGCAATTTCAATTTTTTCAATTATCATTTCGTTTTGAAGTTATTTTTCAATATGACAAGGCGGCTTTGGTGATTCATCATCATCATCATCATGTAGCCATCGTTGTCCACTGCTGAACGTAGGCCTCCTCCATATTTCTCCATGTCTCTCGATTTCGGGCCGTGTCATCATCCAATTTCCAGCAATCCTCTTTACATCATCGGTCCAGCGTGTCGGTGGTCTGCCTCTGCTACGTTTATCTGCTCGAGGTCGCCATTCTAACAATCTTCTAGTCCACCTGTCTTTAGATGTCCTCGCCACATGACCTGCCCATCTCCATTTCATTCGAGTTACGTGTTCCACTATGTCTATAATTTTGGTTTTTTGTCTGATAGTGTTATTAGGAATTGTGTCTCTTTTAGTTATTCCAAGCATGGCTCTCTGGGCTACTCTTAAATTTTCTGCTGACTTTTTCGTTAATGTTAGAGTTTCCGCTCCATATTTAATTACCGGCAAGACGCATTGTTCATAAACTTTCCTCTTCAAGCATATGGGTATATCACTTTTAAAGGTCTCCCGCAGTTTGCCAAAAGCAGCCGAACCCAAACCTATTCTGCGCTGTATCTCGTGTGTATGGTTGTTCTTTCCGATTTGTATTTCGTGCCCGAGATATTTGTATATATGTGTTTCTTTTATGTCGGCGTCACCTATTCTGATGTTCTGTGCCAGCACTAAGTTTGTCATTATTTGCGTTTTACTCGTATTTATCCGGAAACCGACTTTTAATGAGGCCTGCACTAATTCTTCGAGCATCTGCTTTGAATCTCCGATGTTATCTGAGACAAGGACGATGTCATCTGCGAATCTGAGATGTGTCAACCTTTCACCATCGATATTTATGCCCCTATTCTCCCAAGAGAGTGATTTCATTGCGTATTCAAGAACAGCTGTAAAAAGTTTAGGCGAAATAGTATCCCCTTGTCGAACTCCTCTGCCTACCTCAATTTTATCTGTTGTTTCGTGAAGTTTTACAGTTGTGGTGGCATTACTATATATGTATTCTATAAGCCTTGTATACCTATAATCTACTCTTCCCTGCTCCAATGCTGCTATTATTGATGTTGATTCTACTGTGTCAAATGCTTTCTGGAAATCAACGAACACCAATGCTAGGGGCCTGTTGTATTCCACAGATTTTTCTATCAGGACTTTAATTACTTGAAGATGATCGTTTGTTCCATAACCTTTCCTAAAGCCTGCCTGTTCTCTTGGTTGATAGAAATCTAGTTTACGTTAGAGACGTTTGGCAATGATTTTGGTAAACAGCTTATACAAGTGACAAAGAAGGCTTATCGGTCTATAATTTTCAAGCTCGGTGATATCGCCCTTTTTATGGAGAAGTATCGTTATGGCGTTGTTCTATTGAGACGGGATTATTCCTTTTTCAAGGCATAGATTAAATAAGTCTTTAATCCATTTTAATAGTGTTCTTCCTCCGAGTTTTACAGCCTCAATCACTATGCCGTCCTCGCCCGGGGCTTTCTTATTTTTCATTTCTTTTAAAGACTTTCTGATATCTTCTGTAGTTATTTCCGGTATATCCTCTGATCCCTGGTTAACTATCTTTTTGCACAGACGTTGTTGACTGTTGTATGTTTGTTGGTGATTCTTGTGTATAGTTCAGTGTAAAAGTTTTCTGTTATTTTCAACAGCCTTTCTCTATTTGTTGTTACGACCCCTTGGTTGTCTTTTAGTTTAAAGATCTCTCTCTTTCCATTTGATAGTTTTCCCCGCAACACCTTCATACTTTTATTCTCTTCTATAGTTCGCCTTATATTATCTGTATTAAATTTTGTTTGCTTTGGTGATTATTGTGAACTATATACTGTGATACTACTATGAACTGCCCATCATATTCGACGTTTGGGAAATGCTTAGCAGGAGCAGGGTTAAAGGTCGCAAAGAGGTACCAGCTTCATTAAATGAACTTTGCTTGGTTCTTAAAGGAGAATGGGAAAGCATAACGCAATATTATACATGCAGTTTCAATGACTCTATAAACGGACGTCATAAAAAAGTAATGATAATTGAAAAAAATGGCAAATTAATCGTGATCAGTTCATTTCGTTCTTAAAAATTAACCAAAGCATGTATTGACATGAATCAAAAAAACAAAATGCTCAGGAGTCATGGTGCTGATCGTAAAATTATATTTTAGGAAAATTTACACACGAAATTATTGCACAGGGTGTTTTAAAGTTAGGGTAAAAAAACAACCCATCGATTAACCCTGTATTATATGCCAAATACTCAAGTTTATAAAAAAAATTACTTTACGAAGTAAAGTTGATATAATTATATACAGCTTCTTAAAAAAATTCATGAAAATAGGGCTAAAAATAACAAAAATATAACACTTTAAAAAATTTGAACAAAAATTGTCTGTTGCGTTTTTTTTGCATTTGAGCACGTGAATGATCAGATGATTAACATTCTGTGGTAGTGAGACCATGAGGTTTAAGTTAATGTAGATTTCTATATTTTTATCTCATGATCCCAACAAAATAAATATATTTTCAGGATCGACGGTAAGAAAAAATCCTTTTTTATGAAAGTATAAATATAATTAAATAAATTCTTCTAAATTATGCTACATCTAAAAGAATTAGTCTTAGTATTACAGTAATATAATAATAATTCTCCCGTTAACATGCATGAAAAATATACATAAATTAGGATACGCATCATAGAGCATATTTCAGAAGATATTTTTCAAGCACGTACAATCAGTCAACTTACACCATTAAAGTATCCTTAAATTTAAATTAATACAAAGTTAAAAATAAAACGTGGCACAAAATTTAAGTTGCTATCACATATCATGTACAATTCTCGATCGTTATATCCGACGGAGTGCCTCTGAGTTCGTGGTTTAGAGTTTTGAGTAGAGGATGTCGTCCACAGCCACATTTGTTTCGGAAGTCGTCCAAATCTAGTGCCCAGATCATTCCACCTCCCAATCCAAGCGATTTAACCAGTTGAGACTGAAATAATACATTAATTACTATAGTTAGAAATTTAAATGAATTTTTGTTGTACCTTAATCTTAATTTCTGCTATATCGTCATATGATACCCATTGCTGTCCACTGTAAGCATAAGGACCAATTCGTCCTAATGAGTCTCGTTTAACCTTCCATCCTTTCGTTTTGACTTTATCACATATCTACAAGAATACAACTATTTAACCTGATTCCTACAGGCTTGGTGCATTGTAGTTGATTTCGACAAATTCCGACCGCAGCGCTTCAACGGCAGAAATCAGAAATTATCAGTATGAATTTCATGTTACAGTTCATGTTGATTGCATTAAAATAATATTGAAATCGTGGCTTTCTCAGAACATTTAAGTCTTTTAGTTTTTTGCTAATGCAGTTATTGAGACTATATAACACTCATAGTTCAGTAATATTATGGCTCAAATTGCGATATATCCGACATAAAGTTTTCAAAATTGGTAGAAATAATCAGGACATCATATGTATTAATAAACTGAAAAGTTCCCACCCCTAAATAGTATGCGTCATCCCCCAGGACATCTTTTCTACCCCCATTTTGAGTTTTTTTAGATAATTTCGGCAACGGTGCAATTCTCGACAAAAATACATATATAGAAAATTGTTCTTCATAAAATTCTCTATCAAAAAGATAATAACACTTTTTTTCTAAAGTTAATAATAATGTGGCAAATAGGGCGCAAATATGAGGGTTGGTTATGACTAGCACTATCTGCAGTTCAATCTAATTTAAAGTTTAATGTTTAACGTTAACAAAAAGCAGTAACCACTAAATTATACTTAGAATTTTAATATACGTTCTTCTCTCACACTCCTCTACCGCTATAAAAAGGGTGATTTGTACTTATTTCCACATCACCCTAGGTAAAGTATTTGATGCGTTTTTTTAAAGTGGTATCCCCTGTAGGCCTAATCCACTAATTATCAAATGTTAACTAGTAATCTTCATCATTTTCCACAGGTTCAACATTCGAGCATGACTGTCCATGGCAATGATGACAGATTGTAGAACAACGCAAGCCTGCTCTTCTGCAGCTGCATTCGCACCCTAATTTGCATGAACATGAAATAAGCGTTGAAACAGAAGCGGCGGCTGGCTCTTTGTTTAGTCATTGTTGGGGTTAATATACCGCTAACTTTTTTCCACCCCCAGTCGGTAGGTTCGAGCATAACTCCTCTCCATGTTTGAATTTGGTGAAAACCCCGTTACGAGTGTTGCCGAGTTGCAGCAGAAGTTGGTGGTAGTTTTGACAACATGACATGTTGTTGGCTTTACCAACAAGTTTGTTGAAGTACATAAATCGGTATTCATCTAGACTGCTTTCTGCTGAGATACAGATGTATAAAGCTGAGAGTAGATTTCTCATATATTTCTCTCTCTCAGAGCTATGAGTAGATTTCTCATTATTGAAAGTTTGCACAATATGTTGTAAATCACTTCTTTTAGATTAACATTGATTGCATTAAACTTTCCTTTGGAAAAAAAGCCGATGTTGTGTCACAACCGCTAATGGCGTGTACAAATAATATATTGCTTTTGCAATTTTTTAAAAAAGTTGCGGATTGTAAATCTTAAGAACTGTAAATCCTTTTGCAAGTATTACCCTGTTTTTCTATTAAAAATTTGATATCTTTGTCAGAGGGAGAAAGTACAATAAAAAGAACTAGCTGGTCAATATCTTGCCCTACTATAACAGTTGTATCGCAATTATTAGATTTTTCTATAGCAGTTCGAATTATTAATAAATCGGCGTCAGCCGCAGCAACAAATACTTCTATACCTTCTTTCCTAAATTCGTTTACTAGTTCTGTGATTAAATGTTCTTTGTTAAACAAATTACTTAGGAGGTTCTGCTGAGTTTCAGAGACAACAATATGCTCGTCAAACATAATTTGAGGACAGCTTCTTTGAAGTAGCCGCCTCTGTCGTTCTAGGCTCTTCGTGCTGTTTGCGTTTTCCATATACCATCGAACACGACAGTTACTCTATTCCCATAATGTTTTTTAATGTAACTAACGTAAGCGTTGTAAACAATGTTAAATGTCCATTTTTTTTTGACCACATTACGCGACGAAGCAAATATCCTCCATCAATGACATACTCGCTGTTTTCAAAAATATGGTCTCGTTCTGGAACTTTATTGACAATCTGGTATAAAGCTGCTTTATTAGTTTTCCTTTCGAATCGAAAAGAGAAAGAGGTACTGAAGCTAATTCGAAACTAAAGCACTTTTAGGTTAGAATGAACGGTGCAAATAATTCTTTGAAATAGTAATGTTGAGTCAACTTGAACATCATTGCCATTAATTTTCATTGTATTGCTCAAACTAGATATCGGCTTTACACGATTTGCACGACGCACTTTTAAACTTGTAAATAAAATCCTATCTTTAACATTTGATAATTAGTGGATTAGGCCTACAGGGGATACCACTTTAAAAAAACGCATCAAATACTTTACCTAGGGTGATGTGGAAATAAGTACAAATCACCCTTTTTATAGGGGTAGAGGAGTGTGAGAGAAGAACGTATATTAAAATTCTAAGTATAATTTAGTGGTTACTGCTTTTTGTTAGCGTTAAACATTAAATTTTAAATTAGATTGAACTGCAGATAGTGCTAGTCTAACCAACCCTCATATTTGCGCCCTATTTGCCACTTTATTATTAACTTTAGAAAATAAGTGTTATTATCTTTTTGATAGAGAATTTTATGAAGAACAATTTTCTATATAGGTATTTTTGTCGAGAATTGCACCGTTGCCGAGATTATCTAAAAAAACTCAAAATGGGGGTAGAAACGATGTCCTGGGGGATGACGCACACTATTTAGGGGTGGGAACTTTTCGGTTTAGTAATCCTCATGCTATCCTCAACATACCTACCAATTTTCAAAACTTTCTGGATTTTGTCGAGTTTAAATCGTAATATTACTAGATTGTCAGGTACGAGGTTTGTGTGATGTAACGCTGTTTCGGGTAGTAAAAAATAAGTGAAAAAAAATCGAACTAGGCGTCGTGTTGTGTTGTGACAATTTCAAATGTTAATAAAATTGCCCAAAATATGTTAACGCGTAAAGGAGAGCGTAATTAGGGCGTTGTTGAGTGCAATAACATTCAATAACTCAACTTTCCCGGATATTCAACTCTCCCGAAACATTTTATAGCTTCATAGTTTCTCACACCGATTTGATCAAAAGCAAAAATGGATTCAAGAAGTTCGACGAAACAAGTGAGTAAACAAAGTGCTCATTAAATAATCAAAAAATTAAAAGACATACTATGAGAGGATAAAATATAATTTGCGTATTAATGGTATACTTTTTTTAATCGACTAATGATTAAATATTTTATGAACATCTTCTAAAATTAAGTATAATTCACAAATTATACTTCTTAACACTTTTAGAATAATTATATAATAATTTTTTCGTATACTCGCTATTTAAAGCCGTGTAAGCACCTGCGGAGAATGGCACCAAGTCTATATCTGATTATATAAATGATTTACTTCATAGAAGGCTAAAAATCCTCCAGCTCTAGTAAACTCCCCAGCCTCACCAGGCCCGTATGATTTATCATTCAGATCGTGGTTAGAAGCGTCAGCTAGACTGAAAGACTGACCATATAACGGCATTCCCATTACAAGTCTCTTAGGATCTGCTCCTTTCTCAATCCAGTAATTTATAGAAAAGTTCTTAAAATTGAAAACTGTTCATAATGTGCTCAAAACATTTTCTAACTACTTGCTTACCGCATTGAAATAATCATATGTGTCTCCAGGATAATAATACAATGGAGCCACGTGACCTGTTTGTTTGTCCCAATGTCCGTGGAAGTCGTATGTCATAATAGCAATCCAATCGAAATATTTATTCAGTGATGGCACGTCATATCCGGCATCGATAACAGCTTTGCTTGGAGATACAGCCGAAGACAAAAGCAGACCTTTGGGTTTAAAGGCACTACTCAGTTCTTTGACAAGTTCGGCAAAATTTTCCTTATCAGATTCTGGACCTTTGTTGCAATCAACCTGAAAATAAATTCGAATAAACGATCATATTTATTGGCAGTCTTGGAATGGAGCTTGTTAATAATCATATCCCAAAACCATCCAAACTCAGACCTAGAGGATTATTAGACAGGAATGGCGTGCATACAGGGTGAGTTTCCTACGAATTTCTCTATGGGTATCTCGGAAACTACTGGAGATAGAGAGTCGGTTAAATGGGGAAAGAATTGTAGTTTTGTGGGGTCATATTCAGATTTTTGAAAAAGTTCATGGCTTACTAGATATTTCGAAAAAAACAAATTTTGGCTATTTTAAAAACTGTCCCTAATTCCATTATGATCTCTTTTAGACAAAAAGTTTTCAGATAAAAGTTGTAGATAATCACATCCCTAATGAGTTTGTGTTCTCCGATTTTTCCTAAAGCCTGTCATTTTTGACATGCGACACAAACATGTGTTTTTTAAAGGGAAACCATAGTTGGCCATGACTTCATAAAAAGCGCCATTTTTTAAGCTTTTCAGTGATATAAGCTATAATATGTTTATTTCACAAAATTCCTGAGTTATAGCCAATTCTTATCTTTCTATCTTTTAGTTTGTGTAATGTAAATTGTAAAGAGCCGTTTAATAATATATTTTGTCTTTTTATAAGTTATAAATCATAACAAAATAAGACCACCATGCCAACTAAGTGAAATTAGTCAAGAAAGATAAGAATTGGCTATAACTCAGTAATTTTGTGAAAAAAAAACATATTATTTATAAAAAACATATCATTTTTAACTTTATTCATATAAACCTTGAAAAATGGCGCTTTTTATGAAGTCATGGCCAACTATGTTTGTGTCATATGTCAAAAATCACAGGCTTTAGAAAAAATCGGAGAACACAACCTCATTAGGGCTATGATTATCTACAACTTTTATCTGAAAACTTTTTGTGTAAAATAGATTATAATGGACTTGTTATTACCACTTCTGATGTTGTAAGTTGTACATCAATAAATAAATAAATACATAACCCATAATAACGCTTAGAATAATCCTCATAATGGACTAGTTTTTACCAATATGTAATAAGTAAAATAGGTTATAAAAGAAATAAATCAATTAATTACAAAAATATTAATTATTATAGTAAAAATAAAATCTTTAAAATATTATATACCTAATACACATTTACTGTTTCTATTTTACATTAAGATTCATCCCATAAATCATAAATCTATCACAATCTGACAGCGCTGTCGCCATCGCTCACTCAAAGTTGATGTAAACGTGCATTGGAAACGGTTTTGCGATTACCATACCTATCTATCCTTTTGAAAAGCTTGAATTATTAAGGTTTTGCTAAACCATGCTACACCAAAACACTTTTACTTTTACACTGGACGCGCGTTTCGCTAACCATGTTAGCATCATCAGCAGATGATTATAAACTGAAATGAATGATAATTATGAAACTAAAGCAGTTTATAATCATCTGCTGATGATGCTAACATGGTTAGCGAAACGCGCGTCCAGTGTAAAAGTAAAAGTGTTTTGGTGTATTGTGGTGATTTAGTGTTTTTATTTTGCTGTGTAACACCAAAGGTTCCAACCCTCAACTGTAATAAACCATGCTGCATAGCAAACCTTATTATATCCCCTAATAGGCCCTTGATGGTGACTACTGTAGGATCCCCAGACTCACTCTTAATTATAACACAAAATTTTTTACATATTAACGTATTTATTACTGATTAACTTACCTGCCAACATTTTGGATATTCCCAGTCCAAATCTAACCCATCAAATCCCCATTTTTCGATAAACTCTATGACATTGGCAACGAATTTTGCTCTAGCACTTGGATTGTTCACCAATCTGGAATATTTGTCTCCCAGCGAATCGTTCCAACCTCCAATCGCTATCAGAACTTTGATACCCTTTGATTTGTAAGCAATTACTTTTGTATAGAAATCTACAAGAATCAGAAGTCATGATATGAACTACTCGGCCTTAAATAAAATCTTACCGTTATCGATGTCTGCCCAGGAATCGTGCGGTTTAATAGTTATTGTATTCGGATCTAAGACAGCAAAACCATAGTTAATGTGGGTACATAAAGATGGATCAATGTCAGAAGGTAAGTATTTGCCATCTCCTTGTCTATTAATAAACGTGAATTAATTTAAAATTTATTCAAAATAGTTCCAAGGAACATACCTGTACCAAGCCCAATTTGTAAAGTAGCACACAACCTTGTAATCTCCAGATTGATACTGAATTTCAGGCTGAGTACTGGACGGAATTGAAATCGTACTTGTTTCTATTTCCGGCAAAGAAGGTTCTTTGGACGACTCCTCGGTATTGTCTGGTGTAGTACTATCAGGATGGCATGGCGTGTTTTCCGGCCAGTCGCAGTGATCTTCATTCCAATATAATCCAGAAGGACATGATTGTAAATTAAGTTCTCCCTGATTACATAAGTAATATTGTTGACAGTTTTGAGGATCAGGCTTGAACAAGTTTCCATCGCACGATAATGAGACAGTTGGTGGTTTACGTGACGTGGTTGTTTGGACCCAAGAGGACGATGTAGTAGTAGGTCTGAGCGTGGTAGTTATCGACGAAGGTTTCTGATTACTTGGTTTCTCCTGAGATTTTCCCAATACGCACTTGGGATCTGGCACTGCATAATTTCTTAGTACACGATTGATCGTTCTTAAAAGAGGATATTCCTCGCAGCCACATTCGTTTTTGAAATCGTCTAAATCTAGAGCCCAGATCATACCGCCACCAAGATCCATCGCCTTGACGTACTCAGATTTGTGCCTGATCATACCAATGTCGTCAAAGGATACCCATTGATCTCTGAGATAAGCGTATGGGCCGATCCTACCTTTTCGATCACGGACTACCTTCCACCCCTTCTTAATAATATTGGTGCATATCTATAATACAAATTTAATGTAAATTCTCATATTTAAATTGTAGTCTAAGAGCTAAGCAACGTTTTCGAGAAAGTATTTTATTTTATTTTACTCTTTAATATATCTTTTGCTATGCTCTCTGGAACAGCGTGCGAGTCGTCTGGCTGCCGATAGACGTTGCGTTCACTACTGCGCATTGAAATAAGATCCTATATTTTTTTTATTTAGTCATTTAAATTCTAGTATTGAATATAAATCGAACAAGTCTCAAAACAAAATTACCGGCTCGGGGTAAACTTTTTTTTATTTTATTTTCGTTTATATTCTGATAGTAAAGTATTGTTTTCTTTTAATGACCAGAATTATTTGTCTGTCCAACGAGAAGATCCTTGACAGTGATAGATGTGTCTGTCATTTTAATTTCAAAGTAGTTTATTTTATTTTACAAAGAAATAAATTGGTACAACTGGAACGCATAGCAGGAAATTAATAGCTTTTTTCGTTTTCCTGTTATTACCGATTCTGAACCATCCTAGAATTGTGATGCGTATGCGCAGAAGGAAATATGAAGACATTATTTCATTTGCGCATGCGCTGGAGAGTTCTAGGACGATTCAGAATCGATAATAACAGGAAAACGAACAGACCTAATATATGTATTTAAAATTTGACTGACAAGTAACTTCAAAATATTGTGAAAAAAACTGTATAAAACTGAAAAATGTAATCGAGTTATTTTATTTAATAAAAATCGGTATGTGTTGATACAAAACAAACAAAAACAAGACACAACATACCAAAAAATATAAAAAAGAACTATTTCTTACTTTCAAGCTTTATGAAACTTCCCGCATTTATGATTATATTTATCAATATAACTTATATACAAATACAAATTTGTAATATTCCGCAGGAATAAATAAAACAACATAAATAAAACAAACTATTTTATTAATAATATCACTTACCAAATTTTATACCTCACAGGTTATTAATTAACTTTAATCTTAATTTTTTTAAACCAGTACCTTTTGACATTATTTTTCTGCAGTACTAAAATCCATTATTTACCTATCGTGTGATGTCGATATTTTACAGCTACTCCAATTTTTAGTATGTGTTTAGTATGGTCCTTCTACCATATTCGAGATGCACTTATCTACGACGAGATGGTATACAAACTTTATTGATAGTAACTTTATTGGTGTACCTGTATAAGACTTTCTGCCTGGGCAGCGAGTATTAACCATAAACTGTGCTCTGGATTCTACAGTTAATTTTCACTCGATTTTTCCTCCACTTGACTTCAAAAGACACAAAACACACGTAATAACACGAAATTCCAAAACGCAGGGTATTTGACAAAAGTTGTCACAAAATTATAACCTATAATTTAGCAAGACTTTGACAAACGTCAAAAATCTAAAGGCGAGTTCATACGCATCGGCGTCCGTTTGTCGTTTATCGTTCCGTCAAACCAATAAAATTGAAATACGATCTGTCATTTTTGAAATAAAACCAATAAAACTGGTTAAAAACAACAAGTGACGACGCATGACGAATTTATATTTAAACCCATCCATAGTTAACTTAAAAATTATTAGAAACTTTTTTTAGTAAAATAAATAGATTGGTATGGGACGTCATCTGCTTTTCTTCTGTCATCGTCTGTCGAAATCTTACCTGAGAAAAAAAACAGAGTATACTTTACTATCAGAATATAAACGAAAATAAAATAAAAAAAAGTTTACCCAAGCCGGTATTGAGCTCGGGACTTATATTCAATACTAGAATTTAAAGGACTAAATAAAAATATAAGAACTTCTTTCAATGCGCAGTAGTGAACGCAACGTCTATCGGCAGCCAGACGGCCTGCCCGCTGTTCCAGAGAGCATAGTAAAAGATATATCTACAGATTAGGTATACTATATGTATACAGATAAAAATCTTGTCTCTAATTCGTGGTACGAAAATTGTTTTTATGACGGTGAGCAAACGAGTAAAATTTCCTGTGCGCAAAAATAATCTCGCATTTAAACAGCGTGGGCCGGTCAGGCGCTGTGGACAATTTTAGAGGCCGTAAGTGGGCGTGACTCCGAAAATTGGAACCACGAAAAACAATGCTTTTGACGATAAGTTTATAATCTGTGATATATCAAAGAGTCAGCTTTCTTAAAATACATGTTTTCCAGACGCTCTCGTACTATTGTTTTATTCAATATTTACTTCATAATAAGCAAGGAAACCTCGAGCACGCGTATCTTCTCCTGCTTCTCCCCCTCCATATGTCGCTGCATTAAGACCGTTTTCTTTGTTGTCTGCCAAAGAGAATGACTGACCATACATGGGCATTCCCAAAACAAGCTTCTTTCTGTCGGCACCTTTTTCAATCCAGTAATTTATAGTGAAATTCTAACAAAAAAAAAGACACAAAATATTTTTATATTTGCAAGCATTAACGAACTAAATCTAATACCGTATTGAACGTAGCATCTATATCTTCTGGATGAGCATACATTGGAGCTACGTGTCCAGTTATCTTGTCCCATTGTCCGTGATAATCGTATGTCATTACGGAAATCCAGCTGAGGTATTTGGATAATGCCGGCACGTCATATCCGGCATCAATAACTCGTCTGCTTGGAGAAACGGCTGCTGATAATAACCAGCCTTTTGGTTGGAAAGCTTCGTGCAACTCTCTAACGAAATCAGCAAAGGCTGGTTTATCAGTAACTGGGCCTTTATTACAATCCACCTAGGTAAATAGATTTTATGAGATATTTATAAAATTATTAACATCGTGTTACCATGTATACGTCACACAGTAGGCAATATGTCCAAACCAAGTTGCAAAAAATAACATCCACAGTTAGCATTTATGGCAATAACATTAGATTGGAAACATATTAGTTAAGAGGAAACCACATAAAACTAACAAAAAAAAACATATTCGGAGTGTCTTTCGAGGGGCTGTAAAACGAACTTTGCGCAAAACCTACATTTTCAGTTAATTTGTGTCCAATAACTGCCTTTTTTCTACAATTTTTTAAATAGTAGGCATTGTATTCAAGTGACACAGTATTATAACAATTGAATCGGACGACCTTAGCTTGCTGTCAATTACTATTGTGAAATTGTCATAATGTGTTTTACGTAGATTCCCGGTTGCGGTAAATTTAATGTCAAGGTAAGTAAAAAAGTATCTTTTATTTTGTTTTTTTGGATAAAAACTAGGTAAAGGTCAAAGTAGAACATAATCATTTAAGGTTTTTTTGATAGTGGCATATATTCTACCTTAGAAAAGTTAAGTCAAAAAAATCGCAAAAAATCGCAACATTAAACTTATTGGAAGCGTATGTCTAAATGCGTATGTGTATAGTAAGATCCTTTATGTGGATACTTCTCATAAATTAATTGTTATAGTAGCTAGAGAAGAACATGAAATATAAAGTTACGTATTTTTTCTCAAGATTTCCGAAGAGGTATGTCATAAATGTCAAATGACATTTTTTGACAAATTGAAAAATTTTGACAGATTTTTCTTTCAGATTTAAAAATGTGCACTCCGTGACCATTGCTTCCAGCTGATATAAAACAAAATATCAGTAAATAGTAGGTGGTAAAATAAAATTTAGATATTTTTAATAGGTATAAGTTCTGTTATTTTCGAAATCGTCATTGTTTAAGTCTCAGAATATTGTTACTTATTTAAAATATAATAATAAAATATTGTTCACATATTGTCTGGTATTATTAGAGACCCAACTTATTGAAATGACAAACAATCTTGAATAGATTGGATTAGTATACTCAGGGTTTTCTTTTATACATTGACACCCCCTTTATCTTTTTTATTTGACGTTTCCGAAAACTGTCTCAAATGAAAGTGGTTTTGAATAAATTTGCCAAAAAAGTCTATTTTGCATATACAAAGTGCTTCAAAAAGTCTGGGCATGGTTCAACTTTCTTATTTCAAATTAGGTATAGAAGAATATATAAACAAGGGTATAGGCTATGTTACATAAAAGTAGTTAGGATTTTTAGGAGAAAATAAAAATCAAATTAGAAATTGGGTACTAATTTGAAATAAGAAAGTTGGGCCACGCACAGGATTTCTAAGGCACCCTGTATACGCAAAGAATACTGTTTTGAAAAATGTATTCGAGACCATTAAACTTTTATTCAAGACACTTTTTTCGAAAACGTCGAATAAAAAAGATACAGAGGATGTCAATATATAAAACAAACCCTGATATGCCGGAGGAGTAATAATTGCTCAATATTTGTCTGTTTCATCTTGGCTCTGCCTAAAATCGTAAAATTTAGTGAAATATAAAATATTCTTACCGCCTTTTGGTAGCTGTATTAGTCAATAGATGATTTTTCCCATTTTATGAAACCCCCCACCACCCCCAACCACTCTCAAGTCAGCCAAAACTAACTGGGTTCACGGGCTACTAGCATAGAATGTTTTTACCAAATTTGAATGAAATCGTACAAAAAAAGAATTTTTGCAACATACTTCTGGATTTTTGCCCACTGTGCGACATAGAGATAGATAGGTAACTTACTTGCCAGCATTTTGGATATTCCCAGTCCAGATCCAGACCATCAATACCGTGTTCTTCGATAAAATCTACAACGTGAGCTATAAATCTTCTCCTGGCAGCCGGGTTATTTACTAATCTAGAGTATTTATCCCCTGCTGAATCGTTCCAGCCCCCAATAGCAATCAAAACCTTGATACCTCTTGATTTGTACTCTGTCACTTTTTCATAAAATTCTATAAAATATATTTTTTTTTAAATTCTGGCTATTAAACATAACCATTGTTAAACTTACTGTTATCAAAATCCGCCCAAGTATCATGAGGTTTAATAATGAGCTGATCACCATCTAATACAGCAAATCCATAAATAATATGTGTGCATAGATTTGGATCGATGTTGGAAGGTAGGTATTTGCCACGACCTTGTCTGTACCATGCCCAGTTGGTAAAATAACAAACCACTTTGTATTTACTATCTGTGTCTACTATAGTGCTTTGTGGTACTTGGGGTGCCAGAGATGATGATTCTAAAGTAGCAGATTGGTGGGTCTCTTCTTCGGCTTCTACCGGCTCGGGCTGTCCTACCCTATGTGGTTTCTCATCGCTGTCGTCTATGGGGGGAATTGGTTCTGGTTGGCCCGTGCCTGGATCGGCCAGAACGTTTCGAATGGTTGTGAGAAGAGGATGGCGACCTCCTCCGCACCTGTTCTTGAAGTCGTCCAAATCCAAAGCCCAAATCATACCACCTCCGAGATCCATGCGCCTAATGTATTCCGATTTAATTCGAATCATTTCTTTATCATCGAACGAAACCTGCAAGTAATTCTCCAATATACAGGGTGGTCCGAAGTGTATTCCGGAGAGTTCGGCAGCATATTCTGCAGACAAAAATAAGTAAAAAAGTTGCTAAAAATGTACGTCCTAAAATGCTTAGTTTCAAAGATACAGGGTGTAGAAGTTTCATTTTTATTTTATTTTTGTCCAAGTAATTTCTGAAGTAACGGCAATATCTGGATGAAAATTGTTGTCTGGGTGTTCTTTGACATGAGAAATTTGATTTTGATGCCAATATGATTTCTGTTTGTAGGGGACGCCACCTATATGCGTTTTAACCTTTGAATAAGAAGACTAAGGAAGGAGCATATCAAAAATCTTAGGCACACCGCGATGGGCCTCAAATATGGCCGACTTAAATTCCGGTCTATCAGTGTCGTTCTAATTCCGCCCTTAAATTGGTATTTTTTCAGAAGATCGTAAAAACTGTTTAGAATGAAGGACCCGTTTCTCTGGGAAAAACTAAATATTTTTCTGTTGGTTGTAAAATCCCACGTCCATAAATTAATATAATACTTGCTTTGAAACAGCTACAAACGACTAGCATCAGTCATTAAGGCTGTAAAAGCCTAAATTTTAACTTCGAGATTATATAAGCAAAACCCCTAGAAAGCAATAAAACTCTAAGACCCTTCTCACGATAGACCTCCAACGGGCCAATACAAACAGATTTTGGATAAAAACAAGTATAATTGTTAATTTAAATATTAAACTAAAGTTCACGTAATGATAATCTGAAAGTTAAGGACTGTCCTCCTTTTTTATCCAAAATATCCAAAAGTATGTGAAATAAATAAACTTATAAGATAAAACAGCGGAATCTAATGAAATCAAATTATATAAATATATATGTGACAATAAATCAATATATGTGATTTGTTTGGTTTTTAAGGACAGACCTTAAAATATACTTTAGTTAGGGTTAGATTTAATCATGTGTAATTGTGTTTACGGTAATTATAATATTTACACGGATATTAGTAATAATTTGGAAATAATATAGAAATGGTCATAGTAACGACATCTGTGACAAGTAGGGCGAACTAGACCGGGAACGACAGGGTAGTTGAGGTTTTTTCAGACCAATCAGACGGTTCCTGAAAAGCGAACCCGAACATGATTTGAGAATGGCTCGGCTTTTGGTGGTTCCCTATTCTTTTTACCCGCCCATTTTAAAGATTTCGAGATTTAGGAAAATAGTTTTTTGGATCAGTTCGGTACTGACTTTTAAATTAGACGGTCGAATCTCCTCCGTGTAGATCTTATATTATGGTGGTTTCTTTTTAATAATTTTAGTAAGTTTTCTATTTAAAGATTTTCTTAAATATTCGATTCTCAAGTTAGGAAATTTTAAACATTTCATGTATAAAAATTTTTAATTTGTTGTTTTAGATTTTCTTTAATATTTCTTTTATTAACGATTTAAGACTTTCTGTTTGTTCTAAAGGCTTTAGTAAAAGTTAGATGTCATCACACAAATTATTATTTTGCAATTGTTCTTTTTATTAAATTCTAATTTAAATCCAATTGATCAGTTAATATTTTTTTTGTCATATTAATTTTCTGGCAACGAAAATTCTAAGAGATATTTGAATTGTATGCTAATTTTAGATAATTTAGATTAGACTAATAAGAAGAATATTTTGTATTTTTAACTTTATCACTTCTGAATTTTAATATCATTCATTAATTATTTTTGATTAAATATCTTTCTTTTTTTTATATTTCATTAATTATAAATGTCTTATTAAATCGTTTTCTTTATTTTTATCTATTTATTTTTTTTTATAGTAAATATAGTTAGGTGTTGTGAAAAATCGGCATTTTATTTTTAATCTCACCTTTTCACTAAAATATTAAACTATCTAAAAGAACACTATGATAACTGGTCGAGTGGTTTAATGTAAAGAATGAGTCCAAGACCGAAGTGGTGGGGATCAATGAAATCTTCGACAGGTTCTTGTTGTTGATGTATTGCTGATGGATGTTGACGTAATAAGGTAAGTGGCAATAGAGTTTATAGTAACTGAATTTAGAAAGAACCCTTACCATAAAAGTGCGATGCCTTAATTTCTATTTTTAGCTGGCTATATTTTGTTTTTTTATATGTAAACGAAACTATATTTACGCTCTGAAAAGTCGGTGTTCTCATTATCCAAGTTCTGCCTACCGCTCAATAAATTATTTTAATTATAATTATATAAAGGCCACTCTACCATGTTAACGGACAAATCTGGAAAGTTTTGTCACATAACTTTTCAAACTAACCTTCTAACTTCGCAAACTTCTAACTTCGCAAACACCTGTATAAAACTACTGAGTGAAAAAATATACATTTCCATGCTTTTTTACGTAAAAAATGTCTTTTGGTAAAAATCGCTACGAGCAACCGTTCTCAAGATATATAGTATTTAAATAATCAATACTTGTTATTATTGACAAAAAATAAACATGTTGACTATGATAGATAGTTATTTGAGTGAAATGATATAAATGTTTCTTCGAAAAAATGATAAAACAGAACTTTTTGTACAAGAACATTTCAAATTTTAATTTTATGTCAATTATGACAGGTATTGATAATTTCGATTCCAAATATCTCGAGAACCATTACTCGTAGCGATCTTTACCAAGAGACCTTTTTTACTTAAAAAACATCATAAATGTATATTTTTTACTCAATATTTTTATACAGGTACGGACGAAAAGTTATTCCTGTTCAAATCAGTTAAAAAATATGTAGCTGGCGATCTCTCCAAGGAGGAGTCATATTGACATCAAAATCAAATTTCTCATGTCCATAAACTCTCACAAACCAACTTTCATCCAAATATTAACGTTACTTCAGAAATTATTTGGAAAAAATCGAAATAAAAATGAACTTCTAAACCCTGTACCTCCCAAACTAAGCATCTTAGAACATACGTTTATACGAACTTTTTACTCATTTTTATCTGCAGAATATGTTGGCGAAGTTTCCGGAATACAGTTCGGACCACCCCGTATATTTACCTAATTTGTAAAAATCTAAATCATAAAAATATTTCAGTAATCTTTAATACGATTTTGGGTATTCAAAGAAACTTAGGGACACTCCCAAGTAGCATTTGGACGTTATCTAACGTCGGGTATACGTCACGTTCAATAAACCCGACGTCGGGTAACAACGTCGGTTCGACCGCCTGACGACCCTTATTTGCACCTAAATGGGGAATACAGATTCGGGTCGCCTCGACGTCGGTATCTGACCTAATAGGGTAATTCTACCAATTACCAACGTCATATTACGTTGGATTTTAGTTACTTAAAATTCGTCGCTAAGCACTTACGTTACGTTTGGTTTCATATTCGCTACCAAGAATACATAAAAACCTAACCAAACTACCTAATTACAAATGGATTCATAATCACTCCTCGAATATAACTATAAGTGCCTATCTAATTTCATATTATAATAATTCTGAATCATTAATCCAGACATCAGTTTTGTCAACGGAAGTCACTTTCTTGATATATCTGACTAAAATACTCCGGAAAACAACGAGCGCCTTCAAAATTAGGTAGATTTATGAAATAAAAATATCTATAAAAAAGTAACTCGCAAAATATTTTTTTTTAATTTTCTAGCTGGTTTAATCATAAAACTGTACTGTGGTTCCCCCCAAACTGAACCTTATCAATATTATTCTACTAGAAATCGAAATGTGAATATAAATTTTAAAAACAAAAAACGATTTTAAAATGGCTGACAATCGGATATGTGTTAAGAATGGCGGATTTCTGTGTCCGACTTAATATGAACTACCAATATACCAATTCCGACCGGGTCTCCAACATTAGTCGTCTCACACGACCGAAGTCATCAAACCGGACGACCGGCAATCATATTATGACTTATATAATTCCAACGTACGCCACGTAACCTCACTTTGCGTATCAGTGATTAGTGGAACTATATTTTAGTTTTTGTTTTCTCCTTAAAAAAAATGGGCAGCCACTTTTTTAAGCCTAACCTCACATGTGGGAGGAGGATGGGGTCTGCTGATTTCCTAAGCTAAAAAATGAAATTAAGATGCACCAGTGTAATGCGCATCTCTTCCGGATAAAAAGCATTTATGGGTGGAGGCAAGACATCACTACTACTATTATTAATTTGCAAAAGCCTCGACCTTTTTCTGTAAAATGTTAAATGTAGATGAATGTCTAAATGCCTTTTTAGTGTTTTTTAGGCATAATAAAAAAATTAAGTTTGTTTACAAAAACTTTTTATTAGGTTATGTTCATGATGTTCATTAGGTCGCAAATGCTACTTAAAGGGTTGTATTTACGGACGTAAATAGAGATACGTAAATTAGGTTATAAATATGAACATAAAATACAACGAAATATAATTGGACGTTACTTTAGGGATTATCAGTGAGACGTATCCTATTCGGACAACGGGTAGACGTCGGGCTAGTTCAAGTATATGTACGTCGTGCAAGCCAACGTGTGAACGACGTTGGGAAATTAATAAAAATGGTACGTTGTTATTTTGTACGTCGACAGATCGTTGGATTTACCGACTCGGATCCAACGACGTCGCTTTTAATAGGAAAGCGACGTCACAGGTCGTATCGACCTAAATTTGCACAAGTCTGACGTCGCTTCAGGTCAGATTTAGTTCGAAGTCAGATAGATGCTACTTGGGCTATCGTTAATAAAAGTTGTGCTTATTAGGCTTATATCTTTTAGTATGTTTAGTCGAAGTTTATTACCCATTGATTTCCTTTGTACGCGTATGGACCCACTCGTCGTTTAGGATCTTGAACCACAGTCCATCCTTTATTCTTTATGTTGTCGCAAATTTCGTAATAGGCTAAAAACCCAGCTGCCCTGGTGTATTCTCCAGCTTCTCCAGGACCTGGTGCTTTGGCATTTAGGCCGTTTACTTTCTCGTCTTCTAGTCGGAAGGATTGACCATATAGAGGCATTCCCATGACTATCTTTCTTCTCGGCACTCCTTCAGATATCCAGTAGTGAATGGAGAAGTTCTGTAGAAAAAATAACATACCCTCTTGTTAGAAAGTCTACTTGTTATATGGTATTATTCATAGACTTGAATTTTGCGAGTTTATTTTATAATTGGTTTTATGTAAAGTTTATAAATTTGGAAAAACATTGTGTCAGGAATTGAACCACAGTGATATTATGGTGAATCTTATGCTGGATACAGACCATGCAGACAAGATAGAAACATTCATGTTTTACGACAAAATTGCGACAAATCTTTGTCTGATGTCCCGTCTCGAGTCGGTAAAGATCAAAGTGTCTATGTTTTGTTCGTATAATAATACGACAAGTTGTCGGCACAGTGTGGATGGCGTGTGCTGCCAACAGTAGGAGACCAGTGAAATCACACATGGTTAATAAAACGCATTCGCAACAACTAAACTCTTGACTTTGTTGTACTTTTGTCCTTCCGGTGTGGACAATTTGTCTCAAGTTTGTCTTGTCAGGATTTCCCATTTTTTGTCGCAAGTTTGTCTTGTTTTGGTCTCAAAATTGTGTTTACTTTTTGTCGTCTTGGTCTGGACCTGGCATTAGAGGTTACGCAAAAAGTTACTTTGACGGCGCGGCGTGTGATCTTTTCCAAACTAATTTTTCAAAAAATGTTGAGGTAAAGTAATTTCTTGATTGTTTGTGAAGATATGGTATATGGAAATGATATAATTCCGAAATGTATATAGATTTTGCTTAAACTATTATCAGATAATATACAGGGTTGTTCACCACATACGACACGCAGTATTGTAGCTAAACGATTAGATTTTTACAAATTGTAAGTTTTGGGTTCGTTGAAGGACTATTAGAGCTACAATTTAAAAATATTTTTACAAGATACAGAGTGTCCCAAATAAATAAAAAATATCAAAGTTGTATTTTTTTAAATGAAACACCCTGTGTATTATTACATTTTTAGTTTCGACGATTAAAATAAAGGTAAATTTGATTAAGGTTTACCGCACTTTAATCTTACCGTTTTTGAAATATTTTCAATTTTGTGAAATTGCAGTCAAAATTTTAAGGCTTCATTTCTCCAATTTAAGGGTATCAAAGTTTTTAATGAAATACCCTGTATATTTTATGACAATCAGATGCACAATTTAATTGTCTACCAAATTGTATTATACCATTTTTTACCTATATCTTCAAGTTTCCGTAGAAAATACATTTTCTTGTAATTTAAAACTCATTTATCAATATACCCACGGAATACTGACATTTTAGATTATTTTTAAAGATGTGGCAAATTTTTAAAGAGTACAGATACTAATAGCGTCGATATAGTTTGTTTATTTCATTAAGAAATAAAAGAAAACTGTTTAAATATTTGTTAAAGAGGACCAATTAATTCCAGTATTCAAACTACATTAATTGTCTGTTTGCGTTGATTAATAATAATTGGTCCAAATATTAAAAAACTGAATTTTGTAAGTGTATTAGACAGTGTGGTAGCAAAAAAAAGTAACACCGTAAAAATAATATTTCATTTTTTGACAAATGCTTATTTATAGCAACAGAGACGTTCATTTTCATAACTTATTATTATATTGATTTCTGATTCAAATCCACATTTATTTAGAATAATTTATTAACGAACATAATTAAGTATGTAATTAATTAGTATTTGGGCAGAAATAATGGTGGTATATTTAATTAAGGGTATACTCTTTATAAAGATGTAAATCGTTTTCTTTTTGCATACAAATGGGCTAGTAATATCATCATTTTGCCAAAAACGATAATATTACTAGCCTGTACACTTTGTACATTTGTTGCTTTAAAAACAATCTAAAATGTCAATATTCCATGGGTATATTGATAAATGAGGTCTAAATTATAAGAAAATGCATTTTCTACGAAAACTTCAAGGAATAAGTAAAAAAGTGGTATAATACAATTTGATAGACAATTAAATTGTGCATCTGATTCTCCTAAAATATACAGATTTAAATTATCTCTGTATGAGGTAGTATTATTTTTATTATTGCAACACAATAACTGATCAATAGCAATAAATAGACTTCAGTAAATATTTAGTATTAAAAAATTTGATACCCTTGGAGAAATGAAGCCTTAAAATTTTGACTGCAATTTCACAAAATTGAAAATATTTCAAAAACGGTAAGGTTTAAGTATAATAAACCTTAATCAAATTTAGCTTTATTTTAATCGTCAAAACTAAAAATGTAATAATATACAGGGCGTTCCATTTTAAAAAGTACAACTTTGATATTTTTTTTTATTTGGGACACTCTGTATCTTGTAAAAATATTTTTAAATTGTAGCTCTAATAGTCCTTCAACGAACCCAAAACTTACAATTTGTAAAAATCTAATCATTTAGCTACAATACTCCGTGTCGTATGTGGTGAACAACCCTGTATATGTTGGTACTTACTGAGTTGTAGAATGCGACCTCGTCTTCAGGATGGTAGAATAATGGAGCAACATGTCCAGTTTGCTTATCCCATTGGCCGTGGAAATCGTAGGTCATTACAGCCACCCAATCCAAATACTCCCCAAGAACGGGTACTTCGTATCCAGCATCGATGACAGTTTTACTGGGTGAAACAGCTGCAGAAAGTAAGTAGCCATGTGGTCTAAACGCCTCCTTAAGCTCTCTGACGAAATCGGAAAAGGCCTTCTTATCAGAATCGGGACCTTTTTTACAATCCACCTAAAATTATTCAAATAAACATTAATAATTATGTTTGCTAAACATTATATGTACAATTAATTATATTGTACAAGAAATACCTTCCTTTCATACCTTCATGGCTATTAACATATTATATCACTATAGTATTGAGTAATAAAAAAGATTGGAAGGAAGTAACGATTGCTCAGCATGTAAAAGACCATACCATAACGTGGTATACTGATGCTTCCAAAACCAAAGCAGGGACAGGGATAGGAGTATTTGGGCCGAAAACTAAATACTTCAGACAGAAATCTACGCTACCGAAAGATGCGTACATTTTATCTTAGATAAGAACTATCGAAACAGGAAATAGCCATCCTATCTGATAGTCAAGCAGCACTAAACGCGATCAACTCAATAACCATCAATTCTAAGTTGGTCAAAGAATGCCTAGAGAAGCTCAACAAATTAGGCAAAGAAAATAAAGTCCTCCTACTCTGGGTGCCTGCTTACCGAGGGATAGAAGGCAATGAGAAAGCAAATGATCTGGCTAGAAAAGGAGCGAACACTCCACTAACTGGACCAGAAACGTTCTGTTTTCCAAGCGGGAACCAACTAAAAGCGGAACTGAAGAACCTGGAAGACTAACCATCCGTAACTTGGAATGGGTGTCCTCCAATAGTCTAAGACACTCAAAAAAGTTCCTCAGAACTTACGACCGAGAAAAATCAAAGATTTTCCTTGATTTAAGTAAAAACAATCTTCGGATTGTCATGGGGTTTCTAACAGGATACTGTCTCCTCAACGAACACCTCAGTAGGCTGAAGCTGAAAAGCAACGGCGAATGCAGATTCTGCGGGGAAAATGGGGAAACACCAGAACACCTTATCACTGAGTGCGCCGAGACGACGACCATTCGTGCCATGAACCTTGGTACGTCTGATGTCGAGGATGGAGAGCTGGCCTCTGCAGAACGTTCTCAGATACTGGCTTTTGTTAAAGCCTTGAGACTGTATGATGAGTTATAACTCGTTATAACTCAAGAAAGGGGAACACACAATAGATCTGTAAGGTCGCAGTGATTAACTCCCCTCCTAAGCATTCTAAAACATATTATTAACTAATCAATAAATCGAAATTAAAACTGAATACATACCTGCCAACATTTGGGATATTCCCAATCCAGATCCAGTCCATCAAATCCATATTTATCAATAAACTTCAACACATTTTCAATAAACCGTCTTCTAGCTGCTGGACTATTGACCAATCTGGAATATTTATCACCTTGAGAATCATTCCAACCTCCAATAGCCACAGAAACCTTCAAACCTTTGGCTTTATAGCCAACTACCCTCTTATAGAACTCTAAAATAAATACATGTAATACCACAAAGGAAACTTTCAAAAGCATTACTTACGATTATCAAAATCGGCCCAAGAATCGTGAGCTTTGATGACGAGATTGGAGAAATCCAACACCGCAAATCCGTAGACTATGTGAGTGCAGAGATTTTCATCGATATCCTCCGGAAGATACTTTCCTAAACCCTTTCTATACCAAGCCCAGTTAGTAAAGTAACAGACTATTTTGAAATAATCGGATTTGGGTTTGAGGGGATCTGACAACGGTGGTTTTTCTGAAGTTGGGGGAATTGGAGGGTGCCATTCCCAGGCATTCTCTCCCGGTTCGCTGGTGCTGGGCGGTTTCCATTCCCATTGCGTTGTGGATCTTACAGTTGTGGTGCTGGGTTTAGACGAAATGCTTGTTGTTGGTTTTAGGACAGGGGAGATCGTTGGTTTTTGGATACCGCCGCTTTCGATTTCGTTTTCGTTTTCGTCGCATTGGGAACCTCGAGGCCAGTCGCAGATTTTCATTTCCTAAAATTGTAAAGGAATTTTTGATAAAATTATTTCATTGTTGAAAATTATAACACTTTAACTACAATACCCAAAGTACATAAAAGTAGTCTAGCTATTCATTTCGCTAATCATATAATCATCATCAACATATTGATTTTATTATTAGCTTTGTATTATGGTAGCCCATTGTCTGTTGTCATACTGTCTTTCTATTTATACAAGGTGTCTCAATATTTAGTAGACATAGAACTTCTATGAATTTTTGGAATGAAAATAAGTCATTGGGCACAATTTACCTCTATATAACAGTACTTCGTCTGTCCGTTATAGGTATCTTAAAAAATATACACATTTTTAAATATATGTTAAGAACCGTTATTCTGATTTGAATGAGTTTTGGTGTGCTTTAACATTCGACTTTTACAAATATTAAGGAAAGCCAATCAAGCAAATCAAACCCTTTGGTTTGAGTTTGTCAAAATAAAATAAATTAATTCTCCATTATCTTTTTAACTATACCGGGTGCGTTTCAAAAGTGGCTCACCACTATATCTTTTTTATTTTTTCAGATAAAAAAACGAGATTCGGTATGTTAGTATATGACATAAATTAAGATTGATTGACGTATTCAATTATTTTTGATCACTTCCTGTTTCACCGGAAATGACTACAACTTTTGATTTTTAAATGGCACCCCCGTTTTTTTACTTTATTCGATAGAAAATGACACTCTGAGTAGAATGAGATATCATATGTCAACTTTTTACATTTTCTCATATGATTTATTTGAAATTGTGACATGCGGTTCATAACGACAATTTGACTCGAAATACCAAGTGTGTGATACCAAGTTATTGTGATACCAAGACTCCTTGATTAAACATTAGTGTAAATTGTACTGAAGCTGTGGTTGGTTCCTTGTGAAACATCGTTGAAATATTAGTATTTTAATAAAGCACGCTTTTAGATGTTTCAAAAAACTTTTAATAAGAGTAACTTTAACTCTACATATATGTTTCGGCTTGTTAGGCCTTTTTCAAGAGTTTTTTAAGAACTAATCGTCTAACTACACTGTAACTATATATATATTTGCTATGGGGTGGGTTCAGAGAGTTTACAATAGAGGCAATGAGGTGTACTGGTGTTTCACCATCTTCCCCACAGAATCTGCATTCGCCGTTTCTTCTTAGTTTCAATCTACTGAGGTGTTCATTGAGGAGACAGTGTCCTGTTAAAACCCCGTGACAATCCGAAGATTGTTCTTACTCAGACCTAGGAAGATCTGTGATTTTTATTGATCATAAGCCCTCAGAAACTTCTTCGAGTGTCCTAGACCATTGCAAGATTTCCATTCCAGGTTGCGGATGGAATCTTCCAAGTTCTTGAGTTCCTCCTTGAGTTGGTTACCACTTGGAAAGCAGAACGGTTCTGGTCCAGTTAGTGGAGTGTTCGCTCCTTTTCTACCTAGATTATTTGCTTTTTCATTGCCTTTTATCCCTTGGTGAGCAGGCACCCAGTGTAGGAGGACTTTGTTTTCTTTGCCTAATTTATTCAGCTTCTCTATGTATTCTTTGACCAATTTCGAATTGATTGAGACTGAGTTGATCGCCTTTAACGCTGCTTGGCTATCAGATAAGATGGCTATTTCTTGTTTCCGATAGTTCCTATCTAAGATAAGTTGTACGCATCTCTCGATAGCGTAGATTTCTGCCTGTAGGATACTAGGGTAAGTGCCCATTGGTTCGGAGTAATTAGCTCTCGGCCCAAACACTCCGATCCCTGTTCCCTGTATTGGTTTTGAAGCATCAGTATACCAAGTTATGGTATGGTCTTTTTAACTGCTCGGCAAGCGTTTCGCTCTTCCAATCCTTCTTATTGCTCAATACTACATTGACATGTTTTGTCAAAGTTGTACGTTCTTGGCATATCGTCCACTGGGAGTTGCAGAAGTGGTATTTCCTTTTTGAGGGTGTTCCAAGCCCCTGATCTGACAATTCTCCCAGTACTCATTCCGTTAGTGACCATTCTAATCATTGTCGCATTGGCAATCTACCAATGACAATGTGCAGTGGTGTTAGATCTAGAATAACCTCCATTGCTGCTGTTGGACAGGTTCTCATGGCTCCTGTGATGCAAACACAGAGTCTCTGGAGTCTGAGTCTCTGGACTTTGCATAGGTTTAGCCTTGCCGTCCGTTGCTCTAGTTTTGTGTACCAGGCAACTGCTCCATAAGTAATCATGGGTCTTACTATCATGGTATACATCCAGCGCAAAATGTTAGGGGAGCAGCCCCATCTATTTCCCGCCAGTCTTCTGCATATCATGAGAGCCTTTATGGCTTTGCTGGTAGTGTTCTTAATATGCCTGTTCCACAGGAGTTTACTGTCCAGGGTTATTCCCAGGTATTTAACTTCCTGTGTTGGCAGTATTTCCTTTCCATCTAGTTGGATTCTTTTCAAGGTTTTCAGACTTCGCCTTCTGGTGAATGGCACTATCGCGGTTTTTTCTGAGTTGATACTCAGCCCGACAGTCCTACACCATCTCTCAGTGATACGGAGTCCTCTTTGGATAATATCACACAAGGTGCCTGCATGTTTCCCCCGAGCGATCATGACTATGTCATCTGCATACCCAATGCAGTGTATTCCTCGCTAGAGTTAATTCATCTAGTAGTTCATCCACCACCAAGCTCCACAGCAAAGGGGAGGTTACTCCACCTTGTGGAGTTCCTTGCGTTGTTTTAACAGCTACAGTTTTGGTGCCCATCTGAGCCTCTGCTGTTCGTCCTTGATTAAACATTAGTGTTTTTAACACAGCCATGGCACTCTAGATTGCAATTTAGTATACTCTCTGAACCCACCCCCATAGCAAATATATATATAGTTACAGTGTAGTTAGACGATTAGTTCTTAAAAAACTCTTGAAAAAGGCCTAACAAGCCGAAACATATATGTAGAGTTAAAGTTACTCTTATTAAAAGTTTTTTGAAACATCTAAAAGCGTGCTTTATTAAAATACTAATAAACATTAGTGTTTTTAACACAGCCATGGCACTCTAGATTGCAATTTAGTATACGTTTTTTTAAGCGAAAATGCCAAAATTTGACATAAGTTTTGGAAACATATAAAGAATTGAATTTTTTTTTATAAGATATAGTCTACCTTATTCCAGTATAATCCAGGAGCGCATTGGAACACTTCATATTTACTCCACAAGCACTGCATATACTGACTACAATCGCCTGGATACGGAGCAAAAGCATTTTCACTACATGAAGAATATGGTTGAGGTCCTACGTAAAAAATGAGAATATTTTGAGATGACCACATCATTCTTTAAAGCTTTGCTACATACTTTTAAAACCCAAATCGTGTTGCAAGGTGTATTTCTCAGCTAACTTCTTTCTGCCAATGCAACGAACTTTGTACTTCCAATCGCACATATTTTTCTCGGTACTCCAACTTAATCCGGGAGCGCAACTTTGAGATACCAACTTGTTGTTGACGCATACATAAAACTGACTGCAATCTTCGTGAGGATAATATTCTCCGGTGTTGCATCCATCGGCAAATTGTGACGTTACCGTTGATTGGGTAGTGTATTGATGTTGCGTTGTTTTACTGTAATGCGTTACTTGAGGAATTGGAGTTACCGTATAGGCTACAACAATTCATTATACATTGCCGGATTTTTTATTACTTTAGTAAAATTAATTACTTACGCTGTTCCTTACATCTGGCTGTCTTAGGCCAGTCACAGATACGTCTTTCGTTGTTCCAATGAAGACCACCCGCGCAATATTGCTTTCTAAGTTCTCCAGATATGCATCTATGAATTACATGTTGTTAATTAAACGTTAATAGTTATTTATGGTACTAGTGTGTTATCTTACATACAGGGTGTCACAAGCCAATATCTTGATTGTTTGTTGGGGGAGTCTTTTTTCATGTTTCGCAGGAGGCTGTATGGCTATAAGATGTACATTTTGCCCAGGGTAAGAAATGCGATACCTCATAGACGTACGTTTTAAAGGGGTTTGATATTTTTCGAGTTAAGAGTAAACTACCCTTAGGAGAGTATTTGTTTCAAATCTGATAAATTATATTGAATCCTCCTTACCCAAGATACTTAAGTTCTAATTTTGATAAATATTGATACAGGGTGTGTCATTAAAATTAGACATTTTAATTTTTATTGATAGTTTTTTAAATACTTACGACGTACACTGGATAAACAACTGCTTTATTATCAATAACCAATTATCAATTAATAATAATCGATTTAAGTTTTCAGATAGCTTCCATAATAATTAAGTTACGATACAAAAAAAAACTAAATATTTTCAATTTATTTTGTTTACTTTAAAAAATTGTTTTTTAAGTTTGCTAATAAAAATGAATAAAATGAGTTACAAAATAATTTAAAAACCAAGTTTTCAATGGAATCTGAAATTTGATTTTTATTCGTTTTATTGAGGAATATTTAAAAAAATCCAAATAGTTATTTAAAACAATCACTATTAACTTTGGAAAATATGCTCTAAACAAAGATTTATAAAACTATAACGAACTAAAAGTCATCATCTTCGACCATCTTCGACCAAACTTAAATGGATTATTAGTTGATAATTGGATATAATTAGTGTATTGATAATAAACCAGTTTGGTAGTAATAGACCATAAATAAGTTGTTTATCCAGTGGCGTCGTAAGTACTTAAAAAAATAATAATAAAAATAAAAATGTCTAATTTTAATGACACACCCTGTATCAATATTTATAAAAATTAGAACTTAAGTATCTTGGGTAAGGAGGATTCAATATAATTTATCAGATTTGAAATAAATACTGTCCTAAGGGTAGTTTACTCTTGACTCGAACAATATCAAACCCCATTAAAACGTACGTCTATGAGGTATCGCATTTCTTACCCTGGGCAAAATGTACGTCTTATAGCCATACAGCCTCCTGCCAAAAAAACAAACAATCAAAATATTGGCTTGTATCCATCTTAAGTGGGACACCCTGTATAAGTCACGCTGGAAAATGTTTAGCTAATTTTCTCAAGTGACTAATATGTTATAACACGCGAGTGCCATACAAAATTTTATCCAACAGCAGAACTGTTTCATGTCCAATCTCCAAAGAATAATTGATTTAAAAGGATCTACCAGTTCTACTTTCATTATTGCGAATTAACAGCCTAGTTGCACTTAGATTTTTAATTTTATATTAGTTAGTCGTGTAGTAAGCCAATATGTCCAAAAATATAAAAAGAATCATATTAGGTCCAAAATAAAATAAAAATATCGTTATATGCAATAATTTTGGCCATGTGTATACATATGAGTAATGTCTGTATAAGTAGTGGCTGTTGGATAAAAGTATTTAAATTTTTAATTCATTGTCTTACCTGTAGTAGGCATTACAATTATTGAGATCAGCCACGTATTGTCCAAGTTCGCATTTTTGACTGGGTTTCTCATTTTCAGGACTAATAACAGCTGGAGGTGGAACTAAAGGTGTGGAACCAGGTGCGGGAGCCTTTGTAGTTGTTGTAGCTGTAGTAGTACTCCTAAAATCGCATCATTTCTTTTAATACATCTTCCAGAAATCTCATTTTTATATATTTTACTTTGTGGTAGGTCTGGTTGTTTGCCACCAAGCTGTTGTACTTTTCGCAGTCGTAGTTTTGCTGGTGCTCCACCAAGTGGAAGATTGCGACGAAGTAGTCCACCAAGGTGAATTAGTTGTAATCAGAGATTGGGTAGTTGAAGATGGTGTCCACCATGGAGAAGTCGTAGTTTTCTTTGTAGTTGTTGTAGTCCATTTGGTGTGGTGACTATGCTCTGATGTTGCCGAACCTACCGAATATAAATTGACATTGTTGCTGACAAATATAATTTATTTTTACGAAATATCTGCGCTACCTGAATCAACTCCTGTAGTCGTTTCAGGAGGAGCAGGTGTAGAAGGTGTGGGGGGTTTAGTACAATCCCCTTGTGGCGGACTGGCAGATATACGGCCTAAACCTTCGTTCAGACTATGAAGCAGTGGGAAACTTCCGGTACAACATCGGTTGTTAAAGTCATCTAAATCAATTGTCCATGCTACAGCACCACCGAAACCTTTGCTTTTTATATAATTAGCCTAAAATAATTTCAATAATAAAGAAATAATGATATAAGACTACCAAAATACCTTTTCTTTAACAGATCGAATATCTTCGTATCCTACCCACTGATCACCAAAGTACGCATACGGTCCAGAACCGTCAAAACCACGGTTTGCCATCCAGTTCTGGTTCTTGATTCGATAGCAGATTTCGTAGTGACCTAACATACCCGGTTGTTTGGTGTATTCTCCTGGTTCTCCAGGTCCGGAAGTTGCGGCACCTTCCCCATTGGCACTGGATTTCGTTAAAGTGAAAGTTTGACCGTAAAAGGGAACTCCCATTAAAAGCTTTTGTCTAGGAGCCCCTTTGGATACTAAATATTCCATCGTGTAGTTCTAAAATGAGGTTTTGTATATCGTTGAAAAAAGTTGGCTTGGTTTTGATTGACTTACTGTATTGTACTGAGAATGTTTGTCGCTTGTTTGATGGTAAAGAGGACTAACGTGACCGGTTTGTCCCTCCCATGAACCATGATAATCGTATGTCATGACAGACATAAAATCTAGAGCGCTTCCTAAAGAAGTTAGGTCATATGCAACGTCAATAACTTCTTTGTAGCCAGAGATAGAAGCTGCTATGATTAATGGCGGACTTTGTTTATCAAATTCCTTCTTTAACTCCTGAAATTAATAATATGTGATATAACAAGGATTTTTCCTGGTTAAAATAGAATTTACCTGAATTAACTTAGTGAAGTTCGGTTTATCTGAAGCTGGACCTTTTTTGCAATTGCTTTGCCAACAAATAGGATAGTTCCAATCGAAGTGCAGACCATCAAAACCGTGTTTTCTTAGAAAACCTACAGCTCCAACAACAAATCGCCTTCTAGCTGAACCATCGCTTACCAGTCTAGAGTATTTGTCTCCAGTAGAGTCGGTCCATCCGCCCAGTGAGAGTAGAACTTTAGAGTCTTTTAGTGATGTAATTCTTTCATAGAGATCTATAACAAAAGGGAATGATAATAAACTGTGCGTATGACAAAAATTGAATCTTAGCAATTTTTTTCAAGTGCAAACCTGAAGGATGTATTTCAGGAAAGTAATTTAACCTCTACAGGGTGACTCAAAAAAGTGTGAGTGGACCAGGATGATTTTTTTTTAAATGGAACACCCTCTATATTATTTCATTTTTGGCTTCCCTTCTGATCACTTTACATAATCTTAAAATATTTTTAAATAAGTTTTGATAATTTCAGAGATATTAATAAATAAAATATTTTTTTCAGCCTTTTTAAAAAAAAATATTAAAAATACAAAAACTGTCTTGAAATCAGAACTATATTAGATGTTTACTTTAGATGGTCTGTACTTACTGTGCTATAAATATCGTAATCTTAAATCCTACAGGGTGTTCAAAATTCTACGTCAAACTTTCTAAAATATAAAATAATTTTTGAAAAATATATATTTTTATTTATTTATTAATATCTCTAAAACTATCGAAATATATCTACTCATATCTTAGGATTATGTAAAGTGATCTGAAAGGAAGCCAAAAATGCAACAATATACAGGGTGTTCCATTTAAAAAAAATCATCCCGATCCACTCACACTTTTTTGAGCCACCCTGTAGAGGTTAAATTATTTTCCTGAAATACATCCTAGTACATACTTTAGGTTAGCACAATTTTCAAGTATTTTATTCTAGGAGCTACCTATTGCCGGACCCTGTATATTTTTAATTATTGTTTCTACAAATTGGTCTTTTAGTAATTCTTTCACAGAGACCTATAACAAAAAATGAATGCTCTATAATAGCAGTAGTGGTCAATTAAATGACGATGTCAAATATTTCCTAAGCCTTCTAGATTATGGCGGTCTTCTTTGTTATGCAGAAATTTTATTTTGTGGTACTTACTGTTATCAATATCTGCCCAAGTGTCAAATTCTTTTATGATCAAATTTTGCGGATCTAGGGTACCAAACGCATAAACTATATGAGTACACAAACGCTGATCGATGTGTTCAGGAACAAATTTTCCTTCAGATTTTCGATAAAATGCCCAGTTTGTTACATAACATACAACCTGAAATAATAAAAAACATTTTATTTGAAATTTTTAATATATTTTCTTCGTTGGACCTTGAATTCTTCCTCTTTTCCACTTCTCAGAGAAGCATGATTGAACTCCTTCAAGTTTTGGTGAATGTAGATGGTTTCGCCAGGTCTGCATTTCCTGCTTTGGAATTTTACGCATTTTCCATTGGTCGTATCGAACATTAATCCGTTTCCACAGGATAAATGATAGCTAAGGCCATTTTTACAAGCGTAATAAGCAGCACAGTTCTTTGGATCGCTGTAATAGCCTTCAGCTTGGCATGTTCCGTATGGCTCGATTGGGTTGTTCGTATCGGGGACTAGATATACGGGTTCTTCATCTAAAACTTATATTTAGGTGATATATTAAAAAAATTCTAAGTTTGACAATGTACCTCGTAAATTTTTGTTGATGGTAGTCAGAAGGGGCCATTTGTCTCCACAGAGTCCTTTAAAATCGTCTAAATCTACGGCCCAAGCGAATACACCTCCCAGATCTTTCTTTTTCACGAAATCGATCTAAAAATATTTGACAAGTATTGATTTATTTCAAAGTTACTAAAAGATACTTCAAGAAATAGAAAAATTATCTATAATTCTTGATTTTGTAGTATTGGACTTCACCTTGCAGAAAAAAGCAAGATTAAGATGACGTTAAATCTGCAAGACCAAGACCGAAGAATACAAGACTTGCGCAATACCAAGAGCAGTATGCAAAACTTGTGATCTTGCGTTACTTACGTAGTTACTTGTTTTATTTGATCTCATTTGACTATTTGCTTAAATTCTAGAGTCAGATATGTGTTGGTCAAAAATCGGTATCTGTATGCATTCAACTAAAACAGTATTCAGCATATAAGAAAGGAAATTGATATAAAAAGTTCCTTATTTTAAATGAAGCTATATACATATAGTGCACACATTTTTTTATAGAGGTAGTGCTATGTGCGCAAACTAGTAACCTAACTAGTACCCGATTCCGAAAATTGGAACCACGAAAAACAATAAAGAAAAAACAAAGTTTATAATCTGTATAATCTGTGGTAATAGACTCTTAAAGTAAAATATCGCAATATTTGTCGGTATAGTACCGTGAAATGGGGTGACTTTGCCTCTTGGGGTGACTTTTCCAAATTCCGCCCGAAAATATGTTAGACGTAGCCGTAGCCACTACTTGAAAAGAACGCGTTTTGTGTTATCGGTAAATTATGGGTGGAGGCGCCCCACGTCTCGGAACGTCGCTAAACGCTTGCCTTCAGTTGCGATGTACCATTTACAGTGCTGTGAAGCCAAATCTGTTTTTAAAGCCTATTTTGTGCGTTTCAAACTTCTACGTGGCTGCAATTGTTAACGACGCTATATTGAGGTAAGTATTATGCAGAAGTTCGTTATAATATTGAGGGTGATGAAGCATATTTTACGTAATTATGCTTTTAAATGGGGTGGCTTTGGTCTATCAATAAGAATAAGGAAGAGGGCAAAGACACCCCATATAAGCAACTAACTTTGCCCATCCAGTTTTTTACTTTATATATATATTTGATATATATATATATATATATATATATATATATATATATATATATATATATATATATATATATATATATATATATATATATATATATATATATATATATATATATATATATATATATATATATTTGTTTAATAAACAAAAAAGCGTATTATTGTTGTGTTGTCCTTATTACCACTTATAGCATAGACCATGCGCATTTGAGAAAATACAACAATTTTTGAAATAAACACGATTTAAAATTCAGAATTGGGCAAAGTCACCCCACTTCACGGTACCTAACTATTATTTAATATTGAATAACAAATATTTTTATCAGCCAAATACTGATTTTTTCTTTAATGTTTCATTTAAATAATTATAATTTCTTGAAAAACTATTTTTTAACAAAACGATTTTCTATTTAGAAATTGCTTCCAGCAAAAATGTATCAAAGAAGTGTAAGACTTGCAGGAAGACCCAGACTTGATCCTACAAGACTAAGACCAAGGCCAGTAGTATTTATTAGAGCAAGAACAAGACCAAGGGGCCTTAATTATGGAAATATTCTTACATGGTGAAGAAAATTATATGAGATTCTTACTTTTCTTTTGATACTGGACTCGTCATCATAGCCAACCCATTGATCTCCATTGATGATATAAGGCGAACCCACAGAATCTTCGTTCCTGAACCAACCCTCATTTACCACCATGTCGCATATCTCGAAGTAAGCGAGAAATCCAGGTTTCTGCGTGTAGAATCCTTCACGGCCTGGACCTTTAATCGGCGCTCCTGGAACGGTGTTGTTGTGGTATTGCAAGGTGAAGGATCGGCCGAAGAATGGTAAGCCCAGGATTAACTTCTTGCTGGATAATCCCCTTTGAGTCCAGAATTTTACAGCGTAATCCTGAAATAACAGCATATTAAACATTTGAGTGTAAAAATATCTATGGTTAGTTTCTTGAAGAACTCGAAACGAGAATGAGCCGATATGCTTAGATTTTTTTCTATTTTCAAACAGTTTTGTGAAATTTATATTAATCATATCAGCCTAATGATAGTGTTATCATAATATACCGGGTGCGTCTCAAAAGTGGCTCACCCCTATAACTTTTTTATTTTTTCAGATAAAAAACGAGATTTGGTACGTTAGTATAGGACATAAATTAGGATTGATTGACGTATTCAATTGTTTTCGAAAACTTCCTGTTTCACCGGAAATGATTACAACTTCTGATTTTTAAATGGCAACCTCGGTATTTTTTACTTTATTTGATAGAAAATAACACTTTGATTAGAATGACATATCATATGTCAACTTTTGACATTTTCGCATATGGTTTATTTAATATTATAACTTGCGGTTCGTAACGAAAATTTTTGACTCGAAATACCAAGTGTGTGTTATCAAATTATTCGTAAAAAAATCTTTTTCCAAATATGCTAATGAGCCACCCTCGTTCCATTTGAAAAAATTCAGATGTGATTAAAAATACGATTTGGGCATTTTTTAACTCTCCAGGACAAGACACTAAAAACATTAGACGATCAAATCTATTTTTTCAAGGCTCATTGATTAAGAATTAGTGTTTTTAACATAGCCATGGCACTCTAGATTGAAATTTAAAATACGATTTTTTATTAAGCGAAAATGTCAAAAGTTGACAGATGATACGTCATTCTATCCAGAATGTCATTTTCTATCGAATAGGTAAAAAAATGAAAAAAAAATACCGAGGGTGCCACTTGAAAATCAAAAGTTGTAGTCATTTCCGGTGAAACAAGAAGTAACCTAAAACAATTCAATACGTCAATCAATCCTAATTTATGTCATATACTAACAGACCAAATCTCGTTTTTTATATAAAAAATAAAAAATTATAGGAGTGAGCCGCTTTTGAGACGCACCCGCTATAACAATTTTCACATTTTTCCTAACCTAACCTAACCTAACCTGACCCAAAACAATTGAATATGTCAATCAATCCGAATTTATGTCATATGCTAACATACCAAATCTCATTTATTTATCTGAAAAAATAAAAAAGTTATAGGGGCGAGCCACTTTTGAGACGCACCCGGTATAGAGCTAAATCTCATGTAAATATCGTATTTTCTGTCATTTTTTGGATGTCGTCTGTCGACATTTCCCCTGAGTCGTCGAAGAGACTATAGACTAGGCACATTATAAAACCGGCGTTTTTAACAATAGAAGAATATTTTCCAAAGAGCCTATCTGTTTTCAGTCGCTTTACAAAATGCCTAATGAAGACTAGTCAGATTGCACAAAACATTTTAGGCGGGATTTGTAAATAATAATAATTAGTAAAACTAACCTAAATTTATCCAACGACATTTCGTGAACTTCTCTTCCAAAATTAGAAAATAATAGCACAAAAAGTGATATTTCTGTTAAATGGAGTATGGTTAAGGTCGATTATTATGAAAATATAAATTCATTTTATTCTAAAAGAATAAAAGTTCCAAAAAAAGAAAGCAAAGTTCCACAAAGAGGCAGCCCTGTACACACAATCAAATTACAGAGTATAAACATTAAACCAGATATTAATATTAAGGTTTTAATATATTTTTTATTTAAAATTATTTTACTTATAATTATAATTTAATGAAATAGGGTTCAAGGTATTTTCGTCTAAACAAAATAAAATTTTGACATAAATTATTGTTTTTGTATGGGAAAATATGGGGTATTTTTATTAAAGCCTAAATTATTCAATATGTTTATGCTCATAGCTGAGTAAATTTTGATAATTGTTTAATCTGCCTGGCCTCGATTTTGCATTTTATAAAACGACTGAAACCAGGCAGTCTTTTTGCAGAAGTGTTCAGAAAATATCGTCATTGTTTAATATGCCTAATTCTGATTAGGCTTTTTAATTAGGCAAAGTGATTAGGCTAATTCTGATTAGGCAAAGTGAAAATAAATAGGCTTTTTGTAAAAATTCCTTCTTTTGTTTAAAAACCCGGCGTTTTATAATATGCCTAGTGTTTTTGTAAAAAGCCGGATTATTCTATGCGCATGCGACAGATACATACTTATTTAAAATTTTGCCTTTACTACTCACTCTCTAACAGCTAAATAAATATTTTAAACAACAAGCTATTCAGTACCTACTTAGGAATCAATATTTTTCAACTTTTAAAACATCAAGCATTTTGGTCATTCTGTTTTTGCAGTGCGTTTTAATTAAAATCATTAATCAATTAATATTAAAAACATACCGTGTTAAGAAATATATTCATTTGGTCATCTGAGGGCCTCGGACTCAAATTGGCGTGATGGTCTGCGATTGGATCCCGATCCCGATGATAGTCGTAAGCCTGCAAGTTGACGAAATCGACGATATCGTTCAGTTTGGACGGATAGTAACCATCATCAACCCTAAATCTGAAAGCCGGTGCCGATAGAGTCACTAACAAACCGGATTTCTTGAATATTTCCGACAATTCTTCCATAAATAACTGGAAATATTCCTTATCAGTTGGATGTCCACCAAATTCTTGGGCTCCTGAAAAAATTACATAGACGTTGGAATCATACTTTGCATATTAGTAAAGATAAAGGATTGATATTTTAATATACAGGGTGGTCCGAACTGTATTCCGGAAACTTCATCAGCATATTCTGCAGATAAAAATAAGTAAAAAAGTTTGTATAAACGTATGTCCTAAAATGCTTAGTTTCGGAGATACAGGGTGTAGAAGTTTCATTTTTATTTCGATTTTTTCCAAATAATTTCTGAAGTAACGTCAATGTTTGGATGAAAATTAGTGTATGCGAGTTTTTTGGCACCAGAAATTTGATTTTGATATCAATATGAGTGTTTTAACTGTTTTTAAGAGTAATAACTTTTCGTCCGTACCTGTATAAAGCCACTGAGTGAAAAAATATACATTTCTGTGATTTTTTACGTAAAAAATGTCTCTTGGTAAAAATCGCTACCCGCAACCGTTCTCAAGATATTTAAAATGGAAATAGTCAACACATGTCATTATTGACAAAAAATTAACATATTGAGTACATAATTATTTTACTGAAATGATAAATTTGGGAATATTTTATCTTTTTAAATTAACCATAATTTTTTTTTCAAAAAAATTGCCGATAAAACAGTTTCTGTTAATCTTTTGGCACAAAAATATTTCAAATTTATGATTTCAGTCCTTTGTTTCAGTCTAATGACTATAGTCGTGTTCGGCATTATGCTCTGAGACATCTAGATAAACAAAGAACAACAGATATAAAGCATCCCAGAGGAAAAGAGAGGAAAAACCTGTACTCTCTCTGATATTTGTTAAAGTTACGGCAAAGTATTGTTGTAAACCTCATCGTTTTGATCGATCTGAAAACTTCGAGCAAAAAGATGACACTTTCAAAAATACCCTGACAGATATCAGAGACGATACAGGCTTTTTCTCTCTTTTCCCCTGGAATACTTTATATTTATTGTTCTTTGTTTATCTAGATTTCTCAGAGCATAATGCCGAACTCGGCTTATGTTAACATGTTATGCACAAAACATCCCCCTTTAGCAAGGATACTATAGAGATAAGGATAGTTCGATTCCTATCTTCCTGCACTGTCAGTTTTTTTACGTCATCTACTGACCGAGTTGAAGTTGGCGCTAAAGATTTTAGACAGTGACAGTTATTTTTGCATTTGACGGACGAGCGCACAGTGCGTTGGAAGATAAATTTAGCGAGACAAAAGCGTTTGGTTAGAAATAAGCCAAAAAATGTGTACTGATAAGAATAAATAGTAGACATTCCAATTGATACAAAAATGCATGAATATTCTTTGTATTTCGATACATTTTTATCAACCAAATTTGGTCGTTTTCTGCTCAGCAAGGCAGAGATCATACGAAAACAAAATACTTACAAGTGCTTATATATTTTATGTTGAAGATTGCCAAAGGTATGTACTTTTCTACTGTACGTATATTATTTGTTAAAATCCTTCGTGCCTTTGTTCTGCAGATATCAAACTTTCACTTTTTTTTTCAAATATCGATATATTGAATGATGTAGATCTTTTAAGTTACCAATAGTTACCAACACAGGTAGTCACAGTCACAGGGAGTTCAAGCTTAACAGGTGAATGCCCAAAAAGATTCATTTCAATCAGATAGTATAAAAACAAAACAACTCCATCAAAAGGCACTGAGTTTAAAAAATTGTCTTAGATACTTACTATAATATGAATTTACAATTACCGAGTGTTAAAATTAAAATTAAAATATCTATCTTATTTATTATTTTCAAAATAAAATATATTTTTTTAAAATAAATTATAGAGGGTGTCACAAGATTACAAATTAATTAAAAAAAACCATGCTAAAAACCTGCTAAAGATTTTTTTGATATCATAATTTTATGTATTTGGCAATAGTTTACAATACGGTTTTTGTGTGTCATGTACGAATAATATCATAGTTTTATTATCTTGTATTTATTTATTAATAAATTAAGTTGTTAATAAATAAATAAATTTAACCATATAGTTGCTATATATTAGACCATTTGCTACGTTCTTAGATTTTAAGTCCCAAACATTGCTCTTGAGATTTTGTCTCGCTAGAATAACCATCCGCCGCACTGTGGAACGCTGGTCAGCGCGTGACGTAGCATTCCACGGCGACTTGGACAGCGGCGATTTGACGCGATCGAACAGTCCTTTAGAATATATATAGTCCTTGCAAACGAAAGTAAATAATAAAGCGCCTCTCGTGTTTGTTCGCACTCAAAAAATTTCAATTAATGCTTGTATATATTTTTAATATATTTTTTAAATTTACATTTTTTTAATTGTATTTAAATGGAGCATATTACATAAGAATTATGTCAATTACAGGATTACAGGCTTGTTTTCTAACATTTTTTAAATAAAACGAATTATAACATTTCAATTTACGTATATTTGTCGTAGGTATGAAAAAAGTAAAATATAAAATGGACAAACGCTTACTTACATTGCAATAAAACTTCCACTTTTATTTTTGCAATCCAAACGCAATATTTCTATTTCACAAATAAAAATATCCGACAACACTAAAATCACTGAAACTTCCGCGGCTGACAACGAAAACTGACAAATATAGCGGCACTTTTTGTTTTGGACCTGCATATCAACATTACGCTGTACTATTATGTGTTTGTTGTTGACATAATATAAAATATCTAATTATAACTTGTAAATTTTAATATTTTAACACGATTTTAACTACTTTTCACAATAACCATGGCTGGGAAACTTAAATGGAAATGACAGTTCATTAAAAATAGTTTTTCCTCCAAGATGCAACAATGCAAATGTCAATATCTGACAATAATAAAATTTGATTTTTAACTGTCACTCAGAGACGCTTTTGTTGTGATTTTACGGTTTGATTTCGTTTTGATTTGTCGAATTATTGTAAAATTAAATTCCTTCAGATTTTTTGCCAGTATTCTGTTTTAGACAATGTTTTTTAAAAATGGTGGGACAATTTGTGTTTTGTAATAACTCTTAATTATTTTTTATCATGGAGTTTAATTGTTGTACACCTGGTTTCCGAAGGATACAATGGTAAGTAAATTAAACATATCTACTTACAGTTATAGATTTTTTTAAATTAGTACTGCTAATAAATGCTACTTGCAGAGCAGTTATTTAATTTTTTTACGGTGCATGTAAGGAATTAAGGACGCGCGTTTTATATTATCATGATCAGCAGATGATTACATCTGATTTAATTTGTTTTTATTATTTCAGGTCCCAAACGGAAACAAACTGGGAATCTTGCCTACACCAAAATTATATAGCCGTTTCCAATTCAGTTCAAAGGGAGGAAAATTATGTAAAACTGCCTGCTATTTGCTGAAAACGGCCAAAGATTAAATTATAACTGTAACAACTTAATATATACTATTTCTAGTCTTTTTAATATATGTTTTAATTAATATCCGACATATAAGAACACTTTGTATGCTTTTAATTCAGTTGATTTATCGTTTTTAATATGTTCGACCTAATTAAAAGCACACAAAGTGTTCTTGCATGTATGTCTAAATTTATTTTAAATTAACTAAAACAACCCCCTTCCCCGCACCCCTCTCTTCCATTAGTATTTCTTCCTCCGTCTACCAGAGGCGCCCTTGTATAATAAAATTGAAAAAGTTCTAAAGGGGGATGTTTTGTGATCTTATGTTTAATTTATGTCAATGATGACAGGTATTTTTTCGGTTCAAAAAATAACGAGAACCATTACTCATAGCGATTTTCACGAAGAGACCTTTTTTATGTAAAAAACGTCGTAAATGTATATTTTTGCTCAGTAGTTTTATACAGGTACAGACGAAAAGCTATTATTCTTCAAACCATTTAAAAAATATGTAGGTGGCGTCCTCTACAACTAGGAGTCATGTTGACATCAAAATCCAATTTCTCATATCAAAAAACTCCCAGACACCAATTTTCATCCAAATATTGGCGTTATTTCAGAAATTATTTGGAAAAAATCGAAATAAAAATGAAATTTCTACACCCTGTATCTCCGAAACTAAGCATTTTAGAACATACATTTATACAAACTTTTTTACTTATTTTTATCTGCAGAATATGCTGCCTAAGTTTGCGGAATACAGTTCGGACCACCCTGTACATTATGTGGACTGGCTAAAATCCGCATTAAATAAAAAAAATATCAGTGTAATTTCATAGATAAATAAATAACGGCACTTTTATGGACAATAACTTTTAGAGATGTATTTTCAAATAAAAAAAATCAGAAAAATTTTAACTAACTACATTTGTTTGTTTTTCTATAATTTAGGTATCCTACCTGGATATTCCCAATGAATTTCAATTCCATCGAAATTGTATTGCTTGATTAAATTATAAGCTGACCGGATGAAATCTCTTCGTTTGCTTGCGCTTGAAATCATTGAAGAAAACCGGTGAGACGCATCTTGGCGCGTTCCTCCCACGGAGAGCAGTACCTTTAGTTTAGGGTTGAATCTTTTCAGCCCTGTCACCGTTTTATATCCCCCTAAAACCAAATCAAAGTTATCTTTAGGTTTATGTTTTCCTAAAAGCGTTGTCTACCTTGGATAATGTCATATTCCTCATCATTGGACACCACATTAAAATGTACGGGATCCAAAGATGCGAATGCGTAAATGACGTGGGTACACAATGTTGGATCCAAATCATCTGCTGTAAAGGTTAGTGGAGGTTTTCTGTAAGCAGCTGCTGCCTCCAAGTAACAAACAATTTTCTTCTCGTCTTCGTTTTCTATTTTTTATTAAAAATATAGAATATATTAATATTATATCTTTGAAAGAGTTGTACTACAACAAATTCTGCATTGTTCTGAACTAATGAACAATTTACAATAAAAAATAGGAAAATAACTACTCTACAAAATTTCTTTGTGTATTTTTCCTATTTGGGTTGCCAATTTTAACTTAAAAATTGCTGTTTTCTCTATATCTGCCTTTGAATAAGAAGACTAAGGAAGGAGCATATCAAAAATCTTAGGTACACCGCGATGGGCCTCAAATATGGCCGACTTAAATTCCGGTTTATCAGTGTCGTTCTAATTTTATTTAAAAAATGTAAAACTATGATGTAGGGTAGACGTGGGGTAGACTCAATAATTTGTTGTTTTATTTTACGTTGTGAATAAATGTTGGTAGTTATTAAAATTGTTATAAAATATATAATTCTAATAAAAATAGATAAGTTATAATAAGTATTTATTAACACAAACATCCGATACGCTACTGAAGCAGGTAAGTCAAATTAACGTATCTAAATTCTTTGACATCTAATCTTTGACAAGTAATAAATAAAAACTAAAATGCAAGAAAAATATATAATTTAGTTAATTTAAGTGAATTTCATAAATGATAGGTTTACTACACGTATGTATATTATATAGTCACTTACTAGCGAAAAGTTGTTCCATTATTTCACTCAATTTTTGCCGAGATCTACCGCACGCTACACAACCAACTATTTTAGAGTCTTTTCAATAAATCGCGATAGTGTCACTGTTAATTTAAGTTCTGCCACAATTTCCATCTAGATTTACTACCTTTATACAACTATCAGTAGTAGAATAAATAATAAATAACATAAAATAAGCTCCGTAAAGACTGACAAATCCACAAAATTTCAAATCAAATTCAAATGTGTCAAATGAATCGTCAAACAGAACTGTCAAGGATCCCCACCCTAGAGAGCTTTTATGGTGGCTTTTCCGCCCACCGTGCATGAATACAAGGATAGCATTATGCTCCTTCCTTAGTCTTCTTATTCAAAGATATAAGTAAAATGATTGCAAAGATGTAATGTCATAATACCTCATTAAATAAAATAGTCCGTCAATATAGTGCGTCGGGCATCTGTAGCTCCGAGAATAAAATACTTGGGAATTTTGTTTAAGTGCTAACCTAAATTATGTACGAGGATGTATTTCAGGAAAATATTTTAACTTCTATAGGGCGGCTCGACAAGTGTGAGTAGATCGGGATGATTCTTTAAATGGAATATCCTGTATATTATTGCACTTTTGGCTTCCTTTCAGGTCACTTTACATAATCCTAAGTAACTATTAGTAAATTTCTGTTTTTATTCGGTTTGATTTTTTTGATTTTTACGTTCTTGGTAAGTAAAACAAAAATATTTGTATTATATTTTTAATGATTTTTTGAAACTTTGTTTAATGTAATTGTAGACTCTGATGAAGGCCAAAAAAAATGGTCGAAACGTTAGACAGTATATTAACAGAAATAAATGTGCTTAATGAAATAAAAGGAAAATTATTTATTTACCTATGACAAAGAAAAAAAATATATAAAGATATTATTAAATACATAATATTTTCTTGCCTTTAGCTGTGTATTTTTTCTAATTTCGAAAAATCGAAAGTAGAAAAAAAATAAAAAGTAAAAAGAAAATTGTTTTGCTTGCCGTATCGGTGAGAACCAGCCCCTGGACAGTCCACCTGATGAAGGGTAGGCCCAGAAACCGGTTGTGGGAGGGGTCTTGGTTCCCCCCTTTACGACAAGCGAAACAATTTTCTTTTTACTTTTTATTTTTTTTCTCTACTTTAGATTTTTCGAAATTAGAAAAAATACACAGCTAAAGGCAAGAAAATATTATTTATTAATATACACTAAAGCTGTAAGAATGTTGTTTCATAGATATTATTAAATATATTTCGATAATTTCAGAGATATTAATAAATAAAAATAATATATATTTTTCCAACCTGCTTTAAAAAAATTATTACAAATACAAAAACTGTCCTGAAATATATTCAATATTTACTTTAGCTGGTCTATACTTACTTTGCTATAAATATCGTAATCTTAAATCACACAGGGTGTTCAAAATTCTACGCCAAACTTTCTGAAATATAAAATAATGTTTCTTGTTTTTTTTTAATGGAACACACCCTGTATATTATTTTGTTATTAGATGCAAAATAAAAAATGAACATTTTTTTGTATTTAAAGTATTATTAATTTAAAATTTTGACTAGTTTCCCAGATACACGCAGTATTATTTCTTATGGCTCTTTCAACGGTAAAATACGAGAGAAAAATCATTGGTTTGATAAACATTTACTGTGAAAAATGCCATTTAAAATATAAAACCGCAAATATCTGCGAAACCGTTGAAAAATTTAAAATACCCTAAATACAAAAAATGTTCATTTTTTAATTCTCCATCTACTGAAAAAATAATATACAGGGTGTTTTATTTAAAAAAGCGAAGAAAAATTATTTTATTTATAGTTTGGAAAGTTTGGCGTAGAATTTTGAACATCCTGTATGATTTACGATTACCACATTTATAGCAAAGCAAGTACAGACCTTCTAAAGTAAATACCTAATATAGTTTTGATTTCCGGAAAGTTCTTGTATTTTTAATATCTTTATAAAAGACTGAAAAATATGTATTTGTTATTTATTATTAATATCCCTGAAACTATCGAAAAAAATGTATTCATATCTTAGGATTATGTAAAGTGATCTGGAAGGAAGCCGAAAATGCAATAATATACAGGGTGATCCATTTAAAAAAAACATTCCTATCTACTCACACTTTTTTGAGCCACCCTATAGAAGTTAAAATATTTTCCTAAAATACATCCTAGTACATACGTTAGGTTTACACTTAAACAAAATTCCCAAGTTTTTTTATTTTAGGAGCTACAGATGCCCGGCGCACTATTGCCAAACCCTGTACTAAGGCATTCCTAAATATTTAAACAGAAAAATTATATTCATCAATATTATAACAGAAATAATGCGTAATATGCGTATATTTTAGTTAAGTTTGTAAATTTTAAAGCCCAATACTATATTTTACAAATTTTAATGTAGTAGGTACATTTTATTAATTAGGAACCAAACGATAAATTTCATGTATGTACATACAATAAGCATTGCTTTACCCAATTTTAAACTCCTTCCTCTATTTAAGCCAAAGGGACTGACCAAAAGCTGTTGGTAGCCGTTGTTAATCCTGTACGGCGCTAACTGCGAGTACCCGTCGATGATACTTTGAAACAGTAAAGCAGGAGTGAATTTTATAGGCGAGTTCAACGGCTGATAGGTGAGTGTAGGCTTAAAATATTGCGTCTGGCTTTGAAACGGCAAAAATTCGACATCTAAGGCCTCATCGGGTATTGGTCTTCTTTCTACCGCATCACGAAGTGGAAGACGTTTAGAGCTTTCAATACTGGAAAAAGAAAAAGTATATACAGGGTGCGTCAACGATAAAGTCCATTATCTCATTTGTTTCAAGGTTTACAAAAAATATTAAATATAAAAGTTATAGCACAGATTATAGAGATTATAAACTTTGTTTTTTCTTTATTGTTTTTCGTGGTTCCAATTTTCGGAATCGGGCACTAGTTAGGTGACTAGTTTGCGCACATAGCACGCCCACTTATGGCCTCTAAAATTGTGCACAGCGCCTGACCGGCACAGTTATTAGAGAGATATCGGAAAACCGAATAGCGTCATGCAGTATTTACGCGTACCTCCATACGCGTACCTTATCATGGTTACGATATGCGCCAGTCAATTTTTAATGTAACGCCCGCTAATAACGTTACCGCCTGACGTAATTTGCGGATCAATTACACCAAGCGCTATTTCTAAATAACGTTTAAAAATTGCTTAAATTGCATGTGCGGGTATTTGACAACCGGGGCCGGCCGGCGAGATCTTTTATTTTAGATTATGTTTGAATTGTTTTGAATTATTACTTTAGTTTTATTAGGTAATTTGATATTTAAGTAGCTGGGATTAGTTTTAATTAAATTAATATGGCCCAAAATATGGATTCCACCTCTTCCAATATTAAAGAATCTATAAAGAGGCTTACGTTTACAGCAGATGACGACTTAGCCCTTCTAAGAGAATTTGTTGCTTGTTGCCCTAAACCCACTGGCAGACGGTTGAACAATAAAGCACTGGAAATAAGCACTTTAGCCCTTTTTTAAATTCAAAGTTAGGTTAAGTTTAAATAGCGGACGCGACGCAAACAGAATTCTTTCCGATCCGATAACAATAAATGAAGAGAGTTAATACCACCTCACGTAAAGGAAATAACAGCTGACCTTATTAACGTCCATGCACGCTATTCGGTTTACCGATATCTCTCTATTACGCTGTTTATTGTTATTTTACGCGAGTTTATTTTTGCGCACAGGAAATTTCGTTTTTACTCGTTTGCATATCGTCATAAAAAACAATTTTCGTACCACGAATTAGGGATAACATTTTTATCTGTATACATATAGTATACTTAATCTGTGGTTATAGGAAAAGTTATACCCACAAGGATAAGTAAGGGATAGAAGGCAATGAAAAAGCAAGTGATCTAGCTAAAAAAGGAGAGAACGCTCCACTAATTGAACCAGACCCGTTCTGTTTTCCAAACGGGAACGAACTGAAAGCGGAACTGAAGAATCTGGAAGACTCCATCCATAACTTGGAATGGGTTTCCTCCAATGGTCTAAGACACTCGAAAAAGTTCCTCAGAACTTACGATAGAAAAAAAAATCAAAGATTTTCCTTGATTTAAGTAAAAACAATCTTCGGATTGTCACGGGGTTTCTAACAGGACACTCAACGAACATCTCAGTAGGCTGAAGCTGAGAAACAACGGCGAATGCAGATTCTATAGGGAAAAGGGGGAAACACCAGAACACCTTATCAGTGAGTGCGCCGAGACGACGACCATTCGTGCCATGAACTTTGGTACGGCTGATGTCGAAGATGGAGAGCTAGCCTCTGTGGAGCCGTCTCAGATACTGGCTTTTGTTAAAGCCCTGAGCTGAGACTGTATGATGAGTTATAACTCGTTATAACTCAAGAAAGGGGAACACACAATAGATCTGTAAGGTGGAGGTGATTAAATCCCTTCCTAAACATTCTACATGTAATAAACATGTTTAGCTTTTAGGATTATCGTTTGGCGAATAAATTTTATGAAAAAATATTCAGTCATATTGAAAACGAGTCTTTTCGAATTAGTTATTTATATCCATTTCTTTGTAATTTTTAATTAAATTCTAGGCACGTTATTGTGCAAAATATTTTCTTTTAATATTTACAAGGCGTCGAAGAGCTTCCTGTTAAAATTATTATTAGCAAAATTTGGTCTGCTATTTTTAACTAATCATAAAAAATTTACTAATTAGATGATAATAACAGTGGCGTAGCAAGGTGGGGGCGGAGGGGGCGGTCCGCCTCGGGCGGAGTTCTTCCAAGTACCTGCGGGGCGGCAAAAAATTGTTATAAAGGAGGCGGATTGACTCTATAGGGGCGGCAAACTTCTCTCCTAGAGGCTCTCCGCCCCGGGCGCCCCTAACCCACGCTACGCCACTGGATAATAATTAATATTAATTTTTAGATTCAACTAATTTGAACTGTAGTAAACAAGAACGGAGACCGTTCATATTTTGTTCAATCGTAATTTTTTATTTGGCTCTCACAGATCCAAAAGCTAGAACCCGTCTGCGGTCTATAAAGGAATTACAAGAATGACCACAAACCAGAGGGTGGCCAACAAATATATATACAGGGTGGTCCGAATTGTATTCCGGAAACTTCGGCAGTATATTCTGCAGATAAAAATAAGTAAAAAAGTTCGTATAAATGTATGTCCTAAAATGCTTAGTTTCGGAGATACAGGGTGTAGAAGTTTTATTTTTGTTTCGATTTTTTCCAAATAATTTATGAAGTAACGTCAATATTTGGATGAAAATTGGTGTCTGGGAGTTTTTTGACATGGGAAATTTGATTTTGATGTCAATATGACTCCTATTAGTAGAGGGCGCCATCTACATATTTTTTAACTGGTTTGAAGAGTAATAACTTTTCGTTCGTACCTGTATAAAACTACTGAATAAAAAAATATACATTTACGACGTTTTCTACGTGAAAAAGGTCTCTTGGTAAAAATCGCTACGAGTAATGGTTTTCGAGATATTTGGAATCGAAATTATCAAAACCTGTCATCATTGACATAAATTAAACATGTTGACGAAATACCGTATGATCGAAAAAAAACGGCGTCCAGTTGGCTGGGAAATGAACATCAATGACATTTCCCATATAAATTTACATATAAAATGACAGCGATCTTCATTCCATAGCCATCGCTGACGCCGTTTTTTCTCGATCATACGGTAGTTATTAGACTGAAATTATAAATTTGAAATGTGTTTGTGTCGAAAGTTCAACAGAAACTGTTTTATCATCATTTTTTGCAGAAATATTTATGATTAATTTAAAAAAAAATATTCAATGAAATAACTATCTACTTAACATGTTAATTTTTCGTCAATAATGACATGTGTTGTCTATTTCCATTATAAATATCTTAAGAACGGTTGCTCGTAGCGATTTTTAGAAAGAGATATTTTTTCGTAAAAAGTCACAGAGACTTTTTTTTTCTCTCGGTAGTTTTATACAGGTACGGACAAAACGTTATTACGCGTCAAAACAGTTAAAAAAACATGTAGGTGGCGCCCTCTACTAGTAAGAGTCATATTGACACCAAAATCAAATTTCTCATGTCAAAAAACTCCTAGACACCAATTTTCATCCAAATATTGACGTTGCTTCAGAAATTATTTAAAAAAAAATCGAAATAAAAATGAAACTTCTACACCCTGTATCTCTGAACGTAAGCATTTCAGGACATACATTTATACGAACTTTTTTACTTATTTTTATCTGAAGAATATGCTGTCGAAGTTTCCGGTTCTAATACAGTTAGGATCACCCTGTATAACTTGCCTTCATGTAGTGGAAAAGTTCAGAAGAAAGGCAGGAGAAACAGTTCATTGTTAAACACTTGCCTAAATTTACTGTAGACCTTGTAAGTAAAAACAGAAAATGATTTAAAAAGTGATGAAATTGACAGAAGAAGCCATGCCATGTGTAGTGTGTTTTATATCAGAAAAATAATAGTGATGTGTGTTTTATATCAGAATCTAATCAGATAGTACTTACGTATCTGGTACGCTTTCCACCGCAGTCCTCAATGGCAAACTTTTACTTCCGTACTCTTCCAAAGCCATGTAACTTGCCTTCATGTTCGATGTTATGTCTATGTCTGGAACATGTTCCACCGAGTCTCTTCGGAAAGTCGGAACATTAGGAGGTGGTACGTGATCATCTCTCTTGATCCGTTCAGATCTTTTACCGGAAGTACGTTGATATGTTGGAGATATAGTAGTGATCAGGGCTACACCAACCTGTTAAATATAATATTAGAAATACGTTTTTTTTAAATGTAATGATTTGGAGAAAAATAAAACTTGAAATAATTTAAAAAAAAATATGTTTTTCTGCATATAATTTTGGTTTATGAGAATATAAACCACTAAAACAAAAAAAAATTAGTTTCAAAACACAAAATACACTTAGATCCATTTTATCACACACTAAACCAATGAATACAACATCCCACTATATATCGCATTTCTAGATTTTGAAAAGGCTTTTGATAGTTTTGAGCACTGGGCAGTAAAAACTTCCTTAATAAATAGCAGGATAGACTACAGATACGCAGACTTAATAGCCAACATATATAGCGAAGCAACAGCAACAATTAAAATCCACGAAGGAACAAAGCCAATTCGCATAGGAAGAGGTGTCAGACAGGGTGACACAATAACCGCTAAACTCTTTAACCAGGCATTAGAAGACGTTTTCAAAAATTTAGACTGGGAAGAAAAAGGTATCAAAATATGTGGACAATACTTGAAACACCTAAGATATGCGGATGATATCGCCTTAATAACAGAAAAGAAAGAAGAACTGGTAGAAATGCTGGGAAAAAAATGAAGAATAGGCCTAAATATGAACTACACTAAAACTAAAATCATAACAAACACAGAAAAAAATAGAACCAAGAAAAAATAGAACAAGTTGAAGAGTATACTCGTATATATCTGGGACAAATGATTAAACTGAAAAAAGAAAACCAAACAGCTGAAATAAAGAGACGAGTAAGACTGACCTGGGCAGCATTTGGAAAATTAAGTTACATATTAAAAAACAAAAAATATCCACAGTACCTCAAAACCAAAGTATATAATCAATGTGTACTTCCTGTACTTACTTACGGATCCCAGACCTGGACACTGACAAAATCAAATATGGATAAGGTAACAAAATCTCAAAGATCTATGGAAAGACAAATGCTACATATAAGGCTGGCAGAGAGAAAAATGAATGAGTGGATCAGAGGAAAAACTAAAGTAAGGGATGTTAGAAATGAAGTAGCAAAATTGAAATGGAAGTTTGCCGGTCACAATGTCAGACGGAAGGATGATCGATGGAACAAATGCATCGTAAACTGGAGGCCCTGGGAGAATAGAAGAAGTAGAGGAAGACCTCAGATGAGATGGGCGGACGATCTGAGGAAACATGCAGGCACAAGATGGATGAGCACGGCGACAGAGATGGAAGAGTGGAAGAGATTGGGGCAGGCCTATGTCCAACGATGGACCGAAGAGGCTGAATAGATAGATAGAGAGAAACCAATGAATACAGAACAACAAACAAAAAATGTAATATACAAAATACCGTATGATTGAATAAAAACGGCGTCAGTGATGGCTATGAAATGAAGATCGCTGTCATTTTATATGTGAAATGTCATTGCTCGTCATTTCCCAGCCAATTGGACGCCGTTTTTTTTTCGATCATACGGTACCATGTGAATGCGATAAATTTTATATTGGTGAAACATCTAGACCCTTAAATGAATTAAAGAACATAACAATTATTTAAACAAGGAAGATTTTTACAAATCTAAGATTTGTCAGTATTAATGGGACACAGGGCACAGAATAAATTTTAATAACGCCAAAAATATAATGAAAGAGGCGATAGCCTTTAAAAGAATAATTAAAAGGCTTTTTAATACAATCTAATAAAAATAAATGTATTGCTCATACATCTGTAGATGTTAGTAATGTATGGCAATCGCTTCTTTGATTTTAAAGAACATAACATAAATAAACATAACCATACGAAAAAATTAAAAATAAAGATAATCATACAGAAAGTTTGGGACTTTTTACCTTATTAAGTAATTGTTATCAGGTAGTAATTGTTAATGTTGAAGTTTAACCATAGATAAAAGAAAATAATCTACTATTAAGATAGATATGAAACTTAATAGTAAAATTTTGGGTCAAAGCGCCCCTCCGTGTCTTTAGTGGAGACTACGTTTAACCCAGCGCCTTCGCCTTTTCTGCTGTAAATGTTTTTTATGTTTATATTTGAATTCAAAGGATTTATTTTTAAAGTTACACTGATATATTAGTATATCAGAGGAACTTTAATAAAACATAAGAATATATATATTTTACAATTTATTTTTTTATTTATTTTACAGAGTTTCATGTAAATGATCGTAAGTCGACTGGCTGTCTAATGAATAGACCGAGATTTATAGATTTTAAAGCAAACGAAAAAAAAAACCAAACAACGAATACATACCATATATTTTTCTTTTATCTAAGATACATACCTTATCGTCTTTTGGAAACACGTACATTTTTGCAGTTTTGTTAGTTTCTTTGCAAGATGCAACACAACAAGAAAACACCATTTTTACAGTTAATAAATAATAAAACTATTTCTGACTATGATATTTAAAATTTAGATAGATAGAAAATTAAAAGACAAACGAGTATTTGCAAACGCAGGCCCAAATTCAATAAAAATCAAAATTTTTCCTGCGAAAATCAGGCTTTTTTCACTGAAAAGGTATTTTTTGATTTATCAGCAGTCATTGTCAAGTTGACAATATACAGGGTGTTTTCGAATTAGTCTAAAAAAATTATGGTGTGATTCCTCATGTGTTCTTAAAACAATTTTTATATACCCATTAGGTCTAAAGTACTTCCTTTCTGATCTACAGGGTGTTAAAAATTAAAAAAAATCGATTTTTTGCTTAACATAAATGGTACACCACTGCTTTTTTAAAGAAAATATATTTTTTTCTTGACCGGCCATCCTTTTTCAACAAAATTGATCTTTTGCGTTTTTCTTGTTCATCAAACGGTTGTCGAGAAAAAATAAATATACTTATTAAGAGCCCGCCTTAATTCGTTTTCTAACGATTTTTTATTTTTTAGATTAATTAGGAAACACCCTGTATATGCAAATCACAGGCAACCAAATAAACTAGTAACCTCTAAAAATTATTTTTCCTACCACTAGCGACATACCGTGTTTTTAGTGTGTACTAAATTATTTTATCAAAATTTCACCATATAAGTTTCCAGGCAATGAGTTTAACTTAATAAAAGTAATGTCATTTTAACAGAACGTCAACGGTTTTTGTTTTAAAAAAACTAAAGTGTTCTCGAATAGTTGAATTTAAATATTTTAATTTTTTTTTTAATGACGGCAAGAAATAAACTTTTCGACACGTTAAGCATTTTTTTGTTCGTTAGGCAAATTTGTATATCTGTAAACCGAGACTTCTGACAAGTAGTTTCCGTTTGGTTTAACGCAGAAGTGTTTACGAAAAATAACTATTTTATTTTGTAGATTTTCTTGCAATGGCGAAATACCCATATAAGGATTTTTTGGAGAAATAAAATAGAAGTCATTGCTGTAAAATTTTGATGTTGCTTGTTTTGATTATGCTTGTTAAATACGTATATCCAAATATTTCTCCTCCATTTAGTGTTTATTATTTTTGCTCTAAATATAAAATATACAACCAGTGGCGGACACAGAGGGGGACACAAATCTATAAATTGGGTTAAATATTAGGCTATTCTACATTACTTTTATTTGGGCCCCCCTAAAATAATTTCCTGTATCCGCCCCTGCATCATGCTTCACTAACTTTGAAGATAAAATATTTCCGAAAATAATAAATATGTTGATTTTGAAATAATCTAGTGCCTCTAAATTTGAATTTTACATTTTATAATATTGAATGAAAAAAATGTTAATTAACAAATCAGTAGTTGGATAAAAGTAAAACAGTAATTGATGCATAATTTGTAATATAAGATTTGTTGTAAATGCAAAGATTAAATAAAAAATCAGTAATGCTTAATATAAAATGATCATATATTAAAAAAATAGAATATAAAAATGCTGATTAAAAATTTGATGATTTTACTGATTTAATTTTTTAAAAGTCTAGAAAGCTTTTGCTAAAATCAATATCTGTTTAACATTGTTTAACAAAAAGTTAATTTAATTTAATTGAATACGAGAGTTTAACATTATATTTTTTCTTCCCAATTGTTATATTTGCTACAATGAATAAATTAACAGTTAAATGACTTTGCTTTACTTAATTTGGTTCTGGTAACAAAAAATGCTGTTTTTATATACAGTATGTTCCCGGGTTGTCTTAACAAGAGGAAGAAGTTTTTTATTATTGACATTTCGAGAAAAATGCATTCTTCATAAAATTTTTTGCTTGTTCTGAAATGGTTAATTCCGTTTATAGTTTTTCAAATTTCCAAAAATTTCCATACCGGTTTAGAGAAAATTAAAAAAAAACATGAAAATATGGTTGAATTTTTCGGTCCTAAAAATCAAAAGATAATATATATATAATAATATAATTTCGATTTCATTCTTTGATAGATGGTTATTATTAATTTTGATTAACCTCATATTTTTTGCTGTTAAAGTATCACATTTTCGGATAACTATTATCACCCTTTCCGTAGCACTGAACTAAATAAATTTTGTGCTTCTTTAACATTTTAAAACAGGAAAAAATACGACGTTAATTAAAATTGTATCAATAACAATCTATCAAAGGTTGAAAACGCCTTTTGATTTTTAGGACTTACATAAAAAAAAATTCCTCTTGTAAAGACAATCCGGGACATACTGTAGATTAAGTGAAAGGTTGTTCAGAACCTATATTGTACATTATTGTATTTTAAAAAATAAAAATTTTCTTTTGTCTTAGGCAAATATTCTAATAATTAATAATTTATTTTGTTAAAGTTTCATCTGCATTAAATTTCCAAAAATACTATTTATTTAAAGATTTTCTATGTAGATAGTGCCTCTAATACGAATTTATTAGAAAAATGCAGAGTCTTGCAGCAAGACCAAGACCTAGAACAAAACAAAGACTACTTCTACTTATTATGTGTAAGACCACGACCAAAGGAGGTCTTGGTCTTGGTCTTGCATTGGCTCGTCACTAATATCAACATTACAAGTTGAAAGTTTGAATAACAAAATTATACTTACAATGATGTAAAACTTCATCTTGCGATGTCTCTTCTGCAGAAAGCTCTATTGATTCGTCATTCCAGGAGAGTTCTTAACAATCACTGCAACAAAATAGTATAATAACAATAAAAATAGTTGAAACAAACTAACAAGGTGGTAGTAAAACTAATGTTATAGAAAAATATCCAATGCTGAACTTGAAGGTGATACGTGAGTTCCAGTGACCAATATATTAGTTTTTGAAAATCCGTCGTGCGGAATATTAATCGGCATCAATCCTTGCCGTGTTGTTGCACTTGAAATTTACATGGCGATAAGAGATATACCATTGAGAACGTGACAACGAAGAAATTATGATGTCTTGTTTGCAAATAAGTAGAGGGAAAAAGAAGTATAGTGACTAAACGGATTGAAAGAATTGAATAAACGAAAAAATGATTTGAAAGAGGCTTTGTTTCGTTATTTAAACCGCAGACGAAGTGTGCAGTGACTAAGGTTTTAAACCTGATTCCCTGAACATCGTGTTGTTTTAGTTACAAATTCTCATTTCGTTTGTCAAGATATGTTGATTTTGTACGTATGATAAGATAGTCTAGATATTGTTTCGGGTTTTTCATAGAAATGAACTTTCCAATGTATAACTGATTTTAATTGTTACATGTAAAAAAATATATAAACGTGCATTGTTTCAAGAAAAATGGTTCACTAAAATTATTTGACAATGATATAATATGTATGCATATTTATTTTCGTCCTTTAAAAACATTAATTTACGACAATGTCATTATGACACATTTAACATTGTCATTTGGATGTCATTATGGCTTTCATATAGTACTAGTGCTATAATAATAATAATAATAATAATAAATAAGTCAGGCCAGACAAAGTAAAGATCCAGGATAGGGGCCTTTACTGTGTTTGCTACGGTACGTAGGGCAAGCCGTACAGCCTGTAGCCACACCCCGACGGGAGCGGGCCCCTCCATTGCAGACTATCTTCCCACACACCTATCCCATTACAGACACACAACATAAAACTAGACCTTAATTGGTCAAAGTCTGGCCGAAAGGGATGCAATCCAGCATGCTCTTGTTGCTATCGAATGTGTAAACGATACTGCCAGTAACACCAGTTGTCCGCTGACCTTGTTACCCTATCCTTTAGATCCATAAGCTCCTTAAAAATTAATTCACCCATAGTACCCAAATCCTTTGCTAATCCTCCGTAGATCTTTTCTTCCTTTTCCATCTTCAAATATAATAGGAAAAGGGAATACCCATAATGGAATGAAAACAAATATTGGAAATAGTAAACAGCCGCTGCCTGGGGATCGCCAGGGCATGTCTGGAGCCGACGCTGGACATGACAGTATGCGGGACGTCGGTGACAAGGTGCTGAAGAGGCGGGCCCTTTGTCCCAAAACAAACTACAGCCCAAACTAACAACGAAGTGGATAAGACAACTGAAACTGTTAGCTCGAATCCAGGTACAAGCCAAGATTCTGCTGACATTTCTAGAAAAATCAACGAAAGGCACACGCATTAAGTGGACGAAAGAAATGAATTGTTTAGTAATCAAAATGTTTCTCCAAATTAATGAGTGCCGAGATGATCCACTTCCTGGAGGAGACAGAAGTTACACACTGAGATGAATAAAACCTTCCCTCATTTGAAATTAACGCAGCAAAATGTATCAGATCGACTTAGGGCAATATACTCTAAGAAACTATTAGCGCAACAAGAAATAGATCAGATCAGAAGAGAAGTTGGACATATTTTAACCCAAATTCAAACTAATTTAGAAATTCGAGAAGATACATCCATAGACTTCACACATTCCTATCATAGAGACACCCCAGTTGCAATAAGAGAAGTAACCGAACCAGTGAGCACTACTGAGCGCGAGACATATGAATTGTTTCAGTTCAACTATAGTTTATTTCATAGTACTGATCCTTTAAGTAGACCTCTCATTCCGCAACTGAATTTCAAAAAGAACACTACAAAAATCCTGAATGATGTAAAGTTCATATTCCAAAATCACATTAAAGACATAGATGAAATAGAACAGTTCCATCTTGCGCTATATGCTGCTGCTGTCACTACAATTGAACTCAATTGCCAACAAGTGATGGAAAAGAATAAATCTCATAAGCAGCAATTGCAGAAAGAGCCGGCATGGAAAGTTAGACTAACAAAAACTATAGACGATCTTCGAAGACAGATAAGTACAATCACCGAATACTTAAATGGTAATACCAGTAATCGAATAGCCAGAAAATTGAAAATTATCTTGAAGCATACTCATATCAACCCAGAGGAACACGAAAAGACGCGCAAGTTAATTGTGGTTAGAGATGAGCTCAGCCAGAAATGCAAGGCTAAAGGTGCACGATTGCGTAGGTACAACAAAGCAACAAGGCGTAAAGAAGACAACTTTCAATACTCCAAATGTCCTAAGAAATTCTATCAGAAGCTAGAAAATCCGACAGATGATAGGAGGATGGATATTGAAATGGATTCATCACAGTTTTTCTCATTCTGGCGGGATACGTGGGCGACACCATCTAATTTCAAGACTGATACCGAATGGATGAATGTGGTAGAAAACTCGACACATGACATAAATGCGATGCCTCAAATACAATTCACTAAAGACGATATAGCGATATGCCTAAAATCCTTACGAAATTGGCGCGCACCAGGACCAGACGGTATTCAAAATTTCTGGTTAAAAACATTTGGCGGCAATGGTGAAGCCATTGCCAGGTGCTTCAATAAAATTATCGAGAACCCTAGTGCTCTTCCTACATTCCTTGCTAGTGGAAATACTTTCCTTTTTTACAAAAAAGGTGATAGGTCAAAACCTGAAAACTATAGACCTATCACGTGTTTATCATCGGTTTATAAACTACTTACAGCTGCAATAACTTGCAAAATATATGACCATTGCACGCTTAATAATATAATTGCATCCGAACAAAAAGGGTGCATCAAAAACTCATTAGGTAGTAAAGAACAGCTTACTATAGATGCAATATTGATCAAACATGCACAGGTGAAACGCCGGAATATCAATATGAGTTACATAGATTATAGCAAAGCATTCGATTCGGTACCGCATGACTGGCTGATTAAGGTTCTAGATATCTATAAAATTCACCCATCTATTAAAATGTTGCTAAATACTGCAATGAAAAAGTGGAATACACAGCTTTTTGCTAACAACACAAACTTAGGCCAAATTGACATCAAAAAGGGAATATTCCAAGGAGATTCACTGAGCCCACTGTGGTTTGTGTTATCCCTTAACCCGCTATCACTCCTACTTAACTCAACGACACATGGCTACAGACCAAACCCTAAGGAAAACAACAAAATTAGCCATCTTATGTTTATGGACGACATTAAATTATATGCAGAAACACCGGCCCATCTTCACCAACTAATTGACACAACCAAGACATTTAGTAATGATATTCAAATGAATTTTGGAATGGAGAAGTGCGCAACAATATATATTAATAAAGGTAAGTGGCAAAACGAAAACTTACCAATATCTGAAATCAAACCACTCAGTCAAACAGATACGTACAAATATTTGGGAGTGGCGCAAAACCGGTCGATAGATCACACTACGCTTAAGAAAGAATTTAAGGAAAAATACAGGAGCCGACTAACCAAGCTTTTAAACACGTATCTCAATTCGCGAAATCTTATATCAGCTGTTAATTCTTGGGCTGTGTCAACACTCACGTATTCCTTTGGGATATTGAGGTACTCAGATGCAGACCTGGATGAACTGGACCGACTTACACGCCGGCTGCTCAAAAAATTTAGATGCCACCATCCGCAATCTGCGTTGGAAAGATTATACTTAAAAAGAAAAGAAGGAGGTAGAGGTCTGCTGAATATTAAGTCATTGTGTAGATCACAGGAACAGAGTATGAAAGCATATTTTATAAAGTCAAATAGCAACCTTCATAAATTAATTGTTACGGCGGACAACAAATATACCCCACTAAATTTAAGCACAGATAATGGTGATATCCAACAAAAGAAAACGACAATGGTTGATGCCCAACATTCTTGGCGACAAAAAATTCTTCATGGCAAGTTTCCTGCCTCTCTCGATGATCCAAATATCGACAAAGAAAACTCCCTTACTTGGTTGAGAAAAGGAGTTCTGCACCCTGAAACTGAAGGATTTGTAATATCCATACAAGACCGTGTCATACGCACTAGAAACTATGAAAAACATATATTAAATAAAAATGTCCAGGATACCTGTCGAAAATGTGGAGCAGCTAATGAAACAATTGACCATGTCATAGCCGGATGTCCCTGTTTATCGGACACAGCTTACCTCGCAAGGCACAACCAGATCGCTAAAATCATACACAAAGAAATGGCTCTAAAATACCGCCTTATAGAACATCCACCTCCTTATTATCGCTACTCACCTGAACCGGTCTTGGAATCAGCTCATTTAGTGCTTTACTGGGATCGCCCGATCATAACAGATAGAACCATCGACTACAACAGACCAGACTTGGTACTAATAGATAAGGACAACAAGAAGGCACTAATAATAGATATAGCATGCCCCTTAACTCACAATTTACACAAAACTGAAGTAGAAAAAATACGAAAATATGAGAATTTGGCTGTCGAGCTGAAGCATGTATGGCAATTGAGCACAGTAGAAATAATACCAATTGTAATATCGGCATGCGGGGTTATGACTACTAACTTAAGGAAAAATATAGACCGGCTCGGATTGTGTAAAGAACTCAGCAGTCTGATGCAAAAAAGTGTACTCCTCCAAACCTGTGCAATAACGAGAAAATTTCTAAATGTTTAGCAGAATAAAATGAAGTTTTTCTCTGCCACATAGTAAATTGAACCAGCATTAGCTGAGAAAGCAAAACCAAAAAAAAAAAATAATAATAGCTCCCGTATATAGCGTTTGACGCCTTGGGAGTAGCAAGGTATCGCTTGCCATACTAGAGCCGTTCAGTATACAAGGAAGGTAATGTGGCTAGCACTACACAGATTATAATCTTTGTTTTTTTTTATTCTTTTTCGT